AGAATCTATAGGTTAAGAAGTTTCGGGAAATCGATTTATAAATTAGTAAAAATGTGGTGCGAGAGCGTAGTGTTAGAATGTAGGAAATAGAGGGTCGAATTTCTAAAGGCCTTCTACTAAAATCGTGACATTAAGTCCTTAGACGCTCGAACGAGTTCTTACACCTTGCGCTAAAGCGAAGCTCTAATTGGCCTGTAGAATTTACAGGTGTAAAATACGACGCTACGAAGTAGTTCCCGCTCTGCCAAGTCTCGTTCGAGCTTCTGATTAATGAGATAAGATGAAGCACAAAAAATTCATCGTCCACTCCATTTAAAAGACAAAAGAAGAGATCAATGCCGCTTCTGTGGATCGAACACAGTGCCTCCAGAATACTCTTGCGCGATGCGAAGAAGGACAGAAGTTGACTTCAGTCTGGCGCTCTCCCAGATGAGCTAAAGCGGCGGATTTGATGAGGGTGGCTCGAGCGTTACTCATGAACAATCTGTTTGCAACGGTCCACTGTGGAAAGGGAAGGAGAGGAGAAGATGAAAAGCAGGGTTGTTGCTGCTTTGTGGTTGATGGCCTGGATTTGGGTCGAGTGGACTTTATCGCATGGTTCGTTGATCCAGTGATCCCAAAGGACTGGGCGAGTAAAAGTTGTGGAACATTGACATGTTGGATGGTTGGAGTTGCCAGGCAGACCTGCTCCGTGTGATGGTAGCTAGAAGAGAGGATCTCTAATGACGCGCTTCAGAGCATTGCTAAACAAGGCACAGTATAAATAAAATTGAGCTCGAACACAAATACAGCAGCAGCGACGTCCAGAAGGCACGACTGACAGCTGCGTGTTAGTCACTCGAATCCAAACTTTTAATCACACCCTGGATGAAATATTAGCCAGTTAGGAGAAACCAAGGGCGACGATTTCGTTAGGTATTTGGATCAAGCTGTTTTTGGAAATAAGATACAATCTATACTTGGAGTCGTTTCCTCGTCTCATCGTTCCCGCAGGTTAGATATCATAGAAAAGCAAACAAATCAGACGCTTCATTACAAGGTGGATTCGAGGGCAAGAACCTGTATCTAGTTAGCATCTTATAATCGCGGTAGACATATTCGTCCACTTACGATCGCTGTTCTTGTGGGGAGGTAGACTTGGAGGAAGTTCTTTCTGTCGTTCCAGGCGAAATCGGTGGTGAAGAAGCGGGTGCTCTCGTCAACGCGACCCAGACCGCCGAAAGATGGGCTGTCGGTGTTCAAGACAATGCGGTAAGTACCTCCCTGCTCAACACCAACACGGTAGTCCGTGAAGCTGTTCGTAGGGTGGAAGTTGAAGATCCAGAGAAGACCGGCACGCTCGAAGACAATGACCTTGTCGCTCTCATTCTTGAGGGAGACGTAAGCTTGGTCAGAGTGCAACCAGCCATACTTCTCCTCGGTCCATTGCATCTTGCTGTCAAAGTCGTTCAGGAAGTGGTAGCGGAGGACCTTGTCATCGACAAGGTTGAACTGGCGGCGAGCGTAGTGGAAGCTGTTGCCGTTGCCCTCACGCGGGAAGTCAAGCCATTCGGGGTGTCCAAACTCGTTTCCTTCGAAGTTGAGGTATCCCTCACCTCCAAGACCGTGTGTGATCAGACGGATCATCTTGTGCAAAGCCATACCGCGCTCAATGACGGGGGTGAATTGGCTCAGAGTAGACATGTTTGTGTACATCTCGGCATCACAGAGCCAGAAGAGAAGAGTCTTGTCACCGACTAAAGCCTGATCGTGAGACTCAGCATATGCGATAGTCTTCTCGCCGTGTCTTCTGTTTGTGAGGGTAAAGGCGAGGTTGCCCATATCCCAATCAATATCCTCCTTCTCCTTCAGCCACTTGATGTACAAGTCAGGAATGGCCATGGCAAGTCTGTAGTCGAATCCTATTCCGCCCAGGGAGAGAGCCACGCAGAGAGCAGGCATACCTGAAACATCTTCGGCGATAGTGATGGAGTCGGGGTAGAGCGAGTGCAGCAGCTCGTTGGCGAGCATGAGGTAGACGACACCGTCCTCGTCAACACCAGGGCCGAAGTACTCGTGGTAACCTCCAGAGAAACCCGTTCCAATACCGTGGTGAGTGTAGAGCATGCTGGTAACACCGTCGAAACGGAAACCGTCAAAGTTGTACTCCTCCATCCAGAAGCGGAGGTTACTCAGCAGGAATCGCAGAACCTCGTGGTGGCCGTAGTTGAAGAGTCTGCTGTCCCAGAGCTCGTGTCTGCCCTTTGCGCCCTCGTGGAAGTAGAGGTGGTCACTGCCGTCGAACATGTTCAAGCCGTCAAGCACATTCTTCGAAGCGTGACTGTGAACAACATCCAAGAGGACGGTGATGCCCATGCTGTGGGCAGTGTCGATGAGCTCCTTCAGCTCATCAGGCAGACCGTAGCGACTGCTTGCGGCGAAGAAGCTGTTGATCTGGTAGCCGAAACTGGCGTAGTATGCGTGCTCCATAATCGCCATGAGCTGGATGACGTTGTAGCCCAAATGATGGATTCTAGGCAATGTGTTTTGTGTGAACTCTTTGTAGGTAGCGACCTTGGGGTCGGGCGACGAGATACCAACGTGGGCTTCGTAGATACGAGCACTCTTTGGCTTCGGGGGCTTGGGGTGCTTGAAAGTGTAACGCTCGTTCTTAGGAGGGTTCCAGAAGCGCGCATCGTAGACGGGAGAGACGTTCAGGTCCTGGGTGACTCTGGTAATCCATGCAGGAATGCGCTCTTGTCTGGCGTGATCGTTGGGGACGACGAAGGAGACCTGTGTGAGCCGGTCTGTCAGTCTGTGTTCAATTGAAAGGCTTCTCTTCTCCAACCTTGATCTTTGAGTCGTGAGGGATGGCGGGTTGGCCGTTCTGTGCAGGCAAAGTGATCTCGAAGACACCGAACTCGTTCTTCTTCATCTCATGCGAGTCGCGGTTCCAGTTGTCTGGCAGCTTGTAAGTCCGTGGTCTAATGCTGATCGTATTGTTAAGACTCACTGAAGTCTCCAATGAGGTAGGCTCTCAGAGCACTCTGAGCCCATTCGCGGTAGACAATGTCGCCATTGGGCTTGACGTTGAAGCCCAGAATCTCGTAACCCTGGTCATTGATCGTCAGTACCAAAGGTCAGGCGGAATGCGAAAACTTGAGTCTTACGCGACTGAACTTTTCAAGACCTCCTTCCTTCTCGTTAATTGTCTTCATCCAGTCCTGGGCCTTGCTGTATCTGCTCTTCAGGGCATCCTTGAAGGGCGACAACCAAGGGTCGAGCTTGACGACGCCTGCACAGCGTCAGCGTCAGTTGTTCCCTTCCCAAAGGAGTCACGGCGACATACCAGTGCCATCATTGGGGATATCGTCGGCGGCTGGGTGGCCCGAGATAGAGTTGTCGGACGATTGGTTGACAGGATCCATAGCTTGTTCCTCACTGTGTAAGAGACAATGGATTGAGAAATATCTTGAGCAAACAAGAGAGAATTACGGGGAAGGAGCAAAAGAGAGGGAAGGTGTTGGCAGCAAGCAGGGTTTTGATGCAATAGAGTGATGGACCACCGAGCTCGAATCCTCCACTCAGCTCACCACTTTCTCCAGAGGCCCCTCCGGATTATGATGCTATCCCGCATGAACCTGTCTAGCCGCTTTCGGGCCGATTCTCACTGCGGAGGGTGGAGTGTTGGTCGAACGGCTTGCCCAACATTTAACTTTGCATGACCAACGTGAAGTTGCTGGGGCTCAGATGCACCACTCTTGCATCTGGCGCTTCAACAGCGCCGAATGCCTCAGCAACAAGTTCTTGAGCTGCTCTTGAGCTGCTGAGACAAACGTTTGTGCAACATGTGGTGGAGAAACAGTCGTCACAGCGGCGACTTTTGCACTCTGTCGGAGGCATCCGATTGACCTATCAAAACGCTTGGCCCAAGCCACATCCATCTTCGACCTTGTCCGTTATCTCCTTTGCGGGGAAGTGAATGGCCGAGTGATCCACTCGAGTCAAGCATCCGACATCGATTGTATTGTAGCTGCCGTTGACGTGAAGTGTTGAACGGAAGCGTCCAGGTAGGCCTTTCTGTTCCATCTCTCTCCGAGCGTCCTACACTACGATGCTCGTCGTATCGAGCCGGTGTAGCCCCAGTCAAGTTCGGGGAGCACTTCTCAGGACAAGGAGCTTGCATTCAACTGCTGTCACCTTCTCGAGCAGCTCCGACTTTAGTTCCAGCCTGTCAGGTCATGGCTTCACAGGCTACTACGAGCCCGGCGAGACCGAGGGCCCTTTGCGGAAAGCTTCTAACATAGGCGCCCCAAAGATCACCCCGCGATCGCTCAAGAACCACTTGGACCAGTTTGTAGTCGGCCAGGAAAGAGCAAAGAAGGTGCTCAGCGTTTCTGTTTACAACCATTATCAGCGGATACAAGAGCTGCAACGTCAAGATGAGGAAGCCCAGGAGGCACTCGAGCGCCAGGCTAGAAGGTCAAGGCACCCTGTAGAAGGTAGGTTGCTGCTTGCCACACCAGCATAGTCACCTGCTTATCACTGCCGACAGATGAATATCCGGGTCACCATGCGACGATACATGCTTGGGTTCCTCCATCTCCATCTCCGCCTCCACCGCGATCCTCCCCTCTAGACGATACCTCTCCCTTGACCATCGAAAAATCAAACATCATGTTGCTCGGTCCTTCAGGAGTCGGCAAGACGCTTATGGCGAAGACACTGGCGCGAGTGCTCGACGTGCCATTTAGCATGTCTGATTGTACTCCTTTCACTCAGTCTGGCTACATTGGTGAGGATGCCGACGTGTGTGTACAACGCCTGTTGGCCGCTGCAAACTACGACGTTGAAAAGGCAGAACACGGCATAATATGTCTCGACGAGATAGACAAGATTGCTACGGCCAAAGTATCGCACGGCAAGGATGTCGGAGGAGAAGGAGTCCAACAAGCCCTGCTAAAGATAATCGAGGGCACTACCCTTCAGATACAGGCCAAACAGGAACGCGGAAATACCCCTGGACGCAACAACAACCAATACCCTACCGGCTCCCCTACGAATAGTCCACTGAGTAGTGGCGGTATGGCTGGTGGCATGGGTCAACCACCTGGCAAGAGCGAAACCTTTAATGTCAACACAAGCAACATCCTGTTCATATGCACCGGTGCGTTCAGTGGCCTACACAAGACTATCCTCGACCGCGTAGCGAAGGGAGGCATTGGCTTCGGCGCGAACGTGCGCTCAAGTGCTCCTCAAGACGGCGGAGCGCAGGAAACAACCATCACGGATGACGACGAGCTGATCCGCAAGCACCTCCCATACTACATGCCACCAGCCTCCGAAGAAGACTCATACGACCCCTCTTCGAAAAAGAAGAAAGCCACATACAACGTTTTAGACTTGGTCGAGCCACAGGATCTACAGAAATTCGGCATGATACCTGAGTTGGTCGGCCGTATTCCCATATCTTGCGCCCTCTCTGCGTTGGATGTAGACGCCCTAGTCAAGGTATTGACAGAGCCGCGAAACTCGTTGTTGAAGCAATACGAACAGCTCTTCCAACTCTCGTCAATAGAGCTGCGAATCACATCTGCGGCCTTGTATGCCATTGCTGAAACTGCCTTCTCCATGGGAACAGGTGCCAGGGGCCTTCGCACGGTCTTGGAGAGGCTGCTCGGGGACAGCATGTTCGAAACGCCTGGCTCAGACATCAAGCACATCGCTTTGACTGAAGCTGTAGCCAAGAAGAATTCTCCAGCTCTCTATTTCACTCGGGACGGCAAGACGAGGTTCAATGCTCTGATTGCCAGAGAGGAAGAAGAATGGGAAGACCGCAAACGCGGCGAAGAACCTATGGAAAGTGACTTCGAACGCAGAGCGAGAGCGAACAGCCGAGGTGGTCACGCTACGACCTTTGAGGAATATCGTCAGAAGACTACTGCTGCTGGATTTGTATGAGCGCATTTGCATCTGGCATGCATAGCATTATGTATTTGAGAAACATCAACGATTGCAACGAAACAAACTCAATTCCCTGGGTATATCACAACATCACCGTCTGCTTTCTTATGCACAATTTGACCAGCACCTCATGTTTTTGTGTTCCTGCGCAGCCATTTCTTCTTCGGCTGTTGTTCATGCAAGCTTCTTGGTGTGAGCCTCTCTGAGCTTCCACATACAAAAGTTGCGCCAGAAAAGGTAATCCTAGCGGAAACAATCAGTTAACGTCTAGAAAGTCAACGTCAAATCACTTACAAAGATTCTGGCTGGCATGAAAGTGGTCAAGAACCAGACGATGTGCGAAAATGAACCTTCCCAGAACTGTCTCTTGTGACGACCACCGAGTACCTGACTCACGACAGACTTTGCATACTTCTCGTTAGGCATACCAACTTCTTGCGAGTGCTTTGTGCGTCTCAGATATTCAGCCTCGATGGGGAGGTAGATTGAGTCTCTGGGCAGCTGCCAGTCGTTTCTTGCGATCCTGCTCTTGACACCACCAGTCACGACAGTAACGACCTTGACATCGAAGGGCTCCAACTCAACTCTGAGCGTGTTGCTGTATGAGTGCAGAGCAGCCTTTGTCGAGTTGTAAACGCTGCCAAAGACATAAGGCATCACACCAGCCAAGCTGCCAATCTGCACGATGGTACCCTTGGCCTCGATCAACAGCGGTGTGAATGCCTGGCACATGCGCATAACTCCAAAGACATTGACCTCGTACGTCAGTTGGACTTGCTCAAAGTCAATGTCGGTGGCTGGCACAGTGTAGTTGCGACCAGCATTGTTTACGAGGTAGTCGAGCTTTCCACTTGTACGCGATGCAACCTCCTCTTTCAAAGCCTTGATGCTTTCCGGGTCAGTGACTTCGAGTGACAGCGTTTCGATTCCTATTTCGGCAAGGTCGGTAATGCTGTCGGTGTTTCTGGCAGTCGCGAAGACGCGGAGACCTTTGGCGTGGAACTCGCGGGCAAGCGAATTTCCAATACCGCCGGGGTTTGTGCCAGTAATCAAAATCGTCTTAGGCATGGTTGTGTATTGTGAATTTGGTTGCTTGATTCTTTGCGAGCTCGAACACCTCGGTCTTGTAGCAGAGCTGTTCGGCAGATCTCTCGCCGATCCCGACGTCCTGGACCCTCGCCGGAGCATGTCGGCACCGCTGCATGTTAGCAGACCAACCCTGGCCGGTACACATAAAGGTATCTCGATAAGCACAGCCAAGCTGCCGAGAACCTTGGAAAGAAAGCTAACAACGACAGGCACAGGTTATCAGGTAATAGATTGTGTTAAGAAGCGAGACGGTAAAGTGATCCTTCATGGCGCATCGCATTGGGATATCTATGCAACTGCACGGCAGTTCAGTTCGTGCTGCTACGCACGTAGAGATAACAGCGATCTCAGGATCGATCCCCCAGACGCCGAGTCCTCGCTCCAGGCAAAACCCCACAGGGCCACAGCACATGAAATTATGGGCCGCAAAGGAGCCGCCTGTGCCCTCGTCTTCTGGAAGCGAAATCGGAGAGTCCAGACCTCGAAGTGTGCATGCAAAGAAAGACCAACATCTTGGCTTCGATTGGACATCCCATTCAGTCGTTCTTGATGTTGCATCCGGCTGGCTATCGTGCCTCTTTTTGAGGCAGGAAGGCACGCGACAGGAAAGCGCCAACTGCTTTAGGTAGGAGGTCAACCGAGGATGGAGCTTTCTCCTCACGCAGAACGCACATGTGTGCAGCACGGTTGGAGAAAAAGCATCTACCATGACACTGAACCATCGACGGCGGTAAAAGTAAAACGTACACGTACCTTATCACCATTTAAATTGAAGGTTAAACCCGTCTAAGCCCGCCGTGCCCTGTCTACGTTTCTTTGGTGGATCAATTTTTCTCTCTCCTTCCTCTCTATCTCGTCGTCGCTATCTCTGTCGCTATCAGATAAGGTACGCCGTACAGATAAACGGACGGCTTGCGCCTTACCCTGCACCTGCTGCTCCCACTTCCTGGACAACTTATCAGCGACCAGCAGCCATGACTTTCCAAACCGCAAAGGCCACGGCCATGGAGAAGAAGAACAATGCCACTATGGCCTTCAAGAGCTGGGACAACTTCAAGGCTTGGGTTCGCGTGCCGGACACTGCACTCGATCGCCATTCGAATGGAGATTCAGGCCAGACATGGTCGAACGAGGACCTCGACCCGACACCCCCAGAAAGACGTACCTGGCGGTGTAAGTACCCCTTGGGCACTCTAACATACGGAGGTCTAATCAAGGCGTAGGGTACAACTATGTCATCTTCTATTTCGCATTGTCCTTCGGCAATTGGACACTGGGCTCGAGTCTGATCGGTATTGGTCTCAACTACTGGCAGGCCATTCTCGCCATCTTCATCTCGCAGTTCATCAGTTCGATCGCCATGCTGTTCAACTCCCGCTGCGCCTCGGTCTACCACGTCGGATACCCCATTGTCGCAAGAAGTGTCTTTGGCATGTGGGGATCATACTACTTCGTGGGTGCTAGAGCAATCCTGGCGGTGTAAGTTTCCTTTGGGCATGCAGAGTACGGGTGTCTGACCAAGATGTGATAGCGTCTGGTTCGGTGTGCAAGCCTTCTCGGGTGCCTCGCTGGTCGCCAACATGCTACGCGCTGTATTTGGACACAACTTCACGGACATCCCGAACCGAATTCCAGCATCCCAAGGTATCACCTCTGCAGGCATGCTCGCCTTCTTCCTTTTCTGGCTGGCACACTTCCCCCTGGCATTGATGCGTCCGTACCAGCTGCGTACCTTCTTCAACGTCAAGACCATACTCATGATCCCAGCCGTATGGGGTTTGTTCATCTTCTGTATGGCCAACACCGGAGCTTCGTTGGGTACCGAGAAGCTTTCAGAAGCCTCCGGAGTCAGCGCATCTGGCAAATGGGGCTGGTTCTTCATGAATGCAGTCAACGCAGGTCTTGGAAACACTGCCACTCTCATCACCAACCAGCCCGATATCGCCAGATGGTCCAAGACGAGATCTGGTGCCATGTGGTCGCAGCTGATCACCAACCCTATCGCTGTGACTCTGTCTGCCAGTCTGGGTATCTTGTCCACTGCTGCCATCAACAACGCATGGGGTCTCTCGCTCTGGAACCAGTGGGATCTCCTTGACGCGATCATGGACAGATATTGGAGAAGTGATGTGCGCTTTGCCATCTTCCTCTGTGCAGGATGCTGGGCTGTCAGTCTTTTGGGTACCAACGTTGCTGCCAACATGATCCCCTTCGGTTCAGACTCGAGCATGTTGTTCCCTCGTTACATCACCATTCCTCGTGGACAGTTCTTGGTTACCTGCTTGGGCTTTGCTATCGGTAAGCGACAATCATCTAGACTATTGTACGCGAATATCCGCTGACAATCCTCACAGTACCCTGGAAGATTTTGGCATCTGCTGGTGTATTCACAACTTTCTTGGCCGGTTATGGTCTCTTCATGGCCTCCGTCGTCGCCATCATGGTCTGCGAATACTTCTTGCTCACCCGCGGTAACCTCTTCATCGCCCACTGCTACAACGGCGGCAAGGAGAACCCCCACTACTACTACATGAAGGGCTGGAACGTCCAAGCCGTCATCGCCTACCTCTGCGGTATCGCCCTCCCATTCCCTGGTTTCGTCGGCTCCCTCGGCGCCAATGTCAGCACTACAGCACTCAACATGGGCCACATTGGCTGGCTGTTGAGTTTCACCACCAGTTTCGTCCTCTACTGGGCAATCTGCACCGTCTGGCCCACCAAGAACCAAAAGATCATCAAAGAAATGGGCTTGAGATTCGAAGAAATGGCCGAAAGAGACATGATGGCACTTGACGGCACCATCATCCCCGAAAGTGCCGAGGGCATATCTGAGGATCAAGTCGCTTGGGACGAGACCGAGAAGAAGGCAGTGGCTTTCGACTCGCGTAGAGTCAGCGATTGATACAGACCGGGGCAAAAACACACAACAAAACAACAACGATGATGATAACACAGAAGATAAGAAACCAATATAGATGATAAGCACACATGGATGAACCCTTTGAGGCTTCATCGAATTTCCTCTCAACCTCAACAATTTCTCTATCTTTATGGCGTGACAAGCGCCTCGTGCATTTGAAGATGATTGTACGCTCACATAGTAAGCCATCGATAGCGATAACGAGATCACAAATAACATGACGGCCATCTCCATCACTACGCAGCTCCTCGAATACATCACATCAAAATACACGATGTTATTCGCACACAATGCACTGTCCGAGGAGAGCTCGCAATAACACGACTCTCAATGGACAGCTCACTCGAGATGAAAAGCATCGTGTATTTTGATGGTGATTTCACTCATGCTCTGCGAAGCTGAGATGTCGCTTCAAGTCATTATGTTACTGTGCCCCTGTTGTTTTGAGATGGAAAAGGGGCCGAAATGTCCAACTCTCACGGCTTGAACGTTTCTTCTCAAGCATACTACAACATAATAGAAGTAGCACCTGATGGTGTGTGGGTTTTGAGTCGTATTCGTGACGTTTGAATCCAGAGAATGAAAGGTCACTGATTCCATGGTGGTAGCACAGTACAGAGCCAAGTACAAATGCGGGAGCGGAATATATATTCTGAGGGAAGCCTTGACCCTATCACATAACATCGATCTCTATATACGGTGCGCACCCCTGCTCCTCGACCGTCTTTCTGACCGTTCGGCGACTGCTGCCTCCCTCAACCATCCTTGCTGGAACGTCCGCTGCTGTTGCTGTTGTTTGGCCACCATGCTGGGCTTCGGTCTAGCCGGACTCGAACGTAGTGTATCCAACGATGCATGCAGAGATCTGGTCAATGGTATCGTGGTAGCTTTTGGAATTCGACTCCGCTGCTGGGTCGATGGTGCCTCGACAGGAACGATTGTGGCTTGGTTACGGCTCGGTGGTTCGTTAGTGCTCTGGAGCATTATCTCAGGCTCTACCAGAGTTGCTTCGTCTTCGTCTGCCTCCGGTAGCGAAGGCTCTACACCACGGGCCTGATATGCTGTTCTTGGTGGCTCAGGTATGGGGGCCGATCCAAGTGACTGAGGTGATGGGAACGGTGACACGGAAGCTGCGGGGGTAGATGGAGCGGAGTGACGGACAGCGAATGGTGTTATGGCTTGAGGTGGGAAAGTACTCGGACTGTGTGGAAAATCACCCGGCATGTGTTGAAGGTCCATGTTGAACTCTTGCTTGCCGCTGTCTGAGCTTGTCAAGCCAAACTCTTCGGTTGCAGCGTCGATCAGATCGAGAAGTTCAGGCATAGTCTTTGCTCGCTTGCGAAGAGAGTCGGGTGAAGCATCGAGTATGATTGATCGCCGGCCGTTGATGTTCCGAGAGAAAGCAGGAGTGTGATTGATGTCATCTTCTGGGAGGGATGCTACCGCTTCCGAAACCTTAGCAAGGTCGCGCGAAAGCCTTTGGGTCCAATCACTATCTGGCATACCGTTGCGGATGTTGGAGATTACTTTGCCTAGGCTGCCACTGTGCTCGACGATGATGGCGTCTATCATGTTACCGAGATCAGTTGCGACGATGCCACCGAACTTGTCAGGGGGTAAGTCGGAGACGGTGGCTCCGGGTATTTTGACTGTTTGATTGTCGAGGGTAGTTCCGACGAGCACATTAGACGGCTGATCAGACTCAGGTGGAGTTCCACGCTCGGTGAAAACAGAGCTGCTTGCAGAGCGAGTAAGGTGGTTTGCCGGGGCCTGGGGAGCATGAGCGTCGATTCGAGACTCTCGCTTGATGATGTCTTCCTCGGCAAGGCAATCGGGGCAGATATCAGGGGAGACTGTTGTTCCACTGGTCTTAGCAAGACGTCTACCAATAGCCCAAGGGCTCAGAGGATCGACTTGTTGTCTGATTGAAGGCCCAGTAGGAACATACGCACCGCTGAAAGTTTTGTCCATGCCTGCTGGCATGCTCTGCCTAGGCTTGAGCTTGCGACCATGTCGATAGCACACGGACTGGTCGAAGGTGTCCGGTATTGCTCCTTTCTCAATGTTGGCGGATAGCTGAGGCTGGTATCGTTTGGGCATTGGACAGTGGACCAGAGGGTTCGTGAGGGGTTGTGATTTGGACAAAGGCGTCTGTGGTCGAACAGGGCTTTGTGCAGAATCTCTTCGAGGGAAGGGAGAAGCAGGTCGAAAATCTTCTCCAGGAAGGGGGTAGATCTGGGGCATTGAGGACGGGTCAGGCTTTTTGGGTTTGGCAGGTATATTTGAGGGCAGGTGTTGAAGGCTGTTGATTGCTCGAATCCGATCAGCAACGCGACCAGGCTGACGGATAGAACCAACCACGTCCGGAGCGTTCGGACGACGCTGGACTGGTAGTTTAGTGGGAGGCTGATTTGGGGGCCCGTCTAAGTTTGGCGGCCAGAGCCATGGATCGGAGCTTGAACTTGAGGACGAGTGCTGCCACCCAAGCTTTGGGTGAGTGCATGGCATTAGCCAGCATTGATTCTGATTAGGTGAGAAAGATACAATGAAATAAGAAAGCTGTCAGGCTGTATAGTGAGTCAAGGAATGGTTAAATGATGGTTAAATGATGGTCGAGGAGTGCAGATGAGAACGAAGCTTGGGTATACATGATCGGCTGTGACGCCAATGCCCAGTCAATCAACCTCACAAGTCATAAAGAAGGAAGGCGCGATGGACCAGATTTGAACAAAGCCTTGGGCAAAGCAGACGATTTACTATACATTTTAGAGACGCGACCTAAGCACAACCGCTAGTGCACTTATTTCAGGAATCCCTGGAGGCTCTCCAAAACCTGTAGTTGTTTAGTAAATGGCCAAGTTTCGAAAAGAATTCTGGAGAAGCTCACCTCAAGCTCGATCTTGGCCTCGGCGATGTCCTGCTCGCTGCCACTGCCAGATGCGATCTTCTGAGCCTCGGCGATCTGGTTTCTGACGGCCTGTAACTTGTCAATATCCTGTCCTCTCTGCTTTCTTCTTGTTTTGCATACCTCGGCGCTGAAGTCCTCGAGAGGGTAGCCCTCAACAGCGTTGATGCTGAGCTTGGAGCCGGGCTGGACGGTAGCGAAACCGCCAGACACTGTTGATACCACATGTCAGCCATGTTTCTTCCATCCACACTCTTTCCAGTTCTTTGATTTCGAATTGTTTCCGTAGCGAGCGTTGGTTGGATTATGAGGCATAAAACGTACGGAAGAACTGCTTGCTGCCAGCGGACTCCTCAATAACCTCAACGAGGCCGGGTCTCAGCTGCTCGATGGAGGGAACGTGGCTAGCGAGGACACCCATGTCACCAGTCTCGGCGGGGATGTTGACCTGAACGCTGTAGGGGCCCAGATGTTAGTCGTCTTTGTTCGTGGCTGATATCGGTTTCAAGGAAAATTGTGGGGATTCGTACACATCCTGGGACTTGTAGATAGCCTGGAGAGATTATACACGTTAGCACAGGTCCATCGTTTTCCATTCTCTTTCTGACGGGTTCCCGATTGGGCGAGGATTGTGGACTGAGCGAGGCGTACTTGGTGAGGGAGAGACAGAGACAGCTGGATCTTGTCGGCGGCGACGTCGGCGTAACCTCTGCGGGCGAGAGGGGCAGCGAAGGCAGTAGGGCGGACGCGCAGAGCGGCGCGGGCGACACGGAAGGAGTTCATTATAGCGGCGAGTTCGTCAATTGCGCGATGTCTGCAGGAGCTGGTGCTTGCGACGTTGGTCCGCCGTCTCTCACTCCCGCATTGAATCCTCGGATTTTGCCGCGACGACTTCCGACTTTGTCGCTCCTCTTGGCAGAACAGCAGCTCCAACATCAATCAACCGCTTCAGTAAGGGACAAGCACCGACTCTGAGATAATGCCTTAAAACGACACCCTAGTAAGTAATAGCCTTGAGTGATGTCTCTTTGCATTCCGTCAACCTCTTCCCCCCGACCCCGTCTCTAGCAAATGGGAAACACTGCCATGAATTCTTGATTGGTATGAACGAAATACATCTTGTTCTGCCTTGTGGAATACACCATTTCGTCCAACTTCCAAATGTCACTAGATGTAGACTTTACTTGACGTATTACACCAAAAACCAGAATAGAAGCCAAGTTTGATAAGTCGAAGTGTCTGTCTCAAGCGTAGTGTAGCACGACCCTTCCTTTCGTGATTATTTGCTCCCCAAATCACCATGCACACAGTCGAGATTATCATTCTTCATATCAGCCTGGTGCCAGTATTGTTGGCCAATCGAAAGTTTGGTGGCAGGCTTGATTAAGGTTAGGTGCAGTCTTTCTTCGATGATTTTTCTGGGCAGTCAAGTCGATCCTATGGATAATTAAGAGACACGCGTTGTTTGGACGTAAGATTTATTGTGTCTAGGCTATCGAATCAGTCAAGATTCATGCCTATGGCCATATTATGAAGAACCGCTGGACGAGCTACTGCTACTGCTGCTGCTGCTGCTGCTGCTGCTGCTACTACTGCTGCTACTTGACGAGCTACTGCTCGATGACGAACTGGAAGATGAGCTGCTACTGGATGATGAGCTGCTGCCTCCACTCGTCGATGACGACACCTGTTGACTGGACTGCTTCTGCTGCTGCTCCGAACGATACACATCATGGCCCGCAACAAGATAACCACCCAAGTTCATTGTGAAAAGGCTTAGGAGAAGCGTCGCGATGATAGCAGGTGTGTCGGCACCAGCAAGAGCGCTCGAAGCCGCAGGAGCGAACGGCAGGAGTCTCCAAGCTAGTCGCAGGTCATCAGGAGACGGATTCGATGGATTCGGATTTTCAGTGGGCGGTGACACTCCTCGTGGTTTGGCTTTCGTTGGTATGCTCCTCGAGCGAAATGGGCCTCTGGGAGCTGGTTTGGGCTTTGCGGTAGGGTCTTGCTGAGCCGGCTTCTTGAACGGTACCCATGGCTTGGGCTTGGGCTTTGCAACAGGTGTTGAGTTCTTGACTGGCGGTGTGTCTTTTGCAGGAGGTGTGTCTTTTGCAGCAGGTGATGGATTCTTGGCTGGCGGCGTGTCTTTTGCAGGCGGCGGTGTCTTCGAGAGATCCTTTGCTGGCTGCTTAGCAGGTGGCTGTGTCTTGGAGGGATCCTTTGCGGGCTTTTTGGCAGGTGGCGTCTTGGATGGGTCCTTTGCGGGTTTTGTAGGCTTTGTGGCAGGTGGCGGCGTTTTAGGTGGCTCCTTTGCAGACTTTTTGGCAGGTGGAGGTTTCTTTTCGACAGGCTTGACAGGTTGTTTCGCAGGCATGGGCTGAAAGAGGGTCGGCTGATGGAGGGTCGATGAAGAGGTACGAAAAATGAGGTTGACGACCAAGAGACAGTGGAGCTGACAGGAGGATTTGAGAGCCGTGAAACGAAGACGTGGCATGTGTGGAAGGTGCAAATGGAATTGTCTCCGTCACATGTCAGCGAACAGATCCTTCCGGAAACAGAGTAAGCTGGTAAATGGTCCGCCCCTAGTTTGGCTGGCGATTCTTCTGAATGGCATTGGGCTCCACAGGTCTCTTTGCAAGCATGGATCGTCAAACTGTTATCGATTTGATGATGATGAATGATTACGCTCTGTATTTCCACTGGGCGTCCGTTTGGGTATCGAAAGTTCACATCCTTCTTTCTGGCAGTACCGGCCATGTCATAGCATTTTCCCAACCCCAATAACGCCGTCGCTCTTTTCATGTATATTCGTGTATAAATCAAAATGCAAGGTGGTTGGTTACATGTCATCGATGTTTGTGCCGTCGCGACTGAAAAGGGTTAGTATCAGATTTCGAGCAAATGAGTGTCGACGGAGGTACTCACGGAATGTACTTGACTCCAGCGGCCTCGACGGTCGATATAACTTCCTCAGGGAGCTGTACAGCACAGTCAGTATAAAGTTGACTGGAAATTGTAGACCATGTACTCACAATGCCAGTGACCTTGACAGCGTAAACGCCAGCGACGTAGCTGTCTAGGCGCTGCCATCTGGCGACCCAGCTCGAGCTAGGGTCGGCAAGAGTGATCAAGCCCTCGAAGACCTGGCTGGTGCATTCTTGAATGGTGTCGTCGTGGCCGGCCAACTCGAGGAACTCTTCACAGTTGGGGCATCCCTCGCGGCGGAAGCGCGAACCAGGAAGGACGATGCTGCAGACCATGCAGGCGCGCAGCGAGCGGTGTTGCGAGGGCGGCACGAAGTTGGACATGATGATGTATGTGAGGGTATGCGACAGCGATGGAGGTGGAGTTGAGTGTGAGAGAGACTGAAGATTGATGGTTGCTTGTCTTTGTCGATGGATGATCGAAAGCAGCACGCTTAGAGTTGCTGCAAGTGTCGGCTAAAACTACCGCGACACCCCGCCATCCGCCAAGCTTTCGAGACCGAGGCGGCGGCGAGCTGCAGCATATCAGTGTCCGTGCTGTTTTCTGGAAATTCCACCTTTGTCCACTCTTTGGAACCTACCAACTCTTGAGCTTGAATCTTTTCTCCGTTCGCTCTTTGTTTACTGAAACTCTGTCTGCTCCATATTCTTGGTCACAGCTTCGACCTGTTCAACCTCCACAACTACCCTATATAATCAACCCCCACCATACTCATCATGGAGGAGGCGACCGCCCTGAAGAACAAGGGCAACGATGCTTTCAAGAACAAGGCCTGGCCCCAAGCAATCGACTTCTATAGTCAAGCAATTGAGAAGTACGACAAGGAACCTTCTTTCTACACAAACAGAGCTCAGGTTTGCTTCCACTCGACCATCTGCCCGCTAGTACTGCCCTACTGACTCACCATCAAAGGCCCACATCCGTCTCGAGGCATACGGATACGCTGTCGCAGATGCTACCAAGGCCATTGAGTTGAATCCCGACTTTGTCAAGGTACGAGACACTGTCTAAAACCTGCCCACGTGCTCTTCCGCTCACACCCCCCAACAGGCTTATTACCGCCGTGCCGTCGCAAATACCGCTATTCTGAGACACGCCGACGCCATTCACGACTGGAAGATTGTTGTTAAGAAGCAACCCTCGGACAAGGTCGCCCGCGCTCAGCACGATGCTTGTCAGAAAGTCATCAAGCGTGACGCCTTCCTCAAGGCCATCGAGGCTCCCGACGCTCCCTCAGCCGCCGAGGGCCTGGATCTGGCCAACATGGCTATTCCCTCAGACTACGACGGTGTGAAGTTGGGAGACAAGATGACACAAGAGTTTGTTGACGACATCATCGAGCGTTTCAAGGAAGGCAAGAAGCTTCCCCTCAAATACGTCTACCAGATCATCCTGGCCGTCAAGGACATTTGCTACAACGAACCCACCATGGTCGAGACGCATGTTGACCAGGGCAAGAAGATCACTGTTTGCGGTGACACACACGGCCAATACTTCGACCTGATGGAGATCTTCAGAATCAACGGTCGCCCTTCGGCCGACCACGCCTACCTCTTCAACGGAGACTTTGTCGACAGGGGCAGTTGGTCATGTGAAATCGCTCTCCTGCTGTACGCATACAAGTGGCTCCACCCCACTTCCATGTTCTTGAACCGTGGCAACCACGAGACGGACGATATGAACAGAATGTACGGATTCGAGGGCGAGTGCAAGGCCAAGTACAACGATCGCACCTTCAAGCTCTTCTCGGAATCTTTCAGCGCACTGCCCCTGGCCACTTTGATCGGCGACAAGTACTTTGTTCTTCACGGCGGTCTCTTCTCGGACGACAACATTACGCTCGACGACGTGAGAAAGCTCAACAGACATAACCAGAAGCAGCCCGGACAGAGTGGATTGATGATGGAGATGCTGTGGACCGATCCTCAGACAGCACCAGGAAGAGGACCCAGCAAGCGCGGTGTCGGACTTCAATTCGGCCCCGATGTCACGAAACGATTCTGCGAGAAGAACGGACTGGAAGCCATCATTCGAAGCCACGAGGTGAGGATGGAGGGCTACGAGGAAGAACACGACAGCAAGTGTATCACCATCTTCTCAGCACCCAACTACTGTGACTCGACTGGCAACAAAGGAGCATTCATCAACATCGAAGACGACTATAAGCTCAAGTTCCAGAAGTTTGATGCAGTCAAGCACCCGGACATCAAGCCAATGGCATATGCCAGCTCGCCTATGATGGGAATGATGTAAAGAGATGACGGATATACCAAATGATGAGTTCTCTTTGGCGTTTGGCGCATGTCGATAATGCAAGAGTCATGGCATGCAGCATTTAGCGGGAAGGTCATGGCGGGAGGGATTTGTTCAAGGATGATATGCAGGGATTGGATGTAGGATTACGAGGACATGTTGATACAGTAAAAGAGGAATAGTTAGAGTGTAAACGAGGACTCGTATTCAGCTCCCATCTCAGACGCTTTCACATGCTTACGACGACAATTGATGGCTGAGTCTTGGCGGCAGTCGCGGCGGCGGAGGGGGCATTTACCCCCGAGATGGATTCATTCTCGAAAGTCGGACAGGCTACGATGCACTTTCCCAAGCTGTCGCCGTTACAATGTCGATTCACCGTGTCGCTGGCGGCATCGGTAATGGTCCTGTGTATCTATCTTTTCCTCTGGAACCCTCACTTCGCCTATGCCGCCGAGATAGAAACTACAAACAGCAGGCTGCCGGCGGCGGTCGTGCTGGATGATTATGCGCTCGACTTGACAGATGACCTGGACGACCTGGACGATGACGATCTAGAACTAGACGCGACTCAGCAAAACGAACAATACACGAAAAGAGCTACGGGAGATGTGGTGACTTTGGGTGGGAGCAACGTGCCTGGGCTGCTTAACATCGAGGCGGGCAACACTACCATCTGGCACTTCAGCAATACCTCGCTCTGGGCTCCCTACGCGAATGCCACGCCCGGTCTTCCCAGCAGCATCGATGATGGTGACACTGGCGATTCGGGCACAATCTACAAGAGACAGGCCGCGTCCCCCAGACTCGTTTACATATCCGTCACGACCTGTCTGCAACCACAATGGAATGGCTCCACCAACCAGACGACCATCCCGCCCCAGCTCACCCTCTATGTGTCCAATTCAACGTCCAACAAGGAGCCCGGCCCTAACGGTCCTGTCAGAGAACAGACGGCTATCAGACTCAATGAGGGTTTCGCCAACTATTCCATGAATGCGACAACCGACATCTACATGTCAGTCCACGCTCCTGACATGCCAAACAACTTTACTGGCATTTGGAACTACGAGATCGCCGCTTCCATCGACAATTACTATCACGGCGCTCATCCTGATTCTCCTTTTCTCTACCTCGTCGACACCGACACTCACGCCGCACTGCTCGTCACAAACAACCTGACCGAAGCCAATCCAGACGACATTGTCTACCAGCAGTGGATGAATCTCACCTCACCTTTTACCGTCTTTGTCCAACCCACAATCGATAAGAGTCTGGATGGTATGAGGAACAGCTACTGCGGCATGACCCACGCCAGCATTAACAACGCTTCGAGCTCCGTCCAGTCGGGCATGATCACTCGCGGTCTGGGCCACAAACCTAAAGAGCAGTTCTACATCCAGGAATTGAACGGCAGCACCTCGTACTTTGGTGTTCTGGCCATGGAAGGCAACTCGACAAAGACTGGTAGTGGTGTCGTCGGTGGTGGAGGTCAAGTCTGGCAGCCTGTCAACTTCCAGACAAAGGCCGACAACAACTGCGCCCTCGTCTTCAACCTGACTTTCTGCCACGATGTCGCATACGCTGTACCCAGCAATCCCGAGAGATACCCCGATCAACCATCCCTGAGCGCAGTCTACGATTCGTACGCCGCCGGCCTATACGAAAACTTTGCCAAATCACTTGACCAGATTCCTTGCAATACAACCTTGTCAGCACAATACTCCCCCGCCAAGAACTGCGACGACTGTGCCGACGCATACAAGCAATGGCTCTGTGCCGTCACTATGCCCCGCTGCGAAGACTTTTCCTCTCCTCTACCATGGCTGCAACCTCGCAACATGGGTCAAAAGCCCATCAACTCATCCTCCTCTGTTGGCAGCATGCCCAACCCAAACATGTACATGCAGCTTCAAGACCAGATGGATCAACAATACGTACCCATGACTTCTGCTCCTAGTGACAGCAACGCATTCCGTCAGACCTATGGCTCTGTGGCTGCTTCCAATAGCTCCCGCAACCCGAGCATTATCGTCGACAAAATTGCTCCTGGTCCGTACAAGGAGGTCAAGCCATGTGAGGACTTGTGCTTTAGTCTCGTACGCAGTTGTCCCGCTGCTCTGGGCTTCGGCTGTCCTGATCCAGGCAGAGGGCTTGAAGTGGACTATGGAGAGAGAAGCGATGATGGACAAGTTACTTGCAGTTACCTTGGTGCGGTGTATTATTTGAATGCTGCATCTGGTAGTGGGCCTTCATCGCTAGTCTTTGCAGTCACTATTGCTGCTGCAGTGTCGTTGTGGATATTGACTTGACAGCATGGTCTCGGGTAGAGGGTTCTTTAGCATAGCGATTGGCGTTTCTCTTTTCTTTCTTAGCTTTCTTCATGATACCAAAATACACCTTTGTTTCTCCTTCCTCTTCTTCATCTATCAATCTTCCCCCGTTGTCTGGCCATTCCTGGGCACTCGGAAAGAAATGATGGTTCAATCAACGTCAGCATGTCACAACGCTCTCAACCCCTCATCTCTCGTTCCATGGATCACTCTCTTCTTGAACAGTGTCTTTTTCCCACCATGGTTCGAACCAAACAAGTATATTCGAATCTCCTCGGAACAAAGTTGCTTTTGTGAATCTGACGGACAATGGCCTTACCGTGTCACGAGATGGTCTTTTGTGAAACATGTTTCCTTCTTCGTGTCTTCTAGAAGGAATGTGTGTATGGTGTGGGTGGAGGATGGGAGGTGCTTTCCTGGCCTTGTTTCATGTTAAGATGAATGGCTGGGCAAGCTGAAATATGATGACATGCTCGGGGCTTCTTGAGTCGAAACTCTGAGTGCTCTTAGGACAGTGATGGACAACAAAACATCGAAAAGGTAGTCAAGCTGATATTCAATGGGTCAAGTTCAAGTCTTTCGAGAAGACTTTTTCTATTTATTCGAGGTGTGCTATATACATTATCCAGGTCCTTCTAGAAAGGATGATGGTAGATAGGGTGGTGATATTTGTGTGTGCAAAGAATATACAATAAGCGTACATCCTAGAGGGATATATGCAGATCCGGCCTGATGCGCCGCGCTGGTGAGAAAAGACCTTCGTAAAGGTCTGGTATGGAGGTGGGTTCGGTACAAAAACCGGAAAGGGGTATATGCAAGAGACGACAAAACAAAAGACAAAAGAGGAAAACGTAAATCGTAATCAGGGGAATAGACCAAACGACGCTTATTTTGAAGCAACAACAGCAAGGGCAACGATGGCGCCAATGATGGCCACGCCCACAAAACTCATGATGCGATTGAGGTTTCTCCACCATCTTGCCTTCAGGTATCTGCGCTCTTGGTCCCAGTTTCTCATCTCGACCTGGAGGCCAGAAGGGTAGTGACTCTTCTCACCCTCGACCTCAGAGGAAAAGTCTTGCATGGACGCCTCGAGGTTGTTCATGCTAGCTTCCATGGGCCTGAGGGGCAAGGGCAGGAAAGCGGCGACCATCCAGAGGACTGGACACAAAAAGCCGAGGCAGAAGAACAGGATCTGGCGATTGCCGCGGGAGATGATGAGGGTGTTCAGGGCTTCATCGAAGCTAGGGGCACGCCAAGTGGAGAGGCGGTGGGACAGGCGGCGAGAGGGTGCGAGATGAGGAGGGGTGGTGTACATGTGGCTTGCGGAAAGAGATTGTGGGTAGTTGGATGAGCTGTAAGTTTGGTCGCGGGGAATGGCACGTCCAGAGTTGACAGTTTGCTGACGACGCGGCGGTTGGAAGACTGGCGCGGAGTTGTGTCTACCACGAGGTAGTGCCGGAGTGATGGCCATACTGTCAGTCGAGCTCGAGCTGGCACTGGCGCTGTCGACATCGCTGAAGTCAAGCTGGCTCTCATCAATGTACAGCTCAGCCAGGCTGCTACTTCTCGTAGCAGACATTGTGCTGGTGGACTGGCTGTGACTGATGTTTGCTCGAGGACGGTAAGGACGGAAGATGCTCGGAAGGAAGTGGGAAGATTTGGGAGAGTTGCTGTAGGGTGTGCCAGCTTGAGATTGAGGCAGGCTCATCAGGCTGTTTCCCGCACTTTCCCAGCGGCGGTGATGTGCCCAAGGCATCATGCGCACGGATTGTGAAGCGGAGCTATGAGGAGGTAACTGTCCATCCGAGAGTGCAAGACTGACACTACTCTCATTTCCGTGGGGGAAATGCAACTTGCCACGGTAAAAAGATTTGGCCCACTGAGGAAAGATAGAAGAGCCTTGGGATGTGCGGTCGGGGTTGTAGGTCGTTGCCATGGTATGGTTGGACCGCGCAGAAATTGGACGAGGCTCAGAGAAGGCCCTTCCGCGACCGAGGTGGCCCGATCGTTGAGTGCGCAATGGATGAGTTTGGAGCTCGGCGATAGTGTCATCCTGCTCTGATGGATTCTCCGCGGGAAGCTCGTGAATACCTGATGAGCTAGGGTGGGTGATCATCGGACTGCTAAGCTGCTGCGTATCACGGGGACTGCTCGAGAACAAAGGCTCAGGAACAGCGGAATTTGCCCGGTTCAGCTCCCAGCGTGAGCTCTCGGTCGACAGACTCTGGTAGTTGCTGTCGGTCAAGATCGACGAGTACGAGCTCGAACCAATGGTCTGACGTCTCACATACCAGTTTCCAGATTGAGAAGCCGGGTTAACCACGGGAGGTGATGTGAAGATATCGTCACTGAATTCACGTATGATCGACTGGCTAGAAGGTTCGGACTCGGATGCGATGGTGGACAGATTTGACATGCGCACTGCACCTGCGGACGCTGAATGCATGTGCGATCTCTTCTTGGCAACAGAGAGTGGTGGCAAGTTTTCCGTCTCGCTAGCGGACCAGGCACTGCTTGCAGAAAGTGATTGTGCGGTGGGCGGCCTGACCTGGGCATATTGAACCGATGTCATGCTTTCGTGCGACTTTGCGTACCGAACGACGTTGTATGAATTGGATCTCGAGTGTTCCGGGGGCGTGCTCGAATATTGGGACGGCGAGCTCACATCGTAAACCTCCACGTTAGGACCGGATGATCCCGATGCACTCCTTGTAGCCACAGAGCCAGCTCCAGTAGGCTGAGGATCCTGATCAACATTCTTTCGTGTGGTATCGGAGCCTCGTGAGGCAGTCCCCGATGATGAAGACGCCGTCACCGGACGGATAGTGGAAGACTCGAAACTCGTTTCTGCGACGGCCGGTAGAGCTTCTTCCCTGAGCCTTTCTCGCTCACGCTCTTCGGATGCAATTGGTGTTGGCGTGTTTCGCAGAGTTCCCTCCATAGAGAAGCGGAGGCTGGTTGGCGAGAATTGATCGTTGAAAACCGTATCCGCGGCAGAAGTCGTCGTTGACTGGGAGAAATTTGATGAGCGCTTCGAGTGTCTTGGGTTCATGGATTGTGCCGAGAGCCTTCCTGATTGACCAGGAGGCTGCAGCTTGTCGCGGACTTGTGAGTAGAGGTTGGAGCTTTCCTCGTCGTTTTGAATAGTGTACCCATGCTTTGAAGCCTTTGGAGGTTGAAGGACCTGCGACGGCTTGTGTGGAAAGGGATTTTTGTTTTGAACATTTTTCAGACTTGTATTCGAGTCAACGAGTCGAATGGTAGGTTGTTCGCCGTTGTCCCGATTAAGGTCCGAGGGAGTTCGCTCGTGAAGCACGCTGCGACTTCTGCTGGAAGCCGGTTTCAGGTTGAATCTGCCGCCTTGGTCCAGCTCGACAGAATGCCGCGCATGGAAAAAGCGGCCAGACATATGGGGTTAGAAATGGTCGTGGAAATAAGAAATATTGTTGAGATAAAAGAGTGACAAGTAATCGTTAGACGGAGTAATGAGCGTGATAGGCACTAGTAGATCGACATTTCAAAGAGCGGACGGAAATAGCTCCCAGAGAGACCCCAAACGCGTCGAGCTGCGCGAAGAAAAAGCTGGAAAGCGTGTTGAGCAGAGGAGAGAGCGATGGGCGGTTAAGAAACAGATCTGGACAACGCAGAAAAGATAGCGAGTCACGATAGCTGCGGGGAGAGGCGGGTCGAAATATATTGTAGGGCTGCTGGAAAGAGCGTGACTGGTGGGATAAACGAGAGACTGGGAAAGGGCCAAACCTTTGGCATCAAGAGTGGCAGATGGCCGTCCATATGAAAGCACTCGACACGTCCGTGCCATAGGAGTCAAAAGAGTCTACTGGCCATACAGTAGCCATTACGCCCTGAACCGGTTACGGGAGATGAGTTCCACACGGACAAGAAGCTGTCAGGATGGCCGGTTCAATGAGGCGTCCAAGTTGCCGGCACCAAGGGGCCTGACTAGCGCGGAAGCGACTCTCTCCGTCCCTGAAACGCCGTCGAGTCGCGGCTCTGACAGCCTGAGGAACCGCACAAAGAGATCGTTCTGCACAACATTGATACGCGAAGCCAAAACGGACGTCGCGAAAAGCTTGCCTGCGCGGGCTTTTAGTTCACAGATCCCCAAAAACAGATCGTAGGAAATTGCGAGAGGCCAACCAGCGCAACGTGCGAACCTCTTTCGCGGGACCTGCACACGCGGATGGGCGACGCACTGGCGACCGCGGGCTTGGGTTCAAGAAGCATGGATGTGATTTCCATCAAGCATCCGAGACGAACCATACATCATTGACCGTCTTCTCAAACATCGATTTTGACAGTAGCTTGCTTCTTCAATTTTCCTCGAGACGGCTTTCGAACAACCACGGGCGAGTAATTACGCTGTCGATAGCGGATAAGCAAGCCGGTTGTCTCCATCATACGTTTCAACTGTTGGCCGTTTCGTCATCTCCAGCGTCCATCCCCTTTGCTATTGTTGTTCGACTGCGACGCCAGCCGCACAGCATTCCTCCTACTCACACTGGCCGTTTGTTCTTGCCGTTTGTGCTGTAATCTCCTACACCAAAACATCTCACGCAATACGGAGGCTTCAGGGTTCGCGCCTGAGTGTCAAGCGTAATCGATTGTTGACCATCATGGTACCCACGAGTAAGTGCATATCGATACAGCGGAAAAGAAGAAAACCAAGCAACATGACTATCCGGCACATCATGGATATCGACAAGCGACGTTGTCAGTTGGAATCGCAAGAACTAATCTCTATCTTTTGTGACAGCGCCAGCAATCACTCCTCACGTGGCAGGTGGCCTCACCGTCCTGTTTACGATTATCTACATTGCTCCTTTCTACCTTTCACCTACACTGCGGAGCAACTCCATCGCGAATCGTAACACGCCTTCCGTCATTCAGGCCCGCATCCGCGCTGTGGTCTGGAGCTGTGTAACCAGCGTAGTCATTACCGTCTGCGTGCTCTCCTTTAAGGGACATGTCGCCCCACGGGAGGTGCTGCATCTGCTTGGCGTGTACCCAGTGAGTATCATCGATACTGCCAAGTCTTTTCTACTTGTAGCCATCCTCTTTGCTGGTCCCTTGTTTGAAAGAGCCGTCGTCGAAGGGGAGTGGAGAAGCTGGGGAGCTGTCACGGTCAAGGAAACGGTCTACGATGATTTGATAGGATGGCGTAACCTCGTGGTTGGCCCAGTAAGCGAAGAACTGGTGTTCAGAAGTCTCGCAATTTCCCTGTTCATACTGGCTCAGGTAAGTACATGTTCACATCTGCCGAACTACATCACCGGTCGTCTAAGAGCTGACTATCATTATCAGACGTCCGCTCGCCGTATAACGTTCACGTCACCGCTAATTTTTGGCGTGGCTCATGTACATCATTTGCACGAGACAATCAACTCTTCACGCCGGCCAGGAGCAAGTTATCTAAGCACTGCTCTGACGCCTTCGGTCATACTGCCTGGCTTGATCCGTTCCGTCTTTCAATTCTTCTACACGTCATTGTTTGGATTCATCGCGGCTTTCATTTACTTGCGGACGAGCTCTCTTATAGCATGCGTCCTTGCTCACAGCTTCTGCAACTGGATGGGTCTGCCTAGATTCTGGGGTCGCGTCGGACAAGAAGTCGGAGAAGAAATTTTAGACCAGTCACACAATGCTGACGGTAATGTTGCCGATGCCTTGCAGGCTGGTACAGACGACCAGCAGCTGTCCATCATCTGGACGATTGCATACTACATCATTCTCTTCTCAGGCGCCATTGCGTTCTGGAAACTTCGATGGTCATTGACACACAGTGATTCGGCCTTGACAGAATTTTAAATAGAAGACTATCTGTGGCCGTGCTCTAAGTCTCTTCCTCGCTGGCACCCACCACGGGCGCAGCTTCCGGCTCCCAATCGTCAGTCAAAACAGTCAGGATACCTGTGACTTCCTTGCAATGATGCGACAACATCTCCTGCATGTCGTTATAATCGCTCCTTTGCAGCGTGCCCCACTTCTTGCCAGGAGGCTTGAACTTATGTTTTTCCCAGACATAATGACCAGTGGCCACAAAGATCTTGGACGCATCTCTGTACCAGCGGTCCAAGAAGTCGTCGGTTGTGGACTTGTAGGATGGCAAGGTACACTCGTCGGAAATGAAGCCAATGACCTTGGTCAGCCTCTCTCTGCATCTGTCGTTCTCTTTCAAGAAATTGACAATGCTTGTGTATGCCTTGCCGATTCCCAACATGAAGATGTGCTTCGATTCACTCAGCCTACGCAACGATCAGCATTTATGTCTTCAAATCACAAGGCCATCTCGGATTCTTACTCAATGTAGTTGTCCCAAAGGTATTTTGCAAGCAGTTGGGTCTCGTCAATGGTCTTCTTTCCGTCGATTTCTTCCGCATGCTCGTGGGTTTCTTCAAGGTCTGTGAGATGTTTGGGCACATTGACATCAATCACGGCGAAGCCTCGATCGTAAGCCCATCGTATATATTGCTTTACAGAATCAGTCTTTGCACAGTGTCAGTGGACGTGGTCGACATGTGATTGGGATGAAATACTTACCAGCCATGTATTGTGAAGCTCGAGCCTCTGAGTCCTTGGATCGGGTGTGCCAACAAGGTCTGGAGGGTCATGAAATATGACCAGCAACGGACGGCTTTCAGAATGGTTCGAGCTAGAAATCACGTTAGCCACGGTCTGCCAAGTTGGCCAAATGTACTTACGTCGCCAAGACCTGATTTGTGAAACTCCTTGATGTCTTGCTGTGCGCGATGAAGAGATCTGACATGCCCAAGTTTTCCCACAGCCAGCCAGCTTGATACTCCCTGACAATGTCGTGAATCCGCTCGCCTTCTGTTTGCTTGATGCGTTTAGATGGATCCTTGGGGTACAGACACGGCCAGTACTTGGCTTGCTGACGCAAAACTTCCTCGATGCTGTCCACGCCAGAAGGTGTGGGTATTGTGGTCGCAAGTCTTCCAGGTGGTTCTCCCATTAGTGTTCTTGTGACTGCAAGAGCCGAAACCGCAATCGACCTCAAGTTGTAACCTCCTTCAAGACAGACAGCGACCTTGCCATCAGCCAAAGACATAAGCATGTGCGTCATGTGAGCATAGCCAGCTGGTGACACATGACATTTCCCAAGCATATCACCCTCTGCTGCATCAAACCCGGCAGAAACCACAACCAGATCCGGATCGAAGTCCTGTGCAATTGGCATCACAATCTTCTGGAAAGCGAGCACATAATCTGCGTCCGTCATGCCTGCTGTTCTCCAGGGAATGTTGATGTTCTTGCCCAGGCCAGGCCCTTCACCACAGTGAAGATGGTCACCCTTTGGTCCAGCAGGGTAGAATTTGCCCCCTTGGTGGACATGAAGGGAGATATACAGCACGTTAGGGTCGTTGTAGAATGCCTGTTGTACGCCGTTGCCATGATGTACATCCCAGTCGAGAATGAGGACTTTACGACATGTGTCTTTGAACTCGTTCTGGCAGGCTTTGACGGCGATGGGTACATTGTTGAATAGACAGAAGCCCATCGGTTCGTCATGTTCGGCATGGTGACCGGGAGGTCGGATTACTGCAATCGCGTTCTTGACATGTTCATTGAGAATACCCCGACAAGCCTCGATCGCACCTCCAGCTGACAGCCTTGCGCACATTGGGGAGTTCTTGGATAGATAGATACTATCCATTTGAGAACCGCCGTTGTGAAGATCTTCGTTGTCCCAAAGTTCTAGACTGATGACGAACTCCCAATGTCGCTCCGAGTGCACCGCGCAGACCTCCTGTTTGGTGACGAACCTCGTCGGGATCCTTGCAAGTACCGAGGGTGCCAGACTGACTGTGCTTGGATCGTCGACCAAGCCCGCATCAACTAGTTCTTTGTATATCGCGTAGATCCGCCGTGGGTCTTCTGGATGCACGCCCTGGTTGACTTCTGGGCGGACCTCCACATGGAACCGCATGCGGACATCGTACACGAGGCCAGTCTGAGAGGTTGAATAAGGCAGCTGCTCCAAAGCTGGCTTTGCTGTAGTCGTCATTATTTCTTGACGAAACGATGGTGATCTTGAGTGAGCGACTCGGTCACCATTTGAGAGCTTCTGATGTTTTGTTTGTGCAACTGGAGATCTCATGTCTAGCACAAAAGGATCCATATTTATTGTAGTTTCGTGGACCTCTGTGGTGTCCATCACATCACCATCCATAAGATGGTCAGGGATATCCATTGTGGTGGGTGTAGTTCGTCTTATGGATAGCACATTTCACAATGAGAATTTGCTTGATGGCTGTCAGCAAACTGCGAAAATGTTTGTTAACAATGAAATGATGTGATTGCTATATTGAGCCATAAATGAGAGGAGGGTGAGAGTAGAGGTCACGTACGTCGCTGGCGTTTGCCGCTTGTAGGTAAGTTGGCAATCTCAAAGTAGTGATGAGTGGGTGTTAATGAGACGGATCCAGGCAGGAGTCCAATAATAAAGCGATGTGACATGTAGCTGCTTAGAGTACTAGCATCTGATGCGCGTTAAGTGATAGGTAGACAGCGCGTCCTGATGCGCGGCATCTTCCGGAATAGGCAATCCAGTACTGACCGAGCACGGAGAGTAAAGGCAGGATATCCCTCTCCAATCAGATATCACTTTCACTTAAGCATCATACAGTATTATTGGCCGGTCGGGCCTTCCTTCTGATGCTTTTCACTCACTCGATTCACGAAGTGATGCAAGATCAGTGGCATAGTCATCCCACTTTCTTCCAAGCACTGAAGTATTCTTCTAAATTGGTACCAACATCGTTTATAGACGATTCACAACCAAGTAGACTTTCAATAAGCATCAGAGATCACTTAAAGTATAATTGAAGCTCATTCCAGTATTTTAAAATACCACAGAGATGGCAGACATGGTCGGGAAGGATCCGTTGGAAGAAGGTCAGGGTGCTTCTCTAAGCTTGGATTGACTTGGTCTAATCAAAGGCACCACCACGGCCGTAGCCAATCAGCGTAACACATTCTGATTCAAAGCATCAGATTTCGATCGATCCAGAGGACTGCTCAAGCAAGCAAGCAATCAATCGCAGATTAATGTTATTCTGTGTAGTGCTATCTTCCAAGGAGGTAGTGGTGAATGCCTGTCAAATGACTGTACCTGATAGTGCCGGTCACTCTGCATCTCAACGTTGTGATAAAGTTGAGCGCCTCTCTTTCGAAGCACGTATGATCCAAGCTCGGACTCGGATGCATTGTATGGTGTGACGGCGTTCCGTGAATAGATATTTTGTTGCTTATATTTCTAGGGGCACAAAATCATTGTTAAGATCTGACTTCGGCCTCCGAGCTTATCAACATTGCTAGCGGAATGGTTCCATAATCTTAGTAAACTTCCCGATCTGTGAGGACTAATGCAGGTTAATGTGTACTAAATTGCCAATCTAGACTTTGTCAGCGGGGATCGAAGACCCGCAATTAATTGTGAGTTAAGCTGGGGTAAACATTGTATATATTCTCTTGCCATCCCTGCCAACTGCCGGTTCTTTCTTCCATCCACTCAATTCACCTATATTTGTATTATCCAAAGCTTCTGCTTGACATATTTCAAAATGGCACCCAAAGTCGCTATCGTTTTCGTACGTTCCAATGCACCTGGCCATCATGGTCAATCTTTTTTTGAGCTCGAGCTCGGACCGCTCCAAATGGAATCATCGGACTAACATTGATGTAGTACTCGATGTACGGCCACATCCTCCAGCTCGTCGAGGAGGAGGCCAGAGGTATCAGAGAGGCCGGTGGTGTTGTCGACATCTACCAGGTCGAGGAGACCCTCTCCGAGGATGTCCTTGCCAAGATGCACGCCCCTCCCAAGGTAAGAAACGACACTCAAGATCGATCAATGCAATGATATACTGACATTGTATGACAGGCCAACTACCCCATCCTTTCCGACCCCAAGACCCTTGAGCAATACGACGGTTTCCTCTTCGGTATCCCCACCAGATACGGCAACTGGCCCGCACAGTTCAAGGCCTTCTGGGACAAGACTGTAAGCTGCAGCGCTATATCCCAAAGCTCTTGACATAGCTGACAATCTACTTCAGGGTGGCCAATGGCAGACCGGTGCCTTCTGGGGCAAGTACGCCGGTGCCTTCGTTAGCACTGCCACCCCCGGTGGTGGCCAGGAGTCTACCGTCATCAGCGCCATGTCGACCTTCGTCCACCACGGTATGATCTTCGTTCCCCTCGGCTACAAGACCGTCTTCGGCACTCTCGCCGATCTCACCGAGGTCCGCGGTGGCTCCCCCTGGGGTGCTGGTACTTTCGCCGGTCCCGACGGCTCTCGCCAGCCCTCTTCCAAGGAGCTCTCGCTCGCCTTCGAGCAGGGCAAGGCCTTCTGGCAAGCCCTCACCAAGCAGAACTTCACATGACTGCATGGTGGCGCCGCGGGTGCGGAGGCCAACAACAGACAGGAGGCCGTCGGTGGTGGTGCACCCGTCACCGAGCCCAGTCAGAATGAGCAGAAGAGCACTACACAGCCGCCCAAGCAGCAGACTTCGACCGAGCCTCAGCACAAGGAGGAGCACGACAAGTCTGGTCCCTGTGGCTTGCCCGTCAAGTGCATTCTTTCCTAGAGTCTGATATCCCTCCTGCGTTGTTTGGTAGTTCTAGATTTGAATAATTATACCCCCTTGTTTTCGACCCAGCATCTATACTTCAAAGCACTTGCTAGCTTGTGATCACAACCAATGATGATATAAGTTATAAATGAGGTATGTCTTTTGTGATAGGAGCAATATGATGTTATTTTCTGTTACTTAAAAGGCTGTTTGCAGAGCAAAATACTTGTACTCGAGTAGTTCCTTCCAATTTGTGCGACAGGCACAATATTAATGCCTTGATGCCTCGTCACGTGTTCACGAGCATGTGATCGTTCATTCACTTCTGGTCGTCAATCAGCTTGGCAACCATTGCAGACAGCTTGCCGAGCTTGTTGTTGGTGTTGTTGATGCTCACTTCCATGCTGTTGAGTTTGTGGATGATCTTGTCGAACTTGTCAAGGTAGGCCAAGCTTGCGTCATGCTGAGAGTCGATCACCTGTCCCTCCTCTTCGTGTGCAGGACTTTGTCACGCGCATGCTGTAGAAATGCACAATGTTTTTAACATCAGTGCAGCCCTCCACTGAGAGTGTGACAGGGAGGAACTCTCAGAGGGTTGTTCTCGCTGTTGTTGTTGGGATGGAGGAATCCATGGTGAGGGGCGTTTGAATAGTTCTTTTGGCAGGGTGTTACAAGAGGAAAGTGCATGTGAGGAGTTCATTCCCTTTTAAATCAATGGAGGAAGGAGCAATAGACTTATCAGACTCATCAGACTCATAGTGTTATAGGCAGCGACCATAGCACGTGTGAACGCCAAGATATGACACAGTTGATAAGGAGGCAACAAGGTAAATCCCAATGTTATCGAACATTGCATTTATCAAGCTCTGATATTATTAGTCGTTAAGCATCTAAGATTACATGTGGTTGAGTGTGCAACAAGCACTCTGGATCATGGCCGGGCGCCGTTTTTTGTACCACCTTTCCCTTCTGTGAGGACGCCAATGAGCTGTTGTATCTTTTGATAGCAAGTGAAGCAGAGCCATCTGACGGTCGGTCTCAGAAGCACTTCTTAGGCTGGTGTTTTCCTTCCATTGAAGATATGAAATAGACATAATAGTCAAAGGCTTCAGCTTCCGGCGAGAGCACCCGCGATCTGCAAACTCAGATCGAGAATAGTCAGGTGCTCATCGCTGCCGTCGATCAATCTTTTGTCTGTCTGGGAGAAGGACATGACAATGCGGTTCTTCTTCGGATTGTCGATCGAGTCATCCATGAGGATTTGTTCGTAGAGTTGTGAGACGAGCTGTGTGGCGCTCCAGCCTTCAGCGACCAAGTCCTGAACAACATGAGAAACGGCATCATAAACCGAGATTCTTGTGTTAGGCTGCATGGCTTGAACGAGACGGCTGACAGTTCGGTCAGGGACGACGCCAGCAATCTCTTCCACGCTACGAACAGAGACTGATTTAGCTGTGGCTTGGTCGTCGACGTCCATGGCATCATCATCAGGCTTTGATTGTTCTGCACCAGCAAGACGAGCGGCCGACTGCAGGAACGTAATGGCCTTTCGCAAGTCACCCTCAGCGCAACGGATCAGAGTATCGACAACCCCATCGTCAAGCTTGACCTTCTCCATTGCGGCGATGTTTTCCAATCTCTTGCGAGCATTGCTTCCGTCTAAGCTCTTGAATCTGAACTTGCTGCATCTACTGGCCAGTGGGTCGATGATGCGAGTAACGTAGTTGCAGATGAGACAGAAGCGGGTGATCTTGCTGTAGGTCTCCATGGTACGACGTAGGGCAGATTGGGCGTCTTGAGTCATGGAGTCTGCCTCGTCAAGGATGATGATCTTGTATGGAGGGCAAGGGTACTTCTTGCGGTACTCTTCTCCAGCGGGGCCGGAAGGAGGATTTGAGAGTTGCATACGGGCAAAGTCCTTGACCTTCTCACGAACAATGCTAATACCACGCTCATCTGAGGCATTGAGCTCGAGAACACGAGTCTTGATGAGCTCAGGGCCGTACAGTTGTTTTGCAAGAGCGAGGACGGTCGAGGTTTTGCCAGTACCGGGAGGACCATAGAAGAGCATGTGTGGGAGGTTTGCGGATTGTAGGGTTCGGCGAAGGACATCGACAGTGTGTTCTTGGGACGAGACGTCATCGAGCGACTTGGGACGGCTGTGACAAAGTCAGCAGATGCTAGGTGATGGGTCAAAGCAGTAACCGACTATTTCTCGACCCATGGTTGCAGGCGATTATCGACTTTAGGACCGGCAGCTTTGGAGGAGCCCTCGCCTGATGCACCAGCAGCAGCAGCGGCTTTGCGAGCCTTGAGATCGAAAAAGCTGGCCATACTTTGGTGTGATTGATGTGTCTGATGAATTGGTAGACGAGACTTGACGGCGCGACAGACGAGGCACACGCGTTGCAGCACGCGGAGCTTCAATCAAGTCTCAATGGGGAAACACCCGCCCAGACTCTCCCGATCTCCCGAACGTGGCCGGCGTCATACAGACATGCAGATGCAGATGCGCATGCGACTTTGTCTCGACCATTTGCTTTCTTGTACTTGTATGTCTGTCGCACATGGTCTCGGAATAATGCTCGTGGCACGACACAGCAATACATGATAGTCCGGAAATGAACCATGCGCCCGCCTCGTCGCTCTCGACCGACAATGCCACCAGGAGAGAGCGCGTCCAGCGCAACAAGGCCACCTTCAACAAGAAGAGAGACGCCTTCCTACAAGACCTGGTTCGCAATCTCGATCTCTTGATCTATGCACAGCTATCCACCGTCTATTACATGGAGTGCGCCCAATTCCACATCCTCACTCATCTCACCCTCCCACTAACTCTCCCACAGCTGCTCCTTCACACGCTTCCTCGTGCGCGCCGTCATCCAGTTCATGTTCCTGACCCCCAAGCCTGCCTTTCTTCCTGAGCCACCCCATCCCAGGCCATATCTTGGTGCCATCGTTGGCTCAAACTTCTTGATCATCCTTCTACATATTCTCCTTGTCCGTCCCGAGGCTGGCGAGGCCACCAGAGGTTATCTCCATGGCGGCCTGGCTATGGACTTTATCGGCCAGAAAGGGCCTACCTCAAAGTTCCATCTGGTACTCCTGGACATCTTGATACTGCTCATGCAGCTCATCCATCTGGCCGCGACTGTCACCCGTCAGAGAGTCAAACAACAGGCATCTACCACAACCACTCCTCCAACTGCCGTTCAAAACCACGACTTCGAGGAGCGAGGTCAACACAGATCCGATCATCAGCCTGTCGACCAAGAACTGCATTCGCTCAACCCCAACAACGACCAGCCCGAAGAAGCCGAGTCTAACACTCAGCCAGACGAAGAAGCCGACGAGAGACAGGCTTTGCTGGCCTCGACTGCGCCTCGCACAGACTCGTACATCTTCGACGCCTTCAACAGCGGTGAGATTATGATTGCGGATCTGAACCTCTTCGACGTGATCAAAACACAGCTCAAGGAGATGCGTGACCCCGTTCAAACGACGGGCACGGCTCCCTCTACGGCAGGTGGTCTACGTGCGAGACTAGCAGACCGTAGTGCCTTCTTCCGCATGCGTGTCGGTGATCGTATTTTCAATGTCTAGACTCGGGCCTGATGTATCCAGCAAACCGTCCATCGTCCCCCCAGACTCAACCCCGCCTTCGCCTAGTCACGGCTTTGGAGAACGTTTAGCCTTACCGACACTTGAATAGAATTATGACGCCACGAAACACATCGTCTGTAACACCTTCTTCATTCATCTGCTGCGTACGTGTACCTGTGTCTGTGGCTACCCCAGTTTCTGACGGCAAGGCCGCCGGATCCCGAAGTGCAAATCTCTTTCCTGCTGGCAGGGCCGGCTTCCGGTCGGTCAGCAGCTCTCCACGTGCCATTGTCCGTTGAATTTGCACCATCTTGCGCCTTGCCTGTTTGCTGGTTTGCGTGATCGTGACATGGAATGACAAAGAAGTTTTTTCGCCTTCTCTGCCGCCATCTGGGCAACAGACGTCAATTTTCATTCGTATCACACAATGCCACGAACCTGCATTGGCGGTACTACTCTGCCAAGGGCTTGCTTTCGACTTCATCTTCTCATCTCCTCGGTGGTCGCTTCTCAGCTTTGCAATCCAGGACCAACCCCTCCCCCTAGCGCTTCGTGATCAAACCACCGTCCTGGGTACTTTTAAACTACAATGGACCGTTTGATCAGGGTGATTGAAAAATAGCTCCGAGCGGGCGTCACGAGGTACGCTCTTTGTTGCCGAATGGCTCTTGGCCCCGGATCTTTAGATTTTTATGGGGTAATATGGGGGTAACAGAAATCCAAAATCAGTCGTACGGAATGCGCAAGTCACCAAGATTTTTGAATCATCCACCTAGTTGTGACTAATACCTGCAAGCCCTTTGCGATCCTTTCGCACGTTTTGCTCATTACCTCTGCTATGGTTCGATCGTTCCACGTGAACACCTGGTGTAGACGTCCGTGTAGTCCGTTGCTTGAGGGGCACATGAGTTTTTTCTAACGTAAGGACAATGCACCTTTATGGGGAGATATAGTCCTGGTCAAGTCCTTTTCTTCATGTCCTGCCTTCTCCTTCTGACTCTTCCAACATCTATCCACTCTCACTTTTTCATAATAGCATAACAGTTTGTTGAAGCTTTCATCACTGTACTGCTACATCAACAACATGCACATCAACGAATTACCTGTGGAGATACTCTCCTCTATACTCGACTATGCCGCTCAGATGAATGCCGAGATTGGCGTTCAATACACCTTTGGCCTCACACAAGCTCCTCTGCCCATCTCCAAGACACCATTGACCAGATACATCAGAGGACCTGTCCAGCCCGAAGCACAGCGCTGGGATGGAGCATCTGCTATCCGTGGTGTCTGCAGGATGTGGCACGACTGGGCCCTTCAGAACACCATCAAGACCGTATCGATCCGAAGATGGCAAGGCTCGGAGCGATGGGCTGAGATTCCAACTCGCCGCAACTCTTACGGAGCTTATGAGCTTATGAGTAAGCCCAGAGGCAGCGCAGTGTATCGTGATCCCTTTGGCTTCCTCAAGAGCGCTGTTAAATTCTTTTCTCAGTTCCCAGATGTGGCGGGCCAGGTCCGCCGCATGTTCTTTGACGGTTTCCACACCGTTGAGACAGACCGCATGATCTTCGCGGTCCTGAGAAGCTGTCGTCATCTCGACTCTATCAGTGTGCCATGGACGCTTCTACGACACGGAACTGCACAGGACTGGATTCATTTGCTTGGAATCTCGTCCGAGGACGATGTTCCTCTCAAATCTCTTGAACTGAGAGCTACGTGCCTTGCTAGTGCGCAGGAGAAAGAGTGGCTGGATGTCGAAAACACTCACCCACTTGCCAATCCTCGCGTCAACTTCGCACACCTCAAGCGCCTCAAGATCTTCGGCAACACCAGTTTGATGCCCATAGATGACGAAGACATGTTCAACATCGCCCGTAGCGCAACCAACCTCGAAGAATTCCACCTCACCAATCTCTCCACAATCACAATCGCCGGAGTGATGGCCATAGTCAACTCCTCAGCAAACACCCTCCGCGTTCTCGAGCACTCTCCTCGCTCAGACGACGGCTTTTTCCACCCTCACCCTGGTCATCTCTCCCCAGACACTCACGTCTGCGACTCCTTGGCTTCTTGCCCTCGCCTCAGAGACCTCTCCATCTCCGTACCCAGTATGTGCGCCTGCCTCTTCTCCCACGAAGACGTAGTCTGGGAAGGCGAGTGCCAGGTCCGTGCCCTCGAACTCTGCGACCGCGACGACAGCAGCACAAATGAATCCCACCGCGCCCAACAACTCCAAAGATCACGCCGCCTACGCGACGTCCTCGAATCAGCACGCACGCTGATGCAAAACCAGAAGCGCAAGCGTAGAGAACTTGACATCGAGCTCTTCTTCGCCGACTGCATCTTCGATCCCGCCGAGAGGGTCGTCCACGGTGATTTCTCCTTTGCGGAGGTCTCTAGCAATGGCGCTTGGCCTATGCATTATGAGACTTCTGCCAAGGGGCCATATGGATCTACCGGTGTCTATGGTAAGACCGAGAGCTCGTGGATCTGTGTGGATGAAGATGAACTCATCCGTGCTGTCGAGAAGAACTGGTTCAGACTTTGAAGAGGAGGCTGGTGTTTCATCTTTTTTTTCTTGTCTCTTTTCTCTTCTCTCCTACTCTTACTTGTTGATGCTGTTTGACACATTGACGAGACCCACGATTCCTGCTGTTGCTTTCTAGCGAGCCCTGCTTCCACTCCACTACTATGCATTCAGCGAGGACAAAAAAAGTTGCTTCTGTTTCTGCTTATTCCGATCATGATTGACATGGAGTTTGATGATGGTGTATTATCTTTAGCGTCGTTATTAAATCTAATATTCTTTGCTTGCTACTAAAAAGATGTTGTTACAAGAGAAATCAATATGCTGTAGATCGTGAAATCTCGCGATGTGAAATGCCGCTTAGCATGCTCTTCAGATCTTTTAAGTCGACTTCTTGGCAGCTTCCAAGTGCCATTCGAAGACCTTTCTGAAGATACCCTTGCCCTCCTTCTCAATCACATCGCCGTGGCAGGAAATGATGCGCTCAAAGTCCCACTTGTCAATCCTGGCGATGCTCTGGTTGAATGCAGGTCTATCTCCTGAACTGACGCCGTACCAGAGGAACCTCTTCTGCCAGATGGCCGATCCAGCCGTGTTGTTGATCTTGCACATCAGCTTGGTGAGAAGGCCAGCCGTAGGGCTGATGTCAGTACGCGAGTACTGTTCGGTAGCCGGCAGATTGAACATCAAGTCGGCCTGAATCAACGTCTTCGAAGGTCTGTGGTTGAAAACCAACTCCTTGTTCTGATGGCCGTGCACATACTCGGCGTCGAATTCACGATCAAAGGCCTCATCGATGTTCCAGCTCACATTGTCTCTCGGGCGAAACAGGTTCGTCCAGGGCAACGGCTTCTTCTGACTTTCGCGCTTCTCTTTCAACACATCTGGGCCGATGAGTGTGGAGCCCGGGAAAGCCTTGTGCCAGTCGTCCATGAAGATGTGGTGTTCGGCGTCGTTGGCGACGATGTATTTGACGGCTCCGAGTTTGTCGACGCGACTACGGACCTCATCGGTAAGGGCGACGGGTGAAAAGACGGCTACGCTGCCATTCTGCAGACGAACTGAGACGCGTTAGCTAAAGAGTATGGCAATGAGCTTGAGAAAACGTACCCAGCGTGCCACGACCGCCAATGTTTATATGACCGAAGCGCGAGAAGGGTAATGAGAGTGTGACAACATCCGGCGTGATGTTGCGAATAACCATGACCTTATCGGGGTTTGGCGGAATGAGCTTGCTTGTCATTTTGAACGTGGTGATGTTGTAGTTGTCTGGTGTGGTGCTAGTCGCTCTTTCCGATTAGGAGATCTGTTGGCGTCGTATATGGCAGTGACGAATTTCGATAAATATGAGAACAATAATATGAGAACTATCAGGAATATGGGCTCCAAGACTCTTTAAAGATGTTGCGAAACAGAATAGAAACCCCAAGCCTATCCGCCTATGGCCTGAGTGCTGAGGTGATGACTATGACGCACTCTGCCGATCGCGCCTTTCTTCTAGAGCCCGGCGAGCCCTTGGATCCGGAACTTCCACATCCGAATGAAACATCAGGGGAACAACTTCTGATGACTCTCGACAGAATTGCGTGGCTGCTTACAGAGCACTTGTCCATGGAAAAGATTACAGACCTGCTTCTAGAAATAGCTTGCGAGATTGGCTGTACTCCTGACAAATTTTGCGTCTTGTTCTTACAGGTCCAGAACGTACGCACATCTCGTACTAGTACACATAGAAGCAAGGCTCGGGGTCACAACTCGTTATCTGAACTGTCGCCTTCTACTGACATGCGCGTATGGGGATAGGAACCACATAGAAACCGAGATTCATGAATATAGACTGCACGTTGAACCAGTTATCAGAAGACGAGGTGTTTTTGACAATCTGTTGCTTGGTCACTGGAAGTCGCACTTCTTCATTGTCTTTTCGGACAAATAGACTGGAACCAGAAATTTCCGGCATTTGGACGTATGTTTGGTGTGGCATCTTGCCAGGCTGAGAGCTCACTTTTGATACGGTTTCACACCCCATCAATCTTCTGTCGGGGTGCATATTCACCAACAGCTTGATTCTCGCACAGACAAAAGTTTTACGAAGGGACGCAACTCTGTGAATTGACTTGATTGGTTTGTAGGGGTATTCTCCTGATGGTTGAATCTTCTCGTCAAAGAATACGGAGGTGTCCGTGAAAGTCCACCAGCAATGCCTGGTGGAGGGCGTGTAGAAAACTACAGCGCGCACTAGAAGTATCAATCTTTGTACGATCCGAGAAGTCAAATTGGATGCGTGCAACTACGCAAGTAGTGTAACCGCCAATGCGAAGCTGAAGCATGCGTATTCGTGCTCTTGATTTTGAACTCAAGTGTTAGCTTCCGACTCGGGCCCACGTTGAACTGCACGATTCAGACGGCGCAGCGTCTCGCTCGACAACGAAGGTGCGATGCCTTGCTGGGCCAATATCAGATAGTTGGCCATGGCGTAGTTCAGCGAATCGACGGGTCCAAGATGGCGGAGTATTTGCAGATTGACTTCGGTGGGAACAGACAGTTGGCCGGTGGTACGTGTTCTTGGGACTGCTGCCTGATGGACAAGGCGGATCATTGTGCACGATGACAGCAAAGGAGCCATGGAGTGTCTGACGAGTAGATGATAGTTTGCAAATCCGAAGGAGAGGAGAGCATCTGGAGCAAGATAGCTCATGATCTCAAGGATGAGTTCAGTAGGCAGCCCACGGAAGAAACGCGGAGGTTGCTGAGTTATCGATTGCATCGTTGATTGGTGGGAAGAATTGTGGTTAGAATCTGGCATTCCGTAGCAGGCGGTTCTCAGTCAGAGTGCTGCTTCTCCTGGACAAAGAGCTGCAACTTGGCCCATGCGAAACCAGATAAGAACCAACTAGCAACAGCCAGCAGAATGATGTAGGCGGCTGTTGGTAGCAACGACTGAGGGAAGACGTTCAGAAGGTATGGATCGAGGACTGTGAAGTGATTAGTTACAGGACGACTGAGTTCATAAAGTTCGAGAACATACTGATATCAACGTCGACAGGTGGAGGGTACTGCATCAATTCTTTGTTGGTGGTATAAAAACTGGCCACCGACTGAATGCGAAGAAAGAGGGCAGATTGCTTGACGGCAGTGGGTTCGCTAGAGCCGGTCAAGTCCTCTCCGAGCAACGAAATCTGGCGCTCTTCGGCGTAAATACTGAGGTCCTGCAACAAGGCTGGAGAATCGAAGACGTCTGTCACTTTAAATGACTCCAAGAGGAAGTCTGTGGGTTGCTGTGGAATGTGTTAGCCATGTTGTACTGTTGTTTGTATGGTTCTTTGACAATACCGTCGCCGCCCAACAGATGCGCACTTCGTAGCGTTGGCCAGGACGTAGACCCCCTAACAGATACCAAGATGATAAACCACGAGGGTATTCCTCAGTGGGAAATACTACAGGAAGAGCGGTTCGGATAGCAAGTTTCTTTGGTGAAAGCGACACAAGATGCAGGTCTAATAAATTTGGGCGAGCATCTCCAAAGGCTATACTCTCAGGCGCAGTAAAGATTGTCTTTTCCACGTTGGCTATGGCAGGAGCGGCCAGGAAGCATGTGTAGAGCAAGATAGACAGGATGAGCATCATCGATGGGTCAGAGGCAGCAGAAGAACAGATTTGATTAAATGTCCCGGTCGAAGCATCGATCTGAGTGATTAATCAGTCTGCAAGAATCAGTTAGGCAGACTCAGCAGTGATATAGCTTCTTGGACGGGTCATTGGCTGGAGGCTGGGGTGCAAGAAGCGGGTTGAAGAGGGAAGGTGCGCCAAGACCCTAGCTGTAAACAACAACAAGAAGGGTCGTGCTTTCCTCACTTCCCCTTCTCTTGACAAGCAGACCGTTTCTCGACGACCACGCCGACCACCCATTTCCGACCAGTTTTTCGATCACCTCCTTGTCCCATCTCTCGTCCGGTTCCAGGTCATCCACAATGCGTGAAGTCATTAGTTTGAACGGTATGTCGACCTTCCCTGGAGCTCTCGAGCCCACGCGCGCCAGACCGCCCCTTGGCCTGTTTCATCCGCCTATGTTGCTATTGATGCTGACTTTTGATGATAATAGTCGGCCAGGCCGGTTGCCAGATTGCCAACTCGTGCTGGGAGGTGAGATTATACTGCCATTGATTCGACGCATGGCCATTATCGCCTGCGCCGTCTGCGAAAAGGGTCCCGACTGACATTTTGGCTGCCTAGCTCTACTGTCTCGAGCACGGTATTCAGGTACACGATCTTCCTCAAGCTCCATCATCGCGCGCACTCTTGCTGACAAAACACTAGCCTGACGGTTACCTCACCGAGGAGCGCAAGGCCGGCAGCGAAGACCAGGGCTTCTCGACCTTCTTCTCCGAGACTGGTACGCATTGCACCGATCCCTCATCGACCTTGACACGCGAGCTAACATGCCTTCCAAGGCAACGGCAAATACGTTCCCCGTACCATCTACTGCGATCTCGAGCCCAATGTCGTCGACGAGGTCCGCACCGGCACCTACCGCAGCCTGTTCCACCCCGAGCAGATGATCACTGGCAAGGAGGATGCCTCGAACAACTACGCCCGTGGTCACTACACCGTCGGCAAGGAATTGATTGACCAGGTTCTTGACAAGGTCCGCAGAGTCGCAGACAACTGCTCTGGTCTCCAGGGCTTCCTCGTTTTCCACTCCTTCGGTGGTGGTACTGGTTCCGGTTTCGGTGCTCTCCTCATGGAGCGCCTGTCCGTCGACTACGGCAAGAAGAGCAAGCTCGAGTTCTGTGTCTACCCTGCTCCTCAGGTCGCCACCTCGGTCGTCGAGCCCTACAACTCCATCCTCACCACTCACACCACCCTTGAGCACTCTGACTGCTCCTTCATGGTCGACAACGAGGCCATCTACGACATCTGCCGCCGCAACCTCGGCATCGAGAGACCTAACTACGAGAACTTGAACAGATTGATCGCTCAGGGTATGCATTCCTAAGCCGCCATGACTCTGTCACAAGAACTAACCACGCACTCAGTCGTCTCTTCCATCACCGCCTCTCTCCGCTTCGACGGTTCCCTCAACGTCGACTTGAACGAGTTCCAGACCAACTTGGTCCCCTACCCCCGTATCCACTTCCCTCTGGTTGCCTATGCTCCCGTCGTTTCGGCTGCCAAGTCTGCCCACGAGGCCAACTCTGTCCAGGAGATCACCATGTCCTGCTTCGAGCCCAACAACCAGATGGTCAAGTGTGACCCCCGCAACGGCAAGTACATGGCCACCTGCCTGCTCTACCGTGGTGATGTCGTCCCCAAGGACGTCCACAGCGCCGTCGCTACCCTCAAGACCAAGCGCACCATCCAGTTCGTCGACTGGTGCCCTACTGGTTTCAAGATCGGTATCTGCTACCAGCCCCCTCAGAACGTGCCCAACGGCGATCTCGCCAAGGTCAACCGCGCCGTGTAAGTTTGATCCGTGAAACATGATTGAAATGCCCGTGCTGACTGTCAATTTAGCTGCATGCTTTCCAACACCACCGCCATCGCCGAGGCTTGGTCAGCTCTCTCTCACAAGTTCGACCTCATGTACTCAAAGCGCGCTTTCGTCCACTGGTACGTTGGCGAGGGTATGGAGGAGGGCGAGTTCTCCGAGGCCCGCGAGGACCTTGCCGCACTCGAGCGCGATTACGAGGAGGTCGCCGCCGACTCTGTCGAGGGTGAGGAGGGTGTTGAGGCTGAGTACTAAGCGCATAAAACCGCTTTTGGCTAGCGGCCGACTTTTCGTATCATCGTGTTTATGAAAACCATTGTGGTGTGGTTTGGGGAGCCTTCAGGTCCGGTAGAAAAAAGGACCACACTCATGTTGAAATGCTTGTGTCTTTAATACAGCGACTTTACCGTTTACTTTTTTTTCTGATCACGTCTTTCCAGTCCGCCCCATTTCAATCTTCTACGTGATGTCAAAGCATATTGCGACTCTGGGTGACAAGTTATTGAGCTCTTGTGCTCCGTACAGCTCGAGGTATTAGAGGTTATGCTTTCCGATACAGACAAGCAACCATCAGACAGCCAGGGTTTGATTGAATTGTGATTTCAGGACGTATGATCGACATGATCGTTCCAAAGATAAGCTCGAAACACGATTTCAAGGGGATATGAGGTTCTATTCAGCAAACGCCAATCATTATCTATAATTTTAGATGATAAAGAGAAGGTTGATGATGGAAACGCATGCGTTGGATAAGCAAAGGTCCTGCGCTCGGTATCGATACGCCAGAGTACGGAGTACGGGGTCAAGACGAGCGAGCGCGCGCTGAGGTCGACGTCACAGCAGCACAGCCCGCCTGATCGTCCTTTCATTCGAGAGCGTGACTTTGTTCTTTACAACTTTCGCTTTCCTGTATACCTATATCTTGCAAACCGAGAATTCATCCGGCATCCGGTTTTCTCAACTTTCGTAATACGCACAACCTACAATGCCCGATTCCGAACCTGAGGCCGGCCCTGACAGGGCACCACCCAACCTTCCCATAGGCTGGATCGCGCAGTGGGATGGAAAGTGAGCGCGATGGACACGGGAAATTATGTACAAGCGACTGACACAACATCAGCTCCCGGAAGTACTATTTCGTGCAGATCAGCACCGGAGTCTCGACCTGGGAAGTGCCCACAGAAGCAGCCCCTACAGTGCCGTCGCCAGGAAATACGCCAGCCCAACATCAGAACCCTTTCCCTGCCCCACAAGATGCTCAGGCACAAACAACCCGCGGTGTGGACGGGCAAGAAGGCGAACGTGGACTCGGAGTACGTACTAGCAGACGTCGTAGCCACTGGATAGTACTGACCCAAGACTAGGGCATGGCCATGAACATGCTTCTGAACTCAAACAAGCCTCAGCAGCAGCAACATTCCTCCGGCCTTGGTGGTTTGGCTTCGCAATTCCTCGGTGGTGGCTCGCATTCTAACTCGGGCCACAATCAAAATCAGAGCCACAACAGTGGCGGTGCTGCAGGACTGGTCGGTAAACTCGCTGGAAACTTCCTGGGAGGACAAAACAAGCCGCATGGACAGCAACAAGGTAGCAGCACTGGTAACAGCAGTCATAACAGCGCTCTGGGTGGTCTCGGAAGCCTTCTGGGCGGACAGCAGTCGCATGGCAACACCGGCGGAAGCAGCAACCACAGCAGTGGTATGGGCGGCCTGGGTGGTTTGCTAGGTGGTCACGGCTCTTCGGTTTGTCTCATGCCATGACATGCAACTTGCAGTATGCTAATACTTCTCAGCAGAACCAACAGCAAGGATATGGCTATTCATCTGGTGGATCGTCTCAAGGAGGCACATACTCTGGACAGGCTCCTCCGTCGTCATACAACCCTTCGGCTTCCCATCACTCTTCTCCGGCTCCATACGGCCAATCCACTGGATCATACGGTGGTCCAAGTGGGCAGACCACTGGTACATACGGCACACCTAGTCACAGTGCTCCAGGACAACAACATGGACAATATCAGTCTTCGCATAACACTGGAGCTTCACCCAGCCAGTACGGCGGTCAGCCTTCTCACGCATCTTCGGGCTATCAATATGACCAATACAGCCAGCACCAGCATAACCAGTATGGTGGTGCGCCAAATCACGGTCAGCCTCAACAGAACTCGCAATATGCTGCATATCAGCCCGGCCAGGGAAGTAGTTATGGCCAGCAAGGCGCATCAGCACATGGTGGCCCGCCGCAAGGAGGAGCGTCGCACGGCGGGCCCCAGTACGGGCAATCATCTTATGGCGGACCGGGTCAGGAACAACTAACACAGCACCAGTACAACCAGTACGGTGGAGCACATGAGCAGCTAGGTCAGCACCAGGCATCGCAAGGAGGCTATGGAGGACAGGGTAGTAACTATGGAGGACCAGCACCTCCAGCATGGCGATAGACTGCAGAGGCAGAGGCAGAGGACAGAAAGTCATGCGAGTAGTAGAGAGATAATTCTTGGGATTACTGGGTTGCATAGCGTGCGATCAAAGGGGAGGCGACCAGGCAGCAGCGAATAACAGCCGGTCAAATGTTTCTAGTGATTTCTCACAGCATCCTGATACGAGTTGGCACGTGAAAGAAGGGCGGATGAGACTTTGTCGTAAAATGATGGGTCTGAAGCGTATCGGAAGCGCCACATGTGGCCGTTAAATGACCAAGTACACCGCCAAGAGCGTGGGGAGCAGACAGGCCCTTGTTCGCTCTCACACAGCCAGCACACGTCGTCGTCCCGCCGACTTTAGAAGCATCCATCTGTCCTAACCCCCAAGGACCTCGCTTTACAACCCCGACACTCCCATCGATCCAAGCAAACTGCGCTGTTGCGGTTCTCTTGCCATATTCCGCATCCTCCGCGCGTCATAACAAGCCACCCATTACACCCCAAGAACATCCGCCATCATGAACCCCGAGTGGTATGTCGCCGCCTTGCCCCTCTACTGCTGCTATCCACCCGGAATCAATATACTGACACTCTGAATCTAGAGTATATCCATCTCCCATGTCGCAGTATCCGTCAGCAGCAGCCTCGTCGCCATCGCCCTGATAGTGAACCCCTTAAGACGTGTCGCTCATACAAACTCTCTACAGATACGACTACCTCTTCAAGCTCCTTCTGATCGGTGACTCCGGTGTCGGAAAGTCTTGTCTGTTGCTCCGATTCGCCGACGACACCTACACTGAGAGCTACATCTCGACCATCGGCGTTGACTTCGTACGTCGAAATACCTTCCGCGCCATGCTTTCCCACTGGCCTCGGACTGACAGACCCTCGTAGAAAATCAGAACCATCGAGCTCGATGGCAAGACAGTGAAGCTTCAGATCGTTAGTCCATCTCATACTCGACTTACCTGGGGAGGACTAGTACTGACGAAAACACTCTTAGTGGGACACTGCAGGCCAGGAGCGCTTCCGTACCATCACATCGTCCTACTACCGTGGTGCCCACGGCATCTGCGTCGTCTACGATGTTACCGACATGGACTCGTTCAACAACGTCAAGCAGTGGCTGCAGGAGATCGACCGCTACGCTACCGAGGGCGTTAACAAGCTCCTCGTCGGCAACAAGAGCGATATGACTGACAAGAAGGTCGTCGAGTACAACGTCGCAAAGGTGCGCTTTCCAGATCGACTTCCTACTCTGCCTGTACGAGTACTGATACTACTAAACAGGAATTCGCCGACAGCCTCGGCATTCCTTTCCTCGAGACTTCGGCCAAGAACGCATCCAACGTTGAGCAAGCCTTCTTGACCATGGCCCGCCAGATCAAGGAGCGCATGGGTAACACTACCGTCAACAACAAGCCTACCGTCCAAGTTGGTCAAGGTAGCACCGTCCAGAGCGGCAGTGCCGGCGGCTGCTGTTAAGCTCTTCGCCTCGAAACTCGATACCCAGTCCGCTTCCGCCATCGCACGACGATACCTTGTACTCTCTTGATCGTGCTTGTCTTTACGCCGAAGATATACGAAAACCGATGAAAAAAACCGCCTGGTCGTCTTCCATTGGACTTGTTATGCTGGCCGAGAAGAGCAATTGTCGTTTCTAGCTTTACAACGTTCCGATCTTTATTGCTCGCCCGCGCGTCTACCTAATTGGATTGCACAAGGTACATGAAAGAGGAAAGGACACGACGAATTGCGAGTGAGATGACGAGGGAGGGCGATATCCAAGGTGGAAGGGACTTACCAGCGTCTTGTCCTTTTTCTCAGCAACCATCACACACACAAGGAAAGGGGTTATTACCATGTTTCTTTTTCTTCACGGTGTTATTCGTCTTTTTATGTCTCTTTTAGTTTTACACTCCCCGGTGGCGCTATCAACTGAACTTTCTTCTTTTACACATCTTACAACCTGGTGCGCATTTGCGTTGTGTCGATGACTTGCCATAGGGACATATTTTCTCACTCGCTTGACTTTGAGATAGGTAACTCGGCTCCTGGAATCGCAACGCTGCCAGAGCAATACAAATTCAGAATTAAAGGCCGGTCAGTGCTTCGTTCTCGGGGGCTCTTAGAACAGATCGAAACTGATGATATCCATAGATGGATGGTTCGATTAATGTGTCGTTCGGACGAAGACGAAGACCCAGAAGGTCTCGGCTGTACCACGAATGCAGACAACGTCTGTATATATAATCTGATCATGAAACTGGGCTTCGAAACATCGTCAACGAATCTCTTAGACATATTCACCATGGAGCAACACATTGTTGAAGAACACATGACTTGATCACAAGCCGATAGACGACTTCCTCATCCCCCTTGCAACCATGCATATGCAAACCACAACTCCCTCGATCTCCACATGAGAAATTAACACACCAAAGGAAGCAGACCTCGAGCAATCAAGAGCACGATGCGGGCGTGCAGCGCCTTCGCGTCCCAGATACAAGTCCTGAGCCTTTGATGGGGTTCCTCGGTATACTCTCGTCTGTCACGCACATAGCTGCAGAAATGCACGAGGCATTTAAGAGTGGGGATTTGATCTTGGGGACGCAGAGGTGGAGATTGCGTGTGCGACGTTCTGCGAGATCTAGGGCTGGGTGTTGGAGTTGCAGATACACCATTCGGCGATTGTCCAGGGTTTGAGCTAGTCGTAGGAAAGGCATTTGATGCAGACATGCTGAGCGGGCGGACCTGCTGGAGCCTATCGGGCGCCGGTCATCTCTCGGCATCTGGTGATATTCCAGTGATTGAGGAAGGCAGTCTGCGATGAAGGCTCTGGCCAGGCTTCTCTGGATCAGCGCTAGGGCTTTTGATCGAAGGGGTGACTCTAAGGTCGATGAACGGTATTGTGGTGGGTGGTTGAGGGGTGCCCTCAGGCAGATCGGATGGCCCCTCCACCGCCTCCCCGTGTGCTAAACTCTGTCACGCGCACCCTGTAGAAATGCACAATGTTTTTAAGATCAGTGCAGCCCTCCACTGAGAGTGTGATACTCAGCGCCTCTCTGCGGACGACTAGAGAGATCTTGAAGATATTGTGCAATTCTACAGTCCAAATAACTCCGGGCATGGCTGTGGGAGATGGCTAGAAATGACAGAATTTAGCACACGGGGAGGCGTAGGGATGGGGTCATCAGGACCCAGAACATCCTCGTCGACCAACTCAACGTGTTGATGCTCATCCTTTGTAGGCGAAGGGGTGGTTCCGGTGTAGAACAAGCTGGAACCTGGGAATATGCCGTGGTAGTCGACGTCGCTCATGACTGAGCCCCTTCTGCTACCGCTAACGACAGAACTACTCCTGCTCCCATTGTGTAGAATGCCACTCATTGCGGAACCTGTTCTGCTAACTGCTAGAGCAACGCGGTGGGGTGAAGGGCTTCGGCTTGGACTTTCTTCTCCGAAGATGGCTCGCTGGGCGGGGACAGGTTGTTGCCTACGAGGTGGGCTCTGCGAATTTTGCGAGTTGCCATCGAGAGTGCCCACTGGTATAGGCAGTATCGGCAAGAGGATCGGAGTGCGGGGCGAGAGAGGGATGCGGAGTATGAGGAGATGTAGGTTCACCTTCGTCTGAGTCGTCGGCCAAGGTGATAACCTCGATCCCAGCATGAGGCGGAGCCACCTGGCCCTCCGAATCATCAGACTCGTCGTCCAGATTGACTACTTCGATCTCTGGTATGGCCGTAGAAGGCTTTGGCCCAGGGCCGGAGGTGGGTGATGATGGAAGGCCTCGGCTACATCAGTACGGCAGAGGCATTTATAGCAGCACGCCACAGATCAGCATGGAACGCCGCCCTACGCCTCGCGAAGACGAAGGGAATCTACACCGGAGTCGACATTGAGCCACTCACCATTGTGAACCACTCCAGCGTCTCAGGGGCGAAAATCAGGTTGAGGAGGTCAAGCAAAACGGTAGTGCCTTGTGTGCTATCCTCTTTCCGATCGCACGTAGACGCAGTCTGATGCATTGCAGTAGAGGCATGAGTGTTGGAAGACTCGACGACCTCTCAAGCCCTAGTTCGGAGACCATGGTGCTGTTCATGATGCAGCCGAGACCTTCTGGGTCTTCTTCGTTGTCGTCCAGGCAATCAGGGGTAATTGCAGACTAATCATCCCAGATGCTCCCAGCCTGCCGACGAACTTCCGCTTTAGTGCTGTCAAAAGGCACGATGTATTTGAAAATCAAAACCATGTCCAATGAGAGCCAGCGCAATACCTGCTTTCATTGGACAGCCTCGCTGATTTGAAAAGTCTCCTACGTTTTGATGCATGTAGGGAGCTCCAAGGTAGAATTCGCTGTTGATCTTGTCGAGGCGATCTATAGCTTCCTGGTTTCCGATGTAGGTACGCAAGTCTGCACAAAAGCGGAATGTCATCTCTTCAAACCCATCAATCTTCCTCAGGTCCTCCAATTGTGCTTCGCGTGCATGGACATACTGCGTTTGCTTTTCCCGGATTATCTTGAACTTGCGTGAATGCGGACCGCGGAGGAGCGACTTCATCCAAACATCACTGTCAAGTCTGGCTTCGATCACATCGTTGTTTTCGGAAATCGACTCAACGAAGATCTCTGTAAGAACGATACCATTATCGTACTTGGATGAGATCTAACCTAAAAAATAGTTAACGGAAAAAGATTCCGTTCAACCGTTGCCTAAGTCTAGGCACCTAAGAGAGCTTGAGTTGCACAACGAAAGGAGGACACAGTGTTACGACAAGACAGAGAAGCCGAATACGCTTTCTTCCGTTCAGTGCTCCTTCATCGTTTTTCTCGGTTCACAGCAGGAAGGACACGACGAGTAGAAACGTGAGGCGTGCTTCTCTCCTTGGCAATATATCTTGCAACTAATATGATGCTGCTTTGTGTCAGAGCCTGACAGTGAAGAATTGTGAGTAGGAAGCCTTCCTGAGTTGGCCTCTGTGACCTGACCTCCTTCAACGTGGCACTTTGTCATGTGATCCCACGGGACCAGAGGCTGACAGAGCTCGATGGCGCGATACGTGAAAAGCACAAGGTGGAAGCAAGTGTGTCCTGACGACATCTCATCGGCGTATGGCTCCCATGTGACAATCACATTGCCTTCGGCATATGTCTTGGTGCGTGAAATCGTACTGAGCAGACCGACTCTGCTACCAAGCTCCATGTAGAGGCCAGGCTCAGGGCCTTCGACGACGCCGGCAGGGACTTCCTCTGCGATGAAGCCAGGTCTGCCAGGCAGAATTCCGACAAACGAATGTGCCGGGAGATGTACGGAGGCACACAGGACAAGAGCACCTTCTATCCATCTAGGCCATATAGACCAAACTGCATTCTCCGATGCCACCCCTTCGAATCCGTGCTCCAGCTGGATGTTGGCGCGCGGCAACCATCCACGATCCAGCTGGACGTGTGTGGTGTTGAACCTCGCCGAGTCTCCCACGCTTCTCCAAAACGAATTGTAGTTGTGCCATTCGTTGATGGGCTGAAAGCCTCTGGCGTCTCTCGAGATGATGCCGTGTTCTGCCTTGCCAGTGTGGTCGCCGAGGGCGCGCTTGGCCAGTAGGCCTGCGAATGGCTTGAAGAACTTAGCCCACTCCAAGACATGTGCCCTGGTCTTTGGCCCCTGGAATTGAGCGAACACTGTACGTGTGCGCTTGACCTGCGCAAGATCAACGTATTCGCAACCGGCGACCCTCAGCTCTTGCAACCACTTGTAGTACGCGAATTCCCTGCATCGCCAGGTGCTGTCACTGGTCTTGAGTCCTTCGACCTCTTCAGTTACCAGTGTGAGTCCGGCCCCGGTGACTGTGCTGTCTTGGACGGTGCGCTGGTAGGAGGCAGGGGATCGGTGGCCAAGGGCCAGAAGGATGAGCTCCTGCGCAATGATCTTGAGGTCTGGTCTCGATCGACCTGTGTTCTGGGCGATGAGCTATCCTAGTATCTAAGAGTAACAGTCCATCACCCACATATCGGCGCTAGCTCGCTGCAGACCTGCCACCCGATCCGTAAACGCAGCTTGTTCGAGGTAGTGGCGATAATCGAAGATTTTGGCATCTCTTACCCCCAGTACTGTGAATTCTAGCTGCAGCAGGTGCAGTCTGAGTACCACGGTGTCTACTTGCGCGAGCGCTTATCAGACAGAGAGCTCCGAGCGCTGCCAGGCTTTCAAGATTGGTCGGACGACTGCGTGGCGTCTTTGGTGTGGGACGGAGAGCTAGAATCGGGTCCCTAGCCGATCCCAATTCTCTCAAGCTGTCTAAAGGTCTAATGGGTTGAGGTGATTGTACTTGACACATTGAACGAAGGGGTCCAATCTGTCCCGAAGGCACGGGAGGGACCCCAAGTGTCTGCTCGCTCACTCAAGGCAGTATGATGTCCAAGACAGAGGCTTCGCTCCTTAGGCCGCTTCAGCGGCTTCCAACCTCGCCATATATATAAAACAGGACACTTTGGGCGACTGCGTGGTGGAAGAACAAAGAAAAGGCCGTAGGATCGGGTTTCATAGCAGAATTTATATGCGCATTCGGCCGGTGTGTTTTTCGATGTGGATGGACCACGGCGTAAGGTCAAAGGCTTTGGACGGGCGACTTTGATCGTGCTTAAGGCTCTTCTGCAATTCGATGCTCAGCTTTTGGAGATGTGGATGCATAATGTGAAGAAGAACATATGCGTAGATCGATGGGGAGACTCTTGACGTCCTATCACTGAAGTTGCCTCGGATGGCGATCAAGGATGACCACACAACCTTCGATACTCTCGTCTTGTATTGCAGACTCTTACTTGAAGAGAGCTGTAGCGTACCTCTGAAGAACGCCCGAAGGCTTCTAGGGCACTCGCCAAGGACGAAAAATGCTTCTTCATTATTTCCTTAGTTCCTTGTCCGTGTCTCTTCATTCTTCGCCTCGTCGTCTAGCAGCATCAATCTGCTGAGACAGGGTACAAAGTAGTCTCTGACGTCTGTTTGACGCTGTGACCGATCATCATTCGGCTACATGATCAGTGATATCGAAGCCCACACTGCGAGCCAACTTGAGTGCATATTCCCAGCCAAAGTTGACCTTCCACTTGGCTCCTGGTTCAAGCAAGTCACCTCCGATGACCGCCGTTCTCAACAGTAGTCTTAGAGAACACAATGTCGCTAGTTGTGTGTATATGTCCATCGTTGGTGTGAGATCGTGCGGCAGCACAGCGTGGAGGATAGCGAGTAGCCTGTCGAGCGGAAAAGGACTGGGCGAGAGAAGATGTCTAGGTATTTTGCGATTCTTTGACTCGCGGCCTGCGATGGCGCCGCCACCTTTCCTGCGACGTTTTCGCTCCGTCGCCTTCATGAAGTATATGTTGTCTTGACGAGCTGGGTTGAAGGAGGCGAGGTAAGCAGCACAAAGAAGCCACTTGGAATAGTAAGGTAGGTCATGAGTAACTGTGACCGGTTAGCAGGCTGACCTAAGATGAGATTTGGAAAGCTTTTACCATCCGTAAGTACGGTAGTGTCCTCCTGAGGCTCGTCGATAACAGAGTCCAGTAGACAACTCTCGGCTTGGAAAATCTTGCGTTGTGCTACCATGAGCTTGCTGAAGTCACGAGTTCCGTACGTGCCATCTACAATTGGTTGTACAAATGGCCGCCATAATTTATCAAGGATGGACTTGAAGGTGACTATGTCTCGTGCAGCACCACTAGCCAAGGAATCCCACACAGCAGCGCAGTATCGCGACCATAACCATGCATCATCTTCAGCGGCAAGTTCATCCGAGTAGTTAGCAGAAGGAGAAAGAGGCTCGTTGAAGATGGCTTGTGGCCGAACAGAGGCGATTTGGATGGCTTGCTCGCGAGTATACGGCGAAAAGTATATGTGGGGAGCACCGGGAAGATGGAGAAGTCGTGGATGAGGATATGTGACAACCATGACAATACTGAGACAGGGAATGAGCTGGCCCAGACGTGCTAGAGTCGGTAGTAAAGTTGGAGGAGCTTCTCTTTGCTCATCGATGCCATCCAGAACGAGTACAAATTTGTCAATCCCCTCGAAAAGACGTTCAAAGGAGCTTGTCAAGGTGCTTAAACTTTCGCATCTTGAGGGAATGACACCATCTAGAGAGATATCCACTGCCTGTTCGATGGCGTTCACGCAGGCTGCCAGAGTCCGCTCCAGGAAGTGGCGGCCAGTAATGCACTCTGAGCAAGGAATGAATGCATGCTTGAGACCAGAAAGTTCCAGATACGATTTGAGCAGTCCCGTTTTCGCAGTAGACTCTGGACCATACACTACCAAGGTTCCTGGACTGATCAATCTGGGCTGAAGAGTATTAGTAAACACACTGGCGTTTGAGTTGGGCGTACTCACGGAAAGTAGAGCGGAGAGTGTCTTGATCTGCAAGTCTCTACATGGCCATTGGTTCGTCAAAGAAAGGACGACTTCGTCTGGAAGCATTTCCAGGCCCATGTCTGTTTCCTTCCGTGTCTCAAAAGATGCGAGGCTCCAGTGTTCCTGCCTGTTTGTGCTGCCCCTCCGGCTCTGGTGGTCACTAGGTACAAACGGCTTTGTACTCTTGTCGGAGGATATTCTCTTGCTGCTTCGTAGAGTTTGTACAGAAGCAGACTATCAAGGCTGTGTTGGAACAGAGAGAGATGCAATTACCAGAATCAAAGCAGCTTGACAACAGATCAACACGCGTTGCACAAGAGGCTTGTATGGAGAAGAATTGAGTTATGCAAGCAGGCGGAGTTAAGTTGGTCTGATCCGAGCAGATCTGGGGAACAGCACGCTAGCGTTGAACCGTGCGTCAGAAATTATTCTAAAGGAAGTCGCGACATGTTCGATGCTGCCTCCCGAAGTGAGCATACGATGCAATGAGTGAAGAACAACGAGGAAGGTCCGCACCCCCGGGTGTTGGGCCTGACTTCAGCCCCGCTGGGTCTGAAGCTGAAGCTGACCTGGATGGCCGCAACTCTCCATCATCTTTCATCGACGACAACGATATGCCACCCACCAAACCCGGCCTCTGGTTGCTCAAGACAAAGGCAGAGGCTCGTGCCTCGACTGCCACTGTCCAGGCATGGACTATAGAATTGCCATCCAGAGCAGCTAACACCGTCCTGGGGTATGTCCTGTTTTGTTTGCGCTATACACATCCATCCGCTGACCATCTCGCCCAGTCTCATCAAGGACAACGTCCCCGAGCTGGATGCCATCGACCTTCAGCACATTCGTCGCTTTGCAAAGGCCCGCTTCCTGCCCACCCACCTCATCCCCGAGACGGTCGCTGTCAGCCGCTCCAGAAGTGCCTCCGAACGTGATGGATCCTCCCGTGGCTCCTCTCGCTCTCGCTCATCGCGCAACAAACGCCGGGGTAGTATTCCGGCCACACTGCACTTGATCGTTAGTCCCGTTCACTGCATTGGAGAAGACGCTCTCACCGAGCTGCTCCTCGCCAACCCTCCCTTCGCCGAAGATGGCTTCCCTCTCATCCTCAGAGAGGTCACCCTTCCTCTGCTGCCTCCCACCAGCGCCGAGCAAGCCGAGCTCTGGTCTCAACAGTACTGGCCTACCATCTACCGCAAGACCAATCCATTTGGCCCTCATCCCAGCATCATCGGCCGCGCCGAAGAAGAAGTCACCGCCAACAACAATGTGCCTCGCCTGATGGAGATGGCCAAGAAGGTGGCTGGAGAGACAAAGGGCAAGTGCTGCGGCGCCGGCGTCGGATGCGTCATCATCGAAAGACCTACCGGAAAGCCTATCGAAGTCATTGCCGTTGCTGGCGATGGCCGTCACCAAGGCTTTGACGAGGTCGCTGGTCAACAGAACCCCATGGCTCATGCTGTCATGCGAGCCATAGGCATGGTCGCACGCAAGCGTGTCCGCAGCGCAACTCGCGACCCTACCAAGCTCAACCAGGACATGGCTGCTCTGGACATCAACAGGCCTTCCCACACCCCCGCAGTCGGTGCTCCCAAGTTCGTCGACAAGACCCTGCTCGACTACCCCCTGACACCCATGGAGCGCAAGGCCTTTAACAAGGACAACCTGATCCCTGATGGCTACCTCTGCGTCGATCTCGAGATCTATCTCACCCACGAGCCCTGCGTTATGTGCACCATGGCCATCTTGCACTCACGTTTTGCTCGCTGTGTCTTTGGTATTCGCATGCCCAAGACTGGCGCTCTGACGGCCGATGGAGGCGGTCTCGGCTACGGACTGTTCTGGCGTCCCGAGCTCAACTGGAAGTTCTTGTGCTGGGAGTGGAAGGAGAAGGACCCATACGATGGTGACAACCACTTGCACCTCTTCCTCGACAAGAAGACTCAGGTCTGAACCCATCCTTCCTTGATGACTCTAGGAACGCCCACCGTCTCCTTTCGACCTGAACTTCTTCTTCCTTCTTCTTCTTCTTCTTCTCTTTTCGATTTCTTTCCTTGTCTTTGTTACCGACATGGTTAGGTAGCGTGTCGGCCCCGCTTGAAAACTGGGGGAGGCTTTCTTTTCTGATGAAGACTGCCTATGAATGAATGGCAGCAGCATTATGCACATAGCAGCGAGCATGGTATACAGGCGTCAATATGGGTTCAATGGTGGTCTTCTGCTGAGCTTTTTTTATACCCCTTTAGCGCACGGAAAAACGAGACGATCGACATGGCTACGTCTCTGAGCATACCTCAAAAGTCAATATACTTAAAATGAAAGTTTTGCTTAACCTCAGATTCAAAGTAATTCGTGATGTTATTCATGTATCGTGTATTGTAGGAGATCAAACAGCTCAAGAGCTGCAACTGCACTGCATGGCACGCTTTACGTGAGGCACATCGCCGCAGAATCTCTCTTCCTCTTCCTTGTTCCATCCCCACTCCTCCTCGAAGGGGTTAAGTGCCATCTTCATAACACCCTGGAGAATCTCACGCTCACCCTTCTTCTCCACTCTTTCGATCAATTCATCCAGAATCCATGATCTGGGGATGAACTGTGATTGAAAATGTCAGCTGTATGCTCATGTGCAAGATGTTGAAAGAATGGGATGCTTACCTTAGGGTTGACCTTCTTCATGGCCTCCTGGCGCTCAGCATCCTTGCCCGCGCTCCAGTCCTCGATGACGCGGGCTCGCCATTGCTCGAGCCACTTTGCGATTCTAGTCCTGGCATCTGCCTCGCTTGTGCCCACAGTGTTACCGAGTCCCTCGCCGTGGAAGAAGCGGCTTGCGACATCCTTCCTTTGCTCTTCGGTCTCGATCTCTGAGAGGTTCATGTTGCTGAGCTTGCGGAAGGTGTGGTTGAAGTCCAGCTCCAATGCCTCGAGTGTGTCCAGAAGTTCGGAGAAGAGGACGTCAAAGTCGGAGTCTTTGCACTGCTTGAGGCCGAGACGTGCAGACATGAGACGCTTGTATTCTGCCATGAAGACTGCGCGGAACTCTTCGCCTGTCTTTTCGATCAAGGTCTCGGCGCGTTTGATCAGCTCGTCGGACCAAGTCTTGCTGACGCCTTCTGTCACAAATTCGTTGTCGTCGCAGCGGGCTCCGGCACCGATGAGCTCACCCAATGCCTCACCTAGACGTACCAGGTTCCACCAGATGATGCTAGGCTGGTTGCGGTAGCTGTAACGTAGCATGTGGTCGTCATGGTTGGGTGTGTAGCTTGGGTCGAAGTTGTCGAGGAATGCGAAAGGACCAAAGTCGACCGACAAGCCAAAGATGGATGTGTTGTCTGTGTTCAAGACACCATTGGTGAAGGCGTAGGCTTGCCAGTGTGCAACGGTCTTTGCGTTGCGGCGGGCAATCTCGCGGTAGAGGCGTGTGAAGCGGTTCTCTTCGTGTTCGTTCTCGCCTTGTACGATTGTGGCTGCAAGACCACGTTCGGGCTCGATAGCAGTCTCAGACATTTCACCGGGCTTCAAAGCGCCTGGCAAGTTCTTCCATCCGCCAAAAACGTCCTCGGCGACATAAGTCGAAAGTCTCCTGATCAAAGCTCTGTCGCCGCGAGAGCGTAGAAGGTCAAAGGTACCGAAACGTAGCCAACTTTGTGCGAAACGAGTGACAATGGCGCCAGGCTCGATGCGCTCTCTTAGTGCCTTATCTTCAGGGGTGAACGTCAAAGCCAATGCACGAGTTGTAGGAATTCCCAGAGCGTGCAGACTCTCGCTGACGACAAACTCTCTGATACTGCTTCGGAGCACAGCCTTGCCATCGGCGAATCGACTATATGGTGTCTTGCCTGCACCCTTGAGCTGAAGCTCATAACGCACGTCCGAGTTCGGGTTTGTAGCCTCGAACAGCGAGATGGCACGACCGTCACCTAGTTGGCCGGCCCACTGGCCGAATTGGTAACCACCGTAACATTGTGCCCATGGGTAAATCTGCTCTTGTCTCTGCTGGTCCTCTGGTAGCATGTTCGACTCTGAAGCCTTGGCCTCGTCCCATGTCAGGATCTTATTGCCGGAAACTGTGTCTTTGAAATCCTGGGACTCTGTGGAAGATGGGTCTATAGAGAGTGTCTGGAGTGCAGCGGACGAGACGGCGAGGACTTCATATTCTTTGGGTGGATCGGGTCGGACGTATGTGTAGAGGGCGCCTTTGACCAGGCGAGGGCCGAGATCCTTGCGTTCAGCGACATGCGAACTCGAAGGAGTGGGAAAGTTCGGGTCCGGCGGGAGGTTCGTAGTGAAGTTGTTCGATTTCGGGAGATCCTTTATTGAGTGAGTCTTCTCGTTGGTGGTGGTGGCGTCGTACAGGGCGTTCTGGTGGCCAGCGGTGCTGATGTGGGCTGCCATGAGTGCGATGCGGGTTTTGGCGGGCGTTGGACGCAGGCTTCGCGCTCTAGATAGCATATACAAGGTGGAGATGTAGGAATGTCTTGCTGGGGCGACAGATGAGCAGCTACTGGTTTAATATATGTACAAGAATTATTGGCCTCTTTCTCGCCCCGAACCCATTCGCGAACACTGACGTCTTTCTGATGACCGGAGACACGTCCCGAAACGTGGGGTCACCGCCTTTAGGAAGCCTTCCCAATGTGGTCACATACGAGTAGACTCTCTAGTCGTACTTGTAGCGATAACCAATAGACCACCCATCAAAATATACGATACTATACAAGGAGAGTGCGTTGTACAGAGAGAGAGCAATCCAGTCGGTCGCTCCTCCTGGACTTGACTCAATCCAGGGTAATATTGTGGATCCTGTAGCCGTGAAAATGACAAACTCCGGCATATGGGGAGGTCACCATCAACTTACTGACAGTATTCACGTAATACTTCTGATCTTGAAATCCATGTCATGATATAGGTATCACCTCATCCTCTAACAATGTCTTACCACAACAAGTGGCGTCCATTTTCTGTCTCTTGTCTCTACACTGTGAAGGGTTGCCTAGCCATTTCAAGAAACACTTGACCAACAACTTTCAAAGTCCAACTCCAACTCTCACTTGAGTCTCAACGGCAGTATCAACTAGCTGTTCTATTTTGCTGACAATCTCGTCTTTCTGCTCATTTTCACTTTGCCTACAAGATTTTTAGTCGTTGGAAGAAGTTGCACCTTCCTCGATCATCACTGCCACTTCCCCACGATCTTAAACGTGTGCGACTTTTCAAAACAGCCGCCGACAACAACTTTCACTCCCTTGCATGCGCGCGCTGAGGCGCATCGTATGGTGCCCGGAATTTCATTTTCATATGACTTCTTCAACTTCAATTCAAAGCTCACGACATAATGCAACCGCAGACATCAACTCACATTTCCGTCTCTTGCAAGATCATCCAGACTCATCGCTCCAGCAGAAATGAATCAAGTGGAAGACAACAAAAAATATTGCGGTTCCAAATTGATCAACGACATCTCACAGAGCAGACGACCCGTGTTCCTACAACGAAATCTTCGGCGAGCCTTGGATCATCATGAGCAGAATCTGAAGATCCTCAACCATCGATCGACAAGTCTTACCTCAGGAGTGGCCGCGTCCAACATGGGTCTTTTCGAAGGGCTCTCGCGAATCCTTCCTAGTTTAAATCTACTATCTAGGGTCACCAGTGTTAAACCACAGACCTTCAGAGTCCACCCAAAATCACTGGTAAAGAAAGAAAAGAACAGCGCCGACGCAGAGACACGACCAAATGTAACTGCCAAGCATGAGCCATCTGCGGATCCAACGTGGCTTCCTGCCCCCAACAACATCAAAATAACTTGCAATATTACTTGCATCATCACGCTCGATGATGCCAATGGTACCAACCCCGCGCGTGTCTTGTATTCTAAATCCCATCCGGCAAACTTGACAGGCGTGAAAGATGCCAAAGGCCACTTGACCTTTTATATTGCTATGGAGCCTTTCGTTGTCGCACACAATGAAATGCTCACAAGCCATCTTGCGGCCCATAATGGAAATGGAGGGCGCAGATGGAAGGCAGAACGACTCAATCATGCTGTTCTTAGTATGAGTGTCAGCTGCTTCAACTCTGAAGACGCTTTCCAATTGCTTTCCGCAGTCGATCCGGACGTCATCCCTGGACACATTGTGGCTCCTGAACAGGCCGAGTTGAGAGCTACCTGGAAAAAGCTTCCCGACTGCCCAAGTACTCCACTACACATCCGGCGATACGAGCATGTTCCCGAGACGACAAATAAGGCACGCCGTTCAAAGAAACTCGAATATCTTCTCGACGCGGACATCTCGTGGAGCCCGAGCGCTAGAAAGAGCGGTACTCCTCTGGCGATGTGCAATAACATAACCCGAATTCTTGGGAACAGAGGGCGCCCCCAAATAACAAGACCTCTGAGTCTGACGCAGGCTTGTAACGTCAGGTATGTCTTCGATGGCGGCGCCATGGGCTCTAGAAGCATTGTGCGCACCAGATTTAGCTGTGTTTTCTGCCCGGATCGCTTGCCTCATGCAACGTTCGACAGATTACATTTCCATTATTTGAGCTTTCATGATCATTTCACTTTCAAAGTTCATGCGCCGCCAGAGACAAGCCCCTCGCTGTTCATTCGCGTAGTACAGATCGAGCTGGCGACACCTAGATACGAAAGAGCCAGCGACAACGTGAGCGACGAGCGGGAGATTACCTGGAACAAGCCAGAGAATCCTTTCGACCTACAGCAATACCTATTGGAAGGTGGACTCAATACTTGGGCCAGCGGTAAACAGGCAAACCTCAAAATAATCTCTAAGGCCGCCAGACCAGGCGTTATGCTGAATGGAGCCGCGCAAGCTGGAGACTCCCTCTCCAAAGGACGAGCCCGACTAACGCCGACTCCAGCCAGGCCTGGAGTAGGGCCCCCCGAAGAGGTCCAGGAGGTGCCAACTAAAAAGCGAAAGAGATATGAGGTTCCAGACATCCCGGGAGTCGCTATCTTTCGTTCACAATCCAAGCGAGAGGTTGAGCCTGGAGAAATACTGAGTGAGAGTGATATCGACCCGGACGATTCGTGGCTACGAGTCAGACACAACGTAGAGGATTTTCCGCGGCTTACGGGTGCGGCCAGGGAGTTTACGATCATGTTCGACGAACATTTGAAGAACGAGCCAACGAATCAAGGAGAGAGGCACGTCTCCGGCATGATCGTTCGATTCACGCGGAAACACGCCGAGCGACTAGGAAAACCACATCTATTGAAAGAGTTCAAAACTAAGCTGAATGAGCTGGAAAGCCTCGAGATGATCTCGGAAGAGTACATCAATTACTGCCTTGGCTTGATTGCGAGCACGAGACAAGACACTATCAATGGCACGGCTAACGGACAGACTCACGGATCCCCGGCTATCAAGGAGGAGTCTGAGCCTTTCGTCAGTCGAAATCCGCCGCCAGCCTCCACTAAGCCTGGCAACCGACTGGATGTCATAATGATCGAAGACAGTGATACGGAGATAGGCGCTGAGGTATCGCCGGCTGTGCTTAAATCCAGCCGCCCCATCCAGCCATCAACTCAGCACGCTACAGACGGCGATGTGGAGATGCAAGATGCTGTCCATCATGCGCCAAACGCCTGTGTGTGCGGAAAGCTGGCCCTGGGTGCGCGTCAAGTAATCATCTGTCAGAACAACGTGAGTTTACCGCATCTTTCAACATCATTTGATTCCCCGCTAACCTTTCTGCTAGTATTGCCCACATTCAGAGTTTCACATGGCTTGTGTTGGACTCAAGAAGAGAGTCCGCGGCTGGCGATGTGAGGATTGCAGGGCTTGACGAACGCGATTTGCTCAATACCACACCTGACTCATGCTTTTTCTACATCAATTCTTTAGCATTCGTGGCGTTATAGGCACAGACGGAAGATATTATCTGAGGCGCAACGGGGGTATATCCTTAGCGGGAAAAGGCACATTGCATTTTGTACTCTATTATGAGCGAACAGCTCTCGAATCTTGAAGCACACTGTTTCTTCTCATCACTGCGTCGTCCTCAACTGCTCGCCAAAGTACCACATGTATGATGTGCCGTAACTCATTCTAGCGGATCTCATGCGCGTAAACACTATCTGTATGAAACATAGCACATGTCAGCTCTGTGGTCATGGTACGGTCGACTACATTCTGAGATTAGATTTCTCTATATCGAAATGCTCTTCATACTACTGCCTGTTTCAATGAAGTACGCCCACGAGTGGAACTTGTGCTTTCTATGATGTCTCAAGTCGTTTTCGGTGACTGCCACCGCGTCTTGTCAACCGTCCAGCCAAGTCTAGACACATTCCTGGAGGTTGAAATTAGGTGCGTGTGGCTACTTCAAGCACCAGAGTGCTCCTGAGCATCTACCCATCAAGATGCACAATGTGTTGAAGGACTCAGGGATGCCCGGTGGAAGAGAACAATTAATTCAAGCTCTCAGCGGAGGCTCACTAAATTCTCAATAGCATCATGCATTTTGATAGGTAGTTTCCTTGACCGCGGCGTTACATAGTAGAGGATTGTTTCCAGCATAGCAACCCAACGACATAGCAAACCAATTGCATCGAATTGTTGAGATACTGTACATGCTAGGTTTACTTCTTGCTCTTGCTGAGGTGCTAGAAGCGAAATTTCAGGGCTTGCCACTAAACGCATCCGTCATCGTGCGTTCAGCTTCAACATGAATCTTTGTTGATCGACCTGGAACAGAGCAACCCTGTCCCCAGACTATGATTCACAAAGCATGAACGCTCGGACCAGCTCAAGACGTCACCACCCCGCGCAATGGAATCCAGAGAGAAGAGCAGTCGCGAAAGTGAAGAAAGAGCTCTACAAGGGGTGCCAAAGAAGGCAATTACCTTCTCGAAGTAGCCGGAAGCTGCAAGGCAAGAACGGAAATAGCTAGATAGCATAATTGAAGCAAAAGTGACGGAGCGTGGCGAGATAAATGAACCTCAGAAGGCGAAGGCAAGAGGTGGAATCCTGTAGAAGAAGATGGAAACCACCCGCAAATTCTGGTCGTGTCCGAAGCAACGCAACAACCGCCGCTGTGCGCATTTATAAAACTTTCTTCTCTTGCTCACACCTGCCCTCACCACTTTTCTCCCACACACACATTCAAAAGCGCTTTTCTTTACGACTGACGACATCTCTTACATCGTCAACAAAAAGCTTTCTGTTTGATACCCATCTTCCTTTTCTTCAGTTCACAACACATCCAATATGGCTCCCGCTATCGGTATTGATTTGGGTACCACCTACTCATGTGTCGGGTTCGTATTATTCGCCTTTGTGTTTCTACAAGACATGTCACTGACTCCTCTCCAGTATCTACCGTGATGACCGCATTGAGATCATTGCCAACGACCAGGGTAACCGCACCACTCCCTCGTTCGTTGCCTTCACCGACACCGAGCGTTTGATTGGTGATTCGGCCAAGAACCAGGTCGCGATGAACCCTCACAACACCGTCTTCGACGCCAAGCGCCTCATTGGCCGCAAGTTCGCCGATGCTGAGGTCCAGGCCGACATGAAGCACTTCCCCTTCAAGGTCATCGACAAGGCTGGCAAGCCCGTCGTCCAGGTCGAGTTCAAGGGTGAGGAGAAGACCTTCACTCCCGAGGAGATCTCCTCCATGGTCCTCACCAAGATGCGTGAGACCGCCGAGTCTTACCTTGGTGGCACCGTCAACAACGCTGTCGTCACCGTTCCCGCATACTTCAACGACTCTCAGCGCCAGGCTACCAAGGATGCCGGTCTGATTGCTGGCCTCAACGTCCTCCGTATCATCAACGAGCCTACCGCCGCTGCCATTGCCTACGGTCTTGACAAGAAGGTTGAGGGTGAGCGCAACGTCCTCATCTTCGATCTTGGTGGTGGTACTTTCGATGTCTCTCTCCTCACCATCGAGGAGGGTATCTTCGAGGTCAAGTCTACCGCCGGTGACACTCACTTGGGTGGTGAGGACTTCGACAACCGTCTTGTCAACCACTTCGTCAATGAGTTCAAGAGAAAGCACAAGAAGGATCTTACCTCCAACCCTCGTGCTCTGCGCCGCCTGAGAACTGCTTGCGAGCGTGCCAAGCGTACTCTCTCTTCGTCTGCTCAGACCTCTCTTGAGATCGACTCTCTCTTCGAGGGTATCGATTTCTACACCTCTCTCACCCGTGCTAGGTAAGTTTTGAAAAACATCGTGCATTTTTACAGGTAGACTAACTGGCCCCCTTAGATTCGAGGAGCTCTGCCAGGACCTCTTCCGTGGCACCATGGAGCCCGTCGAGCGTACTCTCCGTGACGCCAAGATCGACAAGTCCTCCGTCAACGAGATCGTCCTTGTCGGTGGTTCCACCCGTATCCCCAAGATCCAGAAGATGGTCTCCGACTTCTTCGGTGGCAAGGAGCCCAACAAGTCCATCAACCCCGATGAGGCTGTTGCCTACGGCGCTGCCGTTCAGGCTGCCATCCTTTCCGGTGACACTTCCTCCAAGTCCACCAACGAGATCCTCCTTCTCGACGTCGCCCCGTTGTCTCTCGGTATCGAGACCGCTGGTGGTGTCATGACTGCTCTCATCAAGCGCAACACCACCATCCCCACCAAGAAGTCCGAGACTTTCTCGACCTTCTCCGACAACCAGCCTGGTGTCTTGATCCAGGTCTTCGAGGGTGAGCGTGCCCGCACCAAGGACAACAACCTTCTCGGCAAGTTCGAGCTTACCGGTATCCCCCCTGCTCCTCGCGGTGTCCCCCAGATTGAGGTCACCTTCGACGTTGATGCCAACGGTATCATGAACGTCTCTGCCCTCGAGAAGGGTACCGGCAAGACCAACAAGATTGTCATCACCAACGACAAGGGTCGTCTTTCCAAGGAGGAGATCGAGCGCATGCTCTCCGAGGCCGAGAAGTACAAGGAGGAGGATGAGGCTGAGGCTGCCCGTATCGGCGCCAAGAACGGCCTCGAGTCCTACGCCTACTCGCTCAAGAACACCATCTCCGACCCCAAGGTTGAGGAGAAGCTCCCCGCCGATGACAAGGAGAAGCTCCAGGCCAAGATCAACGAGACCGTTGAGTGGATTGACTCCAACACCACCGCCACCAAGGAGGAGTACGAGTCCCAGCAGAAGGAGCTTGAGGGAGTCGCAAACCCCATCATGCAAGTACCCCCTGTCCTTAACACTTGAACGTTAAACTAATACCCTCGTAGGACTGCATTTTATCAGCAATCTGGCGGTGCTCCCGAAGGTGCGATGCCTGGAGCTGCTCCCGGTGGTGCTCCTGGCGCCGGCGGCGATGACGGCCCTACTGTAAGTTTCCCTTCTTCTTCACCTCATTGAATCATATGCTAACAGACTCCCAGGTTGAGGTACTTTCTTGAAACGATCAGACGACATTGAACATTATGCTAACTCATTTCACAGGAGGTTGACTAAGCGTATCGCCCGCTCATCCACACCTTTTCGTCTTTCCAGCATCATAGAGCCGGCGTTGGTAGAGGGATAACAAGGGCTTTGAAGAAGTTGTCTTTTCTCTTTTGATATCACGAAGCATGTGTCGCAGCGGAGAAACTGCCACCATGCAATGTCACTTTAATGTCACTCAATCATGAGTGTAACGAAGATTTCCTTTCCTTTCAAACATGTCTCCTTCCTTCTACACGTGATAGTGTTCTCACAAGTTCCTTCCTACTCTGTCTTTGGACTGCTCGGCATTTCTTCGATTTCTTTCACATCTTTCCTGCAAGGCATTGCCATTCACATTAACAAGGACTGTTTAAAACTACGAAGCTGGGAAGTCACAAGGAAACAAGATGTGGTTCACCTATCTGGTATGCGCGCGACTGACAGATTCACAGCAATCGACCAACCATTTGTGGTCTTGTGTGCAAGTCTTCATGTTTCAACAACATCGGCGGCAACAATGGCAGTAAATTGCAAAGGCCATGGTTTTGAGGCTTTCGATCGTGTCTGGGCCCGGACAAGGATCAACTTTTAACTACGACTCGCACATCAATTTGAGATGCACATGTGATCACGCCTCATGGTCCCTCAAGTTCTTCTTTCTCACTTCTTTCTACGGATACTGTTTGGCTTTACTTTCAATCTGGTTCGAGCTTTGTTCCTCTCGCTACTTCGTCTTCATCACATTTGGACTGGGCTTGAATGGGTCGTTTGCCCATCTTTGGCTCCTGCAACAATCTTGTGTATTCATGCCCCGTCCAGTCAAAGTCAAAGCAAGCAGCGGACAGCCTCTCGGTGGAGGTCTCCTTTGACAAAAGGTTATGCATTGTGATAGCCTATTCGTCCGGACATGTCCATCGCCTGGCTCTTATTCTCACAAAACATTGAGCATCCTGATGGCTACCTTTTGTTGGACGTTGTGTGAGTCAATCGTTAAATCTTCCCACTACTGTAGCAATTGTTGTCTTACCACACCCGTTCACTCTTGTCATCTGCTGTGTTCTTATCTAACCATGGGATCCCGATTTCTTGTTCCGCTTTTCATCTATCTCGGGTGCTGCTTTGGTCGCACACTCTTATGCACCATCCAGGACAGTTCATAGCAGCTCACAATCCATGTCTAGCAGAAAACTAACTACCGAGATCTCCAAGCAAGATTGATACTCCATCGGGAATGTGAGGAAATCAGATTGCCGGAAGCTAAGATACGACAGTCCATCAACACAAATGCACCTCCTCACATATGGCAGACTCGCAGCTGGTGGCCAGAGGCCAACTGGTAACATGGCGGAAAGATTGCTTCCATCGGGTTGAGCTTCGGACAAAGAAGGACGTTCTGTTAGTCCAGGACGGCCCCATGATACATGCATCGTTTGGGTTGAAATGGGCAAATATCGAATTTCTCCCATGACTCAGCACATCAACCAGGGAGGATGTCCATGCTGCTATACAGTCTTTGCGCGCTCTCCTTCTGTTACAACTACAAATTGTGACTTGCCCGCTCCGGTCTCTACTCGGCATAACCTTCTATTCCTATGCAAAGTATGTTTTTCGGTTGACGCGATTGTGCGACGTCCAGCTCCAGCCTCCCGAGCTGTCTGATCAGTCACATGTCGGAATGCGCGATGTTTTTCAGGATAGACTTGCTGGCCACAGAGAGCGATGTTTTTATGATGAGCTGTTATTGGACGATGAACCGATGTCACAATCATCGTAACTTTATGCAGCTATGCGTAAGCAACGGTGGATATTTTCTGTGAGGACATCACTCGTTCGTCGGCTGGGTCACCCCGCTGCATAAACTGCATCCGATATATATGGCTCCCAGTGTGCGAATCAGGGTTGACGCTGCTTGTTTTGCCTTGCCTCTCTTTTGAGTTACTCATACTGTTATCGTTGGTCAATTTGATGGATGAATGAGCGAATGGGTTGCGAAAATCGGGATTTATGTCTTTGTCTTGACGCACGCTTTGGGACAGCAACGGCAGACCTCCTTATTAACCAGGACTGACCGTGATCAACCAACATAACTGAATGTCGGAATCAAAGCGAATGCTCGCATCTAGAACTCAAGGTGATAGGTTGTCGACAGCCACGATCGTTACTGTGATCGTTAAGGTTGAGCTGGCCTAGCATTGGAAATGCTTGTAGCGAAAACGAAAGGTGCGTGGAGACTGTTGTGTGCTGACCACATGCTCTCTGTACTTTACATGATTATACATATCCTGTTTACGGGTGTAAGGTCTATTCAGCAACCTCGATCCAAGACATAGAGGTGGATAATGACAAAAGGCATATCGTAAGATGGCGCAAGGTGCAAAAGGATCTCCCATGCCCAGCATTCAGGACTGGCAATGCATCTTGAAGTCAGTCAGGAAGTAAGTTTGTGTAAGTTTGCAGTTCAAGAAGGCCCGACGGAGTCCGCGTAAACGATGTGCCTTCCATCTTTCCTCACTTATGCGAAGCTGCGTCTCTTGATCCTTTTCTTTGCCGACTTGCAAGCTGCCAATTATCTCTGCAACATTGTCTCCTCGCACACACTCCCTTCCATCTTGATTTCGGCCTGCGTATGTGCTTACTAGCCTAGTACACTCAGCTCGTGTTGCTAGCAGCTAACCTAGACCAGAAAGCCAATCTACGATATCAAATTCAACGATCTCTCCTCGAACGACTCACTCCAACAACATCAAGTCATAAATCTTTGGCGCATATCCATAAGTCTTGGCCACCGTCACAAACCCATAGTCGACGACTACGCCCGAGATGCCCGTCGCCAGTCCTCAAGGCTTCTTCCATCAGGAGGCGCCCCTGGAAGTCGATAATATCGCCGATCTCCAAGAGATAGAGACTGGTGATGCAGACCTTGTCTTCATGCGCAAGTATGAGTACAAAGGTGTTCTCCTGGTAGAGATCATAGGACGGCCCAGCACTATCAGTACCACCAGCGCGGTCAAGAGGCAGCGAGTCGAGTTACGGGCGGTTGTGCTAGGAGAAAGCCAGCTCAAGCCTGGCGAGATGATCTTGCTCTATCGCCCAGGCAAGATCTTTCAGACCGTTTATGGCATGGATCTGAAGCAGAAAGGGGGGGTCACAATCGGCAATGTTCATTGGTGCTCGGGACTCCAGATCAAGTGGGTGCCTAGCATCACCGCCTCCACGAAGACAAGTTCTGCTTCATACTCCGAGAAGGTCATTCAGAAGGCGAGAGTGGGGGTTGCCAAGGACCTCTACTCTATGATCGAGAACGAAGACTTGGACTGGGAAGACATCGACTGGGATGAGATCGAGGTCAGTGAGCATCCATCTTTGCATAGTACTCTACTAAACATGTGTCAGGCCATGATCGAAGCCATCGAGCCGCAACTCGATACCATTAACTCGCCCAAGAAGCGCCAGCGATCACACAAGGGCAACAAAGGAGCCAACAAGAAAGCCACTGCCAGCAAACCAGTAGAGGTCAAGCTGCTTGTCGCTGAGGAGGACTGGAGTTTGATGAAGCACGTGGTCATAAACTGCGGCTTCAAGGTCGAAGAGAGCGACAAGTTGGGCGAAAAGGAGAAAGAGGAGGTCAAAGACCTGATGTCCAAGTACATCGCTGACGAAGCTGAGTACCTCGATGAAGAGATGCACAGTCGCCTGACCGAGCTTCTGAACAAAGGTTGGACATCACGGTTCGACATACAGATTCTGACGAACTTCGCAAAGGCCAGGTCTGTCAACGACGACATCTATAGCCTGCCCACTTTCGCCAGCTTCGCGGCCTGGTGGAAGACCAGAGACGCCTGCAAACTCTCATCTCGCTCACCCAGCCAAGATCGTTCACCCAGCCCCTTTCGCTCGCCTAGTCTTCCTGGCGCCGCTGCTGACCCTGAGATTCACGGTGACCTCCAGATTACCGACAACGATACACCTCAAGGCCATGGATTCATGTGGCAAGCAAGAAGATTCATGGCCAGACTCATCTACATCGGCCCTTGATTCGGGATGTATAACCGTACTTGAGTTGTAGCATGATGTGGAACCAGGAGGGAAGGCTTGACCCTGGAACAAGACACAAAGCAGGAAGTAACTTCCTATAAGATAGATGATGAACGAAGGTCTATAAAGAAGGGAGCAGACGTCTAGAATGTAATGAATAGACAATACAATGAGAACACAAATCCAGAATTTGTTTCAGATCTCCACTGTCATCGTGGGAGCAAGCTCGTCAGACCCAAGCACGGCATGAAATCCGTTGCAATGCCATCAGGGCCAGGAAAGCCGATGAAATTCCCGAAGGTGCCTTCTATACACTCATAGAGAGAAGTATCATTTTCTTTAGCAAACCATGGAAACAAGTGAAGTTGACAGAAGAAAGAGCTTCGTTCACTTACAATGGATGGCTATATAGGCGTTGAAAGTCTCCTTCCTTTCACCCACTCAGGAGGAAGCGGAAGTCCAGAAGGATGTATGGCCTGAGGGGAATAGCCTGTGCTAACAATGCATCGGGAGAAGTAGTGTCGGCCTACTTTCTCCTTTTGCAGGTTGCGTGTTCGATCCTCTGATGTGATTTTTTCGTTTATTTTGCTTCGTTACACTTAGTTCGTGTCATGGTCGGAGGGAGGTAAGTAAGCTAAGGGTATCCAGTCTTGCATGTTTGACCGGCATTCATCGAACAGCACTTTGGACTCCATCTCTTTTATACCGGATCCACACACTGCAGACTGGCTCGTTGACGGGTACGACATTTCATTACTCAGAACACCGGCTAACGAACTCACAGATCTCGACTCAGCACTTTGCAAGGGTGAGAAGACCTTGCGAGAGCCTGGTTGACAGTACGATATTAGAATCGATAACAGACATGCGTCAGAAACGACCAGGTGAATGTATTCCAGAACAAGGTAGGTGTCTTGATTTGTCTACATCATTTCTATCATATATCGCGTTTTTTCGTTTTGTGTATTGCCCCTTTACTTGGCGTAACCGTGAGCAGAGAGCCACTCTCTGATGATCTCGAGATCGTGCTGTGCGTATCTAGCTCTGCCCTTGATTGTGTCGCTGACAACAGCAAGACCACGGTCGTAGCCAGAGTTGTCCTTGTCCTTGAAGAAGTCGGCAATGTCCTTCTCAATCTCGAAGCTTGAGAATCTGTTTAAGCTCATGCGGAGATATCTCTCGAGTACGACCATGTTGTTGCCGAGGCGCTCTCTCAGCATGCTCCAGTTCTCCTTGATGAAGTGCCATACCTCGAGCTTGGTCTTTGAGTTGAGAGCAAGTGCTCTAGAGGGGGTGTGCAGATCCTGAGTAGCGACGGCGCCGCTGAAAGACCACTTCAAGTACTCTCTAGCAAGCTCAGTCGACTGAACTCTACCAAGCCCTTGGAGGGCAATCTCCTTGCCGTCGACAGAGGTTGTGTTGAGATACTCCTTCATAACTGCGTCGTAGGCAGGCTTGCCACCTTCCTTGACAGCGATCTTGAAGGTAGCAGTGCGCAAGCTGGGGTGGATAGCCTTCTTGTCACCACCCTCAGTGTAAGCGGTGAAACGCTTCTTAGCCTCGGCAACAACACCCTCGTGTCCAGCCATACCGGCGGATGAAAGCAGAAGAGCGCGCAATTGACCAGTCAGGTAGTCGTCGCTAGGGGCAAAGTCCCAGCCAATCTTGTCGGTAGCCTCGCTGACCAGACGTAGTGTGTACTGGCGGAGACCCTCGGAGACTTGCTCATCATCTGCGAAGACAGATCTAATGTTACCAAGACTTGAGAGAACCTCAGACCAGACAAGGTAGTTGGTCTCCTTTGTAAAGCCCTCGAGGAAGGACAGGACACCAGCAGTGGTTGCATCGCCCGAAATAGCAAGAGCGGCAGCATCACCAATGAGACCGATCTTGTCTTGAGGAGAGAGCTTGTCAAGCTGAGTCGAGAGTTGTGTGAGTCTCTTAGGGGGAAGGTTGGTGCGGTAGAAGCCGGTCTGTTCGGAGTTGAGCTTGTAGAAGCTGTCGTCAATCTCACGAATGGTGTCTTCCTTGGTGGTTAGGGAGCCGCTGGAAGCCTCGGCAGTGTTGGAACCAGACTTGAGGCCGAGAGGAATCCACCAGGTGGTCTCGTCCTCCTCGGGCTTGACGTCTCCTCCGCTGAGGAAGCGAGATTGCTTGATGCTGATCTGACCAGGCTCCTCTGCAACAGTGACAACAGGGAAACCAATCTTACGGATCCAGGGGTCCATGAAAGTGTTCACATCCTTGCCACTGGCCTTGCTGAGGGCAGACCAGAGGTCGCTGGTGGTAGCGTTTTGGTACTTGTGGGCCTGGAGGTAGTCTCCAACACCGTGCAAGAAGGTCTCGACACCAAGGTGAGAAGCCAACATACGGATGACGGAGGATCCCTTGAGGTAGCTGATGGAGTCGAAGATTTGGTCGACTTCGAGGGCGTTCCTGACGGGGACCTCGATGGGGTGAGAGGTTCTCAGAGAGTCCAAGCTGAAGGCGGTCTGCATAGATTCGGTGACGAATTGCGACCAGACCGACCAGTCGGGGTGGAGATGGTCCACAGCCAGCCAGCCGACCCAAGTAGCGAAGCCTTCGTTCAGCCAGAGCCTGCTGCCTGTTAGTGTGTGCTCGAGCATTGTTCAAGACCTATGTAACTTACTCAGACCACCAATCCATGGTGACAAGGTTTCCGAACCACTGGTGAGCAAGTTCGTGAGCCACAACGTAGACAATGCGGTTCTTGTACTTCTGGTCCGAGGCGGCCTCGTCGAAGAGTACAGCAGTGGTTCTGTAAGTGATCAAGCCCCAGTTCTCCATGGCACCGTGTGAAAACTCGTGAACAGCCAGTAGGTCGACCTTGGGCAGAGGGTACTCGACGCGGAAGATTTCGGAGAAGTAGTCGACGACCTGGTGAGCGCTCTCTAGAGCGAGTTTACCCTGCTCCTTGAGGCCTCTAGTGGTGTAGACTCTGACGGGGAGATTCTTGCCGTTGTACTTGCGTCTGGTGAAGTCCTCGATGTACTCAAAGTCACCGAAAGCCCAAGCCAGAAGGTAGGTGCTCATGATGGGACTGCGGTCGAAGGACACAATTTTTGTGCCAGACTTGTTACCTTTCTTGGTCTCTTTCTCGGGCATGTTGGAGAGAGCGGTCTGGTCCTCGGGGATCTCAATCTCAAAGTCGAAAGTTGCCTTGAGGTTGGGCTCATCGAAACAGGGGAAGGCTCTACGAGCATCGCAGGATTCGAATTGGGTGGACAGCATGTAGTGGTACTCGTCATCTCTCGGGACAGAGGCGGCGGCAGGGACGGTGGGCTTGTACTTGGAACGGTAGAATCCAGCCATCTAGTAGAGCGGACGTTAGCATGAGAACCGAGAGACCAACAAGCCTGAGTCTGCTACTGACGTCGTTGTTCATGATACCGCTGAACTTGACCGAGATGACGGCCTTGTGCGATTGAGGAATGGACTGATCGAAGTGGAAGGTGGCTCTCTGGTTCTTCTCATCGTAGGTGATGTTTGAGGCCTTGATGGCGCCCTCAGTCTTGCCTTGCTCGGTCGAGATCTGAGCGCTCTGAACCTTGAGCTGGTGTGTGTTCAAGGTGATTTCCTTGGTCTCTTGCTTGACTTCGACGTCAATGTCGACTTTGCCCTGGTAGGTCCAGTTGCCGCCGAGCTCGAGATCGAATAGGGAGATAGCATAGTTGGACGGCTTGACACTGTAGAAATAAATGGGTCAGTCGTTGGAACGCAGCAGGACATTGATGGCGCAAAGAACATACACGCCGGGAAGAACGTCTCTGTCGGCCATGATTTTCAGCAAGGTGCTGGAGGCAGAGCTTGAATAATGTCTAGAGGGGAATTTTGTACTGGGATACAAAGGAAGGGACGACTGGAAAGGCACACAGCAGTTTAATTTGGACTCGTTTCCAGGGCGTCTGATAGGGCGTGAGTGGCGTAGACTGCTATTGCACGAGTACGAACGAGGAAGGAGCCCGCTCGGGAGCTCGACTGCCCCTCCCCCGCGCTTGCCCTGCAGGACACTGTGGATCCCGCGCCGAACCAGCAACGATTTTCCCATCACGACTACGAAAGCTCGATGCTCTGTTGGACTGTTAGTCTGTTACAGTTCAACAGAGGAATTGAAGATGGAAGGATGCCTTGAAAGCGGGGATAGCTTGATTGCCGCTCGGCTAGAATACGGGAGGACTCTATACTCAGACTATCCAATGGCTTCTTTCACCAAAGTACGCAATGTACCTATCGCGTTACGAAATGTCTATGAAGGTGCAATTCCAGGTCATGAAATAGACTGACAACCTCGTATTTGTAGGTGGGTTCCTGGTAATATGAAAAGACAGAGATAATCGGTCGGAGCATCACTCACAGTCCAAATGAATATGACTGCGTATTGGCTCTCGCCATGGCTGATCTCTCGCCGATTACAAGGCATAGTAGGCTGCCACCCATAACTCCAAACATGCAATATCCTTTCTTCCCAGATGCTTTCTTGTCGTGTGACCCAACGCCGGAAATGCTTCATGTCATCATACCGCCAATGTGCTCAATCTCATTTTCGAGTTTCGTAATTGTGCGCTCTATAGACGGACGGCGACGTCGATGCAGGGTATACGCCATTCCTTCTTTCCAATCATCTCTTTCAACCATTCTGCCACGCTGATCTGCGGTTGTATGTTGAGTCCTGTTTTGCGCGCGAAGCCGTCGGCGACCGATTGTGCCATTGAGACTGCTGCCGATTGTATGACCGACGTCGCTACTGAGATGTTGTCTCCGAGAGCGTTTGTTGTCGAGTTCCCGGTATGCGATGAAGATGAAGAGTCGGGCTGCGGCTCGAACCAGTTGTTGTGGAAATCATAGACGGAGATGACGAGTACAGTGAGGAGAAGCGAGCAGTAGACGCATGGTCGGTTCAAATAGTACATGGCCGAGATGAACAGCACCAGGTAGAGAGGCGGTACATTCGATCTGTCATGTTGGTCAGCAAGTCCATCTCCGCTGTCGTGCCTGACAGGACTAACATGAAGAAGAGGACAGGAAGCCATGTCCGTAAGCAAAACATGACTATTGCTGAACCCGAGTCGCTTGGCTGGGGAGCCCTGTGATCTGTTTCGATCGTCCCCTTGTTTTGGTCGAGTCGAGAATAATAATGTCTTCGGCTCGCCATTTAGGAGTGATCGCAAGAGCCGCAACGTTGGCTTGGCGTCGTCACTCCTTCCGCCTCGGCTCCTCCACTCTCATGCCTGCATACCATCTGTATACCACCACCGTATGCCATTTTGCTTAGCATATTCCAAGAAAGCCTAGCTTTTCTTCACTTGAGGATAAGATACTTCGGTGCAATGCTTTGGTGCTCCCATGCCTAACCCGTCTCTCCACCAACTTTCTGCTTCACAGTATTCTCTCCTTGCCTATAAATTTGGGTCGATTGGCCTCATAACTCTACCTCATACATCATCAAGTCAAGTTGGAGTGTCTAACACTTGAGGAAGTATACTTCACCTGCACAGTCTCGTTTATCACATTGTCCTTGGCTTGCTTTTCTTCAACCTTTTCCTCACCATCCACCTTACCTACTAACACTTCCACCATCTCCAACTCTTCTTTTTTCTTTTCCTCAACCATCCACATCACCACCCATTTACAGACACATCATCACCTTTATCATTCTTCATGGCTTCGAGATCGGAGTCTCCCGAAATTATCGAGACGTCGGTGATTCTCGGAAAACGCAAACGTGAACAATCAGACAAACCGGTCTTGGTCAAGCTAGAGAAAGTCGATGACAACAAGTTCGACAAGAAGACTGAGACATACGGGCTCTACGGCGATGGCAATGACGACGACGATGACAGCGATCTGAGCTCGGTCGGCATGTCAGACGCGGAAGACGACCCTGAGAATCTTGACCACGAGCCTGATCAGGGCGAAATCCTCTGGCGCGAAGCTGATGAACAGTTCCCTCCTTGTGCTCCTTACCACAAGGATGTCCAGGCGATTTATTCGCAGATTACCGACATGCTCGACAAGACTGTTGATCATCTCTCCGGCATCAGTGACAAAAGCGACGGGCTTCAGAGATTGCACGAGCAAGCTATGGAGACCAGAAAGTTTCCCGAACCCAAGATGCCTATCATAACACTTATGGGTGATGCAGGCGCTGGTGAGTTGCGTCAAACGGGAGGATTTTGGAAGTTGCTCACATCAGTTCAGGCAAAAGCTCGCTGATAAGCGCCCTACTTGATACACCACACGTCTCCAGAGAGGTACCTCCCTGAGCAATAATGCTGTCGCAATGCAAGAACTAATTCAAATCCACCGCAGGGTAACTTCGGAACGAGCTGTACGTGTGTCATAACCGAATACAGGAAACCTTATCCTCAGCAGACAAGAAAGTTCGCCGCGAAAGTCGAGTTTCTTAGCAGCAAAGATCGGTGTCTCTTGATGAAAGACTATCTCAAGGACTATGTCGCCTATCATTTCGAGAAAGACGAGGACTGGACATATGATGAGGAGAAAGAGTTTAGTGCACAAGCAAAAACTGCCGAAGGAACATTTTTGGACCTTTTTCGAGGAAGACCAAACTTCACGTCTCGCGAGGAGATGAAAGCATACATCGACACAGCTTACGAAGACGAGGACGAGGATGCTACAGCTATACTCGCGCAGTTCGAGGAATGGTGCAAAGAGCTTGCATCTGACCATGCACCCTATACCGGGTCAGAACTAATCGAAGCGGATCGGGCGTTTGAGTTGGGCAGACTCGTTGGTCCTTTTCTGTCAGCCAGCGCTTCTTGGAGTGACAAGCCCTCGCTATGGCCCATCGTTCGCAAGGTCAGGTAAGTGTAGTTTGGAAGAATGGCATATCCATCATGCTAATGCGACGTGTACAGTATCGGTGTTCGCGGCCCGAGAATTCTGGAACATGCAATCCTCGCTGATCTACCAGGTAACCAAAAACTCATTGATGGGTTTGTTTCAGCTCAAGCTAATCTTCATAGGTGTCTCGGACACGAACCGTATCCGAGTTAGGGCCAGCAGAAGCTATCTGCTGACCAGTGATTACCTCTGGATCGTGTCGCCCATTGGTCGTTGCGCTACAGACACAAGCGTTGATAATCTGATGTACGAGTTCGGCGATCGGTTCAAGGGCCGCCTAGCTATCATCTGCACCAAGACAGATGATCCGATGACGTTCCAGAGTTTTGCTCAGGAATACCAAGAGGATGCGAAGCCCTGCAAGAAGCTCGAAGCAAAGACTAAGAAGGCCAAGTCAGAGATGTCAGCTGCAAAGGCAGCATTCAAGAGAGCCACGAATCCGACCACACGCCAAGAACGCAGTAAGGCGGTCGAAGACAGCCGCACAAAATATGAGAGGCTTCTCCACGCTCGCTTGAACACGATGGTCAGAATCAGAAACCGCAAAGTCACAACGCTGATTATGTCAGAGAAGGCCGATCGTCTTCAGTATGGAGCTAAGGACTTGGTCTACCCTGTTTCAAACAAACATTACTCCTGGCTCAAGGGGTTCAAGGATGGCGGGAACGAGGACGCGCCCCAACTAAGCGCTGAGATGACAGGAATTCCAAAGCTAAGAGCATATGCACTATCAATCGTGTCTCATGAGATCTGGGCGACATTCATTACGCACATACGTCACAAAGTCGTCTCCTTCATCATGGCACTCAAAGCTTGGGCAAACGCTACCAGTCGAGGAAACAACAGCGGGATCTCAGATGCACTCAACAAGAGCATGAAGGTAATTCAATGTCGACATATTGATTTCTTTGCCACTGACATCGTATAGATAATCGAGAATGCCATGACAACCTACCACGGAGCTCTGGAGAAGGAAACGATGTCACTTCTGGCTGCTCCTATGAAGGAGGCCAACTCTAACATGGCGAAAAAGGCGTACAAGTTTCTGAGCAAAGAAGTCCGCATCTGGCACTGGTGCACCATCAAGGCTTTCATACGACGTGGTGGAAAGTACCAATCCAAGGTCGTCGGCCATCAATCTTGGAACGCGAAGATGATGCTGCCGGCAGCCAAGTTCATGAGCAGTGCTTGGGATGAACTCATTCGTAAAGAAGATGCCGCTAACAAGGTCTTCTTTGCTACAATCGTGACTGCTCTAGGCGGCACCCTGGAAGACGTCAAAGGTATGTTACTATTCAAGCCTCTCACCGAGCGAGCTAATCACACAGAGCACAGAGCCAATGGAGCTTATGCAAATCCCCAAGGAGCAATTCCAGACGTTCCTGGACGCTCAAAAGCATGGTCTCACCAGCGTGTTTACCACATACAAGGAAGAGTTTTTTAAACAATTCCAGTAAGAGCAACGTTTTCTTTCACTTGTTCACATCATCCAGCATGGCTGACATGCTACAGGAATGTCAAATACACTACAGAGAAGGATGATGACGAGGGATACTTTGCCAAAGCCATGCAGAAAATCTACGAAGAAGCTGAAGGAATGAAGGGTCTGGAAATCACTCTTTGCCTCTAGATGGGCTTGACGCTAACTGTACTCAGGCACTGGATACAAGGACGCCGTCATGAGTAAACTCGAACACCACGTCAACATCACATCCGACGACTCGCCCTTCATGAAGATGGCCAACACCTCTGCCAGCCAAATTTGCCGCCGAGCGGTCGGAGCCTCAGAAATCTTGAGAGAAGATTGCAACAAGATTTTCAAACAGATCTTCAACCAGTTCGGTTGTATGCTTGACAACACACCTGACGATGACGGCTCGGTTGCCGAAGTCAAGGTCAAACTTGCCAAGTTTCTCGTCGACGCCGAGAAGGAGTTGAAAAAGATGGTCGAACGGCTCGATCAGATTGAGCAGAACCCGTTCCCCGAGGGCTTCAAGAAAGAGGAAGAGCGCCCTATCAAGAAGCTCAAACAAGAGCAAGAGGCTTCGAATCAAGTCAAGCCCGAGCCCGAGCCCGCTAGGGCCAGAAGATCAATCAAGATCAAGGCCGAGGATGCAGAGTAAGAACGAGAGCAGGATCGCTACGCCCAAACTGCATGAACTTTCAACAAGTCGTTGCACACCACATATCAACAGATCACTATTCTCCTTGTCATTTCCTTTTCATTTTCTTTTTCTATTATTTCCTTTTGTCTTTCACCATCTCACCATTATTTCACATCCGCATTGATTCAGCTCAACCTTGATCTCTAGCCAGAAAAACCTTTCCCTTACTTTACCATACCCATTGCCTTTTCTTTGCACACAGACAGAGCATCAGATATTCCAGAAAACAACCCCAAAAGTATCTTCAGATACACCAAATATGACTTCCACAAGATGCAGATGTGACCATGTATGTGACGTGTGTATGCGAAACGTACAAGAACTGCGAGAAAAAAAAAAGTCACAAATATCCTCATGCCAAAAGAAATCATATAAACATGGCTACTCTCTTGCTAAAATGACCTTTACTCACGACAGTGCGCTCAAAGTCGAGCTTTTCCAGTGAGAGTGGTCCAACATCATGGCTGTCTCATGGGACAACTTCTGAACTTCAAGGACCCTCGTGCATCTGTAGCTAATAAGTTGCTGGACTCTCGCAATTGAAGTGAACTGATTTCATTGCAACTCTGACGTTTTTCGGTGTGGAGGTTCGATATATGGCCAAAGAGAACGTTTTACAAGCTCACATAATCGCGGCGACATGGATAAAATCGTGTCTTCCAACAACCAGACTAGAAGCCTTGCGAGGAAGATTGGGCGAGGTCCCAGTGCCATCACTGCATATCATCTCCTCTGATGCACGCACGTATGATACGCTCTATGATAGGGCAAATATGATCAAGTCAAAAAAAGAGGCATGTTTCGCATTTCATTTCCATTGGACATCTAGAGGAGAAAGCTCATCATTTCCCTTCCTCCTCCTTCTTATAAGCGGTCTTCCCGCATTCGTGTTGCCAGAGACTCCACCCCAGATGTATAAACACCAAAAAAAAAGACGAGAAAGCAGAAGACAGAAAGCGGTTCCCTCCAGTCCAGTACATTCGCAACGTTAACATGACATGAAGGGGATTAGATCGCAACCAAGAAAAGCGCAGGGGAGTTGTAAAAATGAGCAGAAGCGTTCGCATGGCGATGAGTGGTATGGGTTCTCGTTCCAAGTGACACGCACGGTGTAATGGCCGAGTCGTTTGCGCCTTCGTAACGCCGAAAGGGGAGAGGTCACACGACATCATCCAAAGGGAAAGTGGAGGCGTGATCCGGTATATTTTCTCTGGTTTTTCTCATATCGTGTACGCTCTGGGGTAGTTCATAGGCAGGGTATCGGGGGTTGTGGGCATTTAACAGCACTGGCCAGACTTTGCGTTGCCATCGGCAGGCTTGGTCAAGGGGACGCTGACGGGGGCACCGCTTCCGGGACCGCTCTCCTTGCCTTCGCCTTGGTCGAGGGCTTTGCTGGAGACGATGCGGTAGATTTCTGTACTGTGTGTGAGATTGGGGCATCGTGGAAAGAAGTGTGAGTGTCTCAGTACCTGTGAGGATGTTTTGGAAGGCAAGCTCGACATTGCTGGCATCGAGAGCAGAAGTCTCGATGAAAGAGAGGTTGTTCTCGCCTGATGGAGGAGTAGGGCATCAGCAAATTGTTGGTAGGCTTGGAGGGTACAAAGAACGGCTCACTGGCAAACTGCTTGGCCTCCTCTGTGGGAACAGCGCGCAGGTGTCTCAAATCGGACTTGTTTCCGACCAACATGATGACAATGTTACTGTCGGCATGGTCTCTCAGCTCCTTGAGCCATCTAGTGACGTTCTCGTATGTCTGGTGCTTGCTGATGTCGTAAACGAGCAGGGCACCGACAGCGCCGCGGTAGTAGGCCGAAGTGATGGCACGGTAGCGTTCCTGGCCAGCGGTATCCCAGATTTGAGCCTTGATGGTCTTGTTGTCGACTTGGATGCTGCGTGTAGCGAACTCGACACCGATGGTCGACTTTGAATCAAGGTTGAACTCGTTGCGGGTGAAACGGCTCAAGAGGTTGGATTTACCGACACCAGAATCTCCAATCAGGACGACCTTGAAGAGGAACTGGAGACTGGATTAGTCATGAGGTTGCGACACGGTTGAGGGCGAGGAGAGCTTACGTCGTACTCGTCGTTGGCCATGGTGGGAATGTGTCGTGAACTCGGGGGTGATTAAGGAGGGGCGGTCTCGGCGGCGTCGTTGCAGCAAAGGCGAGGATGGGAGGATAGCAGAGTATCTGTCAATTGCGCGCGGCGTTGGGTATGGGCGAACGAGAACAAAGGCGGATCGGACAGGCGAGAAGGTGGTGGTAGAAAGAACAAGATCAGCTGTTGTTTGAAACTCCAGGCAGCCCAGCCCAGAGACGCCAACGTCGACTGCTCCTTCCCCACCCTCTGGCCAATCCGCGCGCCTCCCAATTCTTTGCCTTGGCGCCCATCACACACGTGCGCCATCACTATCAACAACTAACATCCTCGATCGCGACTCGCCAAACCATCAAAACTCTCTTCACTCTTCCTCACAGCAATCACTGGTCGCGTCCGTGTTTTACTCACACTCTCTTCGTTCTTCATGATCTCTCACCTTCTTCTTCACCATGGCCACTCCTAAATCTCGACGACCCTTTGAAGAGGCTGCTGATAGCGATTCTGATGTTAACTCCGACACCACTGTTCAGAGCGACTCCGAAGCAGAATACAGTGTCGAAAAGGTTTGCCCTCTGTCATGTCGCTCTTTACACGTCACCATACTAAATCACATCAGATTCTTGCAGACCGAGTGGATCAAAAAGGAAAACCCCAATACCTGGTGAAATGGGAGGGCTATCAATTGCACAGATGCACATGGGAGCCCCCCGAAAGTTTCGTCGACGATGACTGTCTTCGCAACTGGGAGCTCCACAAGCGCGACATCAAACAACCTTTCGATGTCCGCAGATTCGACGAAGCCGTAGCACGAGAAGAAGAACAACGTGAGAAGAGAGTCTCCAAGCGTGCAGAGAAGCGCCGCAAGAAGCTTGCGAGGCGTCTTGTCCCTCGCAAAGCTCTCAAAAAGGGTGTTGCGCGTAAGGCAGACCGCGGAGCTTCTTCTTCATCTGATACCGAAAGTCCTCCCAGGAAGCGGAACACGGTTCTTTTGGACCCGCCTACGCCCAGCAGATCCACTGTTCAGAAGCGTAAGAGAGTTGTGTCACTCTCACGCTCACCCTCTCCAGCACTGTCGGTAAATGACATCTCAAATTCGCAGTATTCCATGTTCAATGAGCCCACAACGGCCTTGAGGGAAACAGCACATACGTCTCCATCGACACGTTCAACAGTTGTGCCGAAACGAGCCCGTGTAGACGGTCCCGATGGCCTGGTATCTTCTGTTGGCAAAAAACGATCAGGTACGTCAAATGAAGGTATAGATATCGTGTGCCGAAAGTTGGCTCGTCAAAGCTTCAGAGCTTCATCAGTCCAGTGTCTCGGAAGAGACATACATGATGTGATGCAGAAGTAGTACACAGGATGGATGATCGACCAGAGAAATCTCGAAAATATGGTTGTTTTCAACGAACGGCTGTCCAATCCTGAATCAGACTCTGCCTCACAACAGGCAGTGACATATCTGGCGCGCGGTCTCGAAAGCTTCTCAGCTGTCACAGAATAACGTACTAATCTATTTCTCGAATCTAGGCGCAACAGTAGACGACACTGTGTCCAAACCGAATGTCACCTTGCCTACATCGAGCGCCAAAAAAAAGCCGCAGTCGAATGTTACTTCAACTCAAGCCGGACCATACAAGGCTAAGGATCATATTAAAGCTACAGGAGGCTCTGCGAAGCCTCAATCAAAGCCGACAAAGTCGTCAACTGCTCCAAATCTTTCCAAATTGCCAGACACTGCTACCCCTCGTCGTGTTTCAGATGCAAACCTTGCATTGCGACCCGGAGAATCAGCAGACAATTCTAGGAACAAAGATACCCCATCCACAACAACAACTACTACTACTACAGTGGCACGTCCTGCAACGCTCGATGGCCAACCAAGTCTCAAGCCTTCTACGGCTGCTAATACGACCCCTAAGGTCGCACCTAGGCTCGCTGGACCTTCTCGTCCAAAACCGATTAAGCTGTTTATGGACAAATCCACTAAAAGACAACGACCAAGGGTGAATGAGTATACCTCGAAAGACTCGACTGACACTCAATTCGCCAATCTGGCTTTGCAAAGAAGAATGCAACTCTACAGTCACAACGAGCCGGCCCCTGACCCGAACGCTCTGAGGTTTATTGACCCATCCACTGGAAAGATTATCGACAATGCAAACAACGCCTCAACAAACGCGCTACGACTAGATACCGACGTGGAAAGAGTGTCTGATGTGGCGTTATCGGAGAAGTCGGCGCCTGGTTTGGAGGCTCGTTCTGCTTCCATCTCTGACATTCGACGAACTCCTCTCAATGGGCGCGTGTCAATGCCTCAGTCAGCACAAGAAGCTGCACTAAAGTTTGCATATCCATCAGCTCAGCCAGCTCCGCCAGCTCCGCCCCGCTTTAATACCAAAGGCATAACTTGCCGTTTCTGGCTCAGAGGGACATGTAAGAAGAGCGAGTCAGAATGCATCTATGCGCACGAATGGACAGGTGTCCTTGACAAGAAGAAGAATGCCCCGTGTACGTTTTTCCAAAACGGAGGATGTATGTTCACCGACCAACAATGCGAGTACCAACACAATACTTCTTCGAAGCATGGGGAGCGGGAAGATGTCAATGACTACAGGGCACTGCAAGGGCCCGAGCGATTAAGGCGTCGCTCTGAAAGTCCCGATCACTCTGGAAAACGTCAGGATGAGGTTGAAGGACGAAGAGGCAGATCAAGCCTGTCACAGATCAAGACTCGTCTCGATGAGCGATCTCCGATGATATCGCCGTCGCTGGCATCGACCGCAACATTCGAGACTAGAAATGAGTCAGACACACATGTGGCACATCCTAGGATGCGTTTGGACGTAGACTACGAGTCGTCGGCAAACGCGGTTGGTCTACTTGACGTCGCGACTTCAGACCCTGGAAATCAACCAGATCTTTCAGAACCCGTCAATGCATGTCTCACAGTCAGCCCTGCCTCCCCGCCAGTCTTCACCATGGATGTGAAGCTGAGTTTTGACACAAAATCTTGTCGATCAAACTTTTTAAGCACTTATGGCGAGAACGTCTCTCTCGAAGGCACAGATATATGCCGCTCACGCGACTTTGAGGCATATTGGTTTGAGGCTGACAAGACCCTTGCGTCGGGTCAAATCGTTTCTGCAGTAGGAGACACTATGGTTGCTTATCTCGAGGACTTCCTAATACTACACTCTTCTGGTGTTGTGGTCCGAGGCGAGAAATTCGTACTGGTGGTATATCCTACACAAAATCCGGATTGGAAGTTCATGCCCCATAGAGGCCCCGAAAGATCGGGCCTCCGATGGCACCTACAAGGCGCAGGACCAGAGATGCTCGAGCCACTTGTAACTAAACCAACCAAAAGTTCATTTCCCTCTATGTGTACCGAACACTTGGGCCTCGATTCTGAAGTCCTGTTCGCAACAAACAAGGGCAAGCAGACCGACAAGCTCGTGTGTCTTTTCTTCCCTAGAGAAGCGCCAGAAACCAAGGTCGTCGAGGCTTTCTTGGTCGATTCAAGAGCGAAAATCTGCTTCTCAGACGATCACGAGCGCTGGGCCCAATTCTGCAATAACAAAGGGTCATCCGGAGTGATCCTATTCCACCCCTCGATGAATGCTTTCTGGAAGGTTCCTGAGTTCTATAGTGTCCTGGCTACCACAGCTAACGTCTTCCAAATCGGTGTTTCAAAATCCAGCAAATCTCGTCCTGATTTGCCCATGCAATACAGCTGCACACGACTCTTTCCCAACGGCTCACTCACTCTCATCACTGATGACATATTCAAGTATTACCCAGCCCTAGCCGTCAGAGTACTTGAGAGCTTCGAAAGCCTAAAGCTTAAGGCGCAAGGCGCACGATGCGACCGTATTTACTGTCGCCCTGGCATACTGGCTTGGTTGGCAGAACTTATCGATGAGGACTGTGAACAGGGCATTTCCACCGAAGACTCTCCCAGAGTCAGGTGTTGGCAGCTAGCCTGTGACCTTCTCAACGTCACTGTCGCCGACAACAGCAGCAATCCTTTCCGTTCCGATATGGGACCTCCGCCATTGCTCTATTCGCCACGAAAGAGCCAGATGCCCGAATACGGTCCTCTGTGGGACAGTAGCGAACAAGAAGCTACCGATTTTCTGGTCGGTTGGTTCGCAGGCCACTGTGTGGACGAGTGCGAAAGCTACAGACGCTTTACCGTCGTCTATGAGCAGCATGGCGCTACAGCACCTCAGACACCTGGCTTGCTGCAGTCCGCAAACCCTAAAGACCCAAAGGGGTGGATGCTGAAGTATCGTCATCTAAAGGTCACCACGCCCAACAGGTTGCTGGCAGCCCGCGAAGAATACGAGAAGTCTAAGATGAGACAGCGTTGATTGAGGGAGGGGGTTAGGAGCGAGGGTAAGAAGTCAGAGGGAAATTAATCGATGTAATTATGCTTGGGGAGAAGGAGGACATACAAGTATTGAGCTCGCGCTCTATTGGTTGTCCATGTTGCACGAAGATGATGATAACGAAACGAGTTTGCTTTACATAGCATTGGTACATACCTATTCAGCAGAGGAAATCACACCTCAATGTGTACTCTATAATGAACGTATAACCTTGCATTTGTTCATAAGGGTGATAGCACCTTTCAACTAAGAAGTTCTATTATGGATTTCGTGTCGGGCGTATCGTTTGTTTCTTTAGAGAAGTATCGTGCGTTGTGCCTTTTTGCTATCGTAGACGACGCCGATAGGTACATGAGCGATGACCGAATTCATAACTGCCTTGCTGGACAGATAGAGAAAGATCCGGTGCAACGTTTTAGTCCAGTCTCTCTCGTCTTCTTGCAATCGACCAGATAAGCCATGTTTCCGGCTGCTTCAAAAGGTCTTCGCAACTTGATTGATCCGTAGCATCGTATTTTTAAAGCGTGCTGATGCTTGATGGGTGTTCCAGATCCACGGGTATGCCTTGCATCTTGAGACGCCCACTTTAGCTTGACAAATATCTTTTTCTCTAACCGTTATGTGTATTCTTAGGTCTGTATCCTTGCAAGTGCCAGAGAAAGAAATCTCAAGAATTTCAAGCTCTCTTATGCCCATCATAAACCTCCACACCAAAAGCCTTCTTCACAGCCCACGAATGAGCAGAAGCACTGTATCTCAAACATCAGCATCATCATCACTCACCCTTACAACAGCAGCAGCAAACAACAAAAAAACTCACATCAAAGGCCCACCCCTCCAAAAGGGCAACACATTATCCATACCCCTCCTCCTCTCGGCAATCCTCTCCATAATCTCACCTTTTTGAAACAACCTCACCTCTTCACCTTTGACTTTTCCGTCTTTTTCGGCAGCGAGCATCCACAATCCTACGGCGTCGAGTTGTGCCACTATGCCTTCTCTTTTCGCCAACGATATCAATTCCGCACATCCATATCTCTTACTTTCATCCAAGGCTCTACAAGCGGATGGTCCACCGAGTAATTTCCGTGACGTGCGGACGGTAGGGACGTAGATGGTCAGGGACCAGAAGCCAGTGTTGCGGAAGACGAGATGGCGGATTGTGGCTAGGAAGACGGCGACGGGGAAGTTTAGACCGATGGAGAGGTCGCCGCGGAGGGAGTCCATGAAGGTTATTGTCGATGTGTTTGGGTGGGGGGAGCGGTGGGCGAAGAAGCTCAGGAGGCGGTGGAATGCGCCTTGTGCTGACATGTTTGTGACTCGAATATCTTGTCCAATTGATTCGAAAGAGTGGTTACTGGCGGTGAAAGATTTGGGTTGACAAGGGAAGCTCTGGTTGTTTACAGGTGAAGCTTCAGCAAAGCTTGGTGACATCAAGGTGTCCAAAAAAAGTCATGACGACATTGCTTGCTTTTTCTGAGTGTTCTACAGAAAGATTCCAAACCATCCGCCCGCAGATGCTCTGTACAGGGTTGATATTACAGTATATGACCAGTGCTCCCCCGTTTTTATTCTGTCCCCCCGCGTCTATACCCACTCCTTGGGCTCCTTGAGTACACTCAACATGCGCTCTTCCCTTGAGCCCTTCTCAGGAGCGTGCATGTATTGCCAGCGAGCGGTCAATGGCAAGCTCATGAGGATACTCTCGACTCTGGATCCAGGTGTGTTCAAGCCGAAGCTTGTGCCGCGGTCGTGTACCAGGTTGAACTCGACGTAGCGACCTCTGCGGAGTTGTTGCCATGCCTTTTCCTTCTCAGTGAAAGGCATGTCCTTTCTCTTCTCGATGATAGGGACGTACGAAGGCAAGAAGGCGTTGAGGCAGGACTGGGCGAAGGAGAAGAGGGCCTCCTGGTCCTTCTCGGTCTCGTCGAGGTCATCGAAGAAGATACCGCCAACACCACGGGTCTCACCGCGGTGCGAAACATAAAAGTACTTGTCGCACCACTCCTTGAAGCGGGCGTAGTAGGTCTTGTCATGGGCATCACAAGCGTCTTTGATTGTGCGGTGGAAATGAATGACATCTTCGTCGAACAAGTACGAAGGGGTAAGATCAGTGCCGCCGCCAAACCACCAGGCATTGGGAGTGCCGTCGGCGTTTGCGGTCTCAAAGTAGCGATAGTTCAGGTGCACGGTCGGAGCCATGGGGTTCTTGGGGTGCAAGACCATGCTCAGACCGGCAGCAAAGAATTCCAAACTCTCCACATCCGGGTCCAAAGCCTTGTGGTTGACCCTCATCTTGCTGATGGCGGCGCGCGGCAGGGTGCCGTAGACGATCGAGGTGTTGACACCGCCTTTTTCGAAAACATTGCCGTCCTGTAGGACACAGGTGATGCCGCCGCCGCCGTTGGGGCGGTCCCACTTGTCGACTTGGAAGCGGGTGCCGTCGACTTTCTCAAGCTCGCGGACGATCTCCTCCTGCTTGGATTTTATGAATTGTTCCATTCTTAGACGCATGGGGGACGTCTGCGTGACGCCGGATTCACGCTTACTGAGACTGTCTCGCTCTGCGATTGACGGCGGCTCCGTGTGCTCTACGTCTCCGGTGGCCTGGCGAGTCGCGTGTCAGTGAATGAGCGACTGGAGTACGTCATGATTGGAATGTGTATACCATAGAGTAGATGAGGGTTCCAACAAAGACCACGCCTACAGCGAGGCGCGTCTTGGGAGCGACGACCCTCGACTTCTGAGGAGAGCCTGGAGGAAGAGGAGGCTTGGTGCCATGGTCGCCAATCGAGCGTACTTGTTGCTTGGTGAATCTGGCAGCACGAGCCTGCCAGTAGGGTGCTCGGCTTGCTTGTGCTGTACGGCGGAATGCCGTGGATGCGAATGTGCTCATGGTGAATGTACTGATGAATTGGCCAAAGATGCTGCGTAGACGAGCAGGAAAGGATGTCTTTGGTATTTGAACTCAAACCCGTCTATGCATCATGGAGCTCGGTCATGATGATTGAGCTTGGACCATGACCTGTCAGGGACCATCCGATCATCACTCCACAAATGATCCCACGTCAGCAAAACAGACATCAAATCATTCGCGACTTCTCCCGCACACTGTCTACCTTGTCCGAGGCGAGAGCATACCGATCTTTGCAGAAGGACCGACCAACAGCGAAGCCATCGCCAAGCTTGTCTCTCTATTATCTTGCTCATTCATAATGACCTGACAGTAAAGATTTCCTGGAGCCTTGTCACATCTGGATTAGATACCTGTGCAGTCCCATAGGGGACTCTTATCGAGTAGCCTCTATGATTATGAGACACTCTATAAGCCAACACTTGCCTCTGTCAATCCTGAAGCGACCCAAGTTTATATTCCCTTCTACCCAAAGCCAATGCGCCGGACAGGAACTTCGCAACGCTGAAAGGAGAGGTCACCACACACACGCCAATCCATTCAATTCTTGCAAAGAAGGCAGATCGGCTGGTCAAAGTCAAAGGGGTGTGCACGTACAGGGTAGATGTACTGCTCTCTTGGAGAGCCCCTCCCAAGTGAAGCTCCATCGGCTTGAGAAGTATTGTGTAGTACTTCAGTCGCGCATAGATTTGTGTAAGATGACCCTTCAAGACCATCTGCGAATCTCACGTATGGTAGCACTGTGATATCAGATGGGGTTGATTTACGGACTCGAAATCAAGGCGGACTCACAAGACAGCCCTGAAATAGTCCTGTGCGGTTTTGGGAGAGCTGCGTCTTGCGACAACCTCAATCGCCATTCTATTAGAACACGTAGTTCTCAGAGATGATGCTTGCCTTGCGGTGAGTCACGAATTCAACACCGCAGACATGAGTTGTCGCGGTGGTCGAATTAGGCTGTAAATGAGTTAGATTTCTTTTGCCTTCCCTATATGTTCAATGGGTCTTCTTCACTTTCTTTTTTTCTATCCAACACTAAAACACTGAAACCACTCGATTACAAACATTAGAATAGATCAACCACAAAACTATTCGATCGCAACATATCAAACAACTTCGGTGAAACCCACAACCGCACAAATGGAAAACATAACCGCCCAAATGGAGGCAACGACATTGCAAATGGAAGACTCACCAAAATTTACCATCTCCGATCTTAAAAGCAACAATCCCCTATGGTGGCGCATCCACGTATTCACATACGACCTCCGCCACTACCGCGAACGACCAGACTCGCTCGATCGTCTGGAAACCATAGTAGACATATCCTACCTCAGCACACCCTACTTCAACGAATCAGAAGTAACACAACTGAAATCAACACTCCTCTCCACGGGCAAGACTCTCGAGGAGACGATAGAACAAACACTGCATGAACGACTCAACCGTCGCTTGAAAAAGAGGCAGGAGAGTAATGATTATCGAGTCTGCGCTGCCCATGATCTGGCGCCTATTTTCGAGAAGGCTTTCGGTTTGGACCATAAACAGTTGGCAAGAGATGTTGAGTTTCTCAAGTTGGTGGATGAGAATGGGTTGCAGGGAGGAGAGGCTTGGACGGGTTTGGCGACGAAACCGATATGTGGGCCCAAGGCACAGCCTGGAAAGAAGAAGAGGAAAAACAACAGGAAAAAGACTCGTCAACCAAATTGATATCCTTGAACGCGGTAGTTGACAAGGAACTTTACACGTACATCATATCGTACTCTTATATCCACTGCTCTCTTTTTGCAAGACCACGATCTCGCCGCTGTGCCCACCATGCATCTTCTGATCACGCCTTGTATGTGTATCTCGTGTGCCTCTTTAGTCTCATCACGAACAACCACATCCAGGTCGCAAGCTATGACACAAGTACTTGATGAAATCGCATGACTGCACGATGCTAGGAAGTAATCGCGACCAAGTATTAATACCAGGGTCACCCCATCCCAACAACCACACCCCCCTTTCCACACCAGCGATCTTCCAGACCACCTTCCATTCCCGAGAAATACATGCAAAAATGCCGGGTTCCCTTATCTGTTCTCGACATCTCAACTGCCAATGCTTGTTTACAGAAGTATTTTGTCGAAGTACATGGACCGACAACACCGGCGGCAGTCCGCGGACTTTCACTGATTCAGGGGGTGATGGAACGGTTTTTACGGTAGAACGCCCATGGAACGACTACAATCACAGAGAGCTTCATCTGCTGTATCCGTAAACCGGTGGGCAGGTTTAACAGACGAGGAGAAAAGGGTTACGCGCGTACTACTTTGAGACACAACAAAGAAGGTAGTCGCGAGCCGACAGCGTCCCTTCCTATTTTGGTGCTGATTCAAGGGTTTGAGATGGAGAAAGAGAGGCAAAGCAAAGATCAAATATTCTTCATCATTGACAACCGAAGAGAAAGGGTATCTGCGCTAATCTCATACTCATCTTTGCTTGTAGGAACAAGTAAAACACAACACCCAAAATCATCCCCATTTCACATATATCCCACACTGTTATCTTTCTTGCATACAGTGGAACACAAAAAGATCCCCATCATTAATCGTACCCCCTCCAAATAAGCAAAACATCAAAGAACAAAAAAGACAAACGACCGAAAAAAAGTTGTAAAAAGGTGAAAAGAGCGAAGTAAACATGCGTGTACGCGCGCCCAACTCTTCCAGTGCCAAAAGAGAGGGGATGCACTATCCAAAGTTCTTACCCATACCTCAGTCTTGCTTTGCTGAGACTCGCCAAAAAGAATATAACGCCGTCCTGTTTCTGCTGCTTTTTTGTAATCGTGATACGCCTGATCCATGCGTAGGTGAATAAAAATAAATAAACCGGTGAATCAATAACATGAATAGAATGTAAGAAGCCCGGAAAAGTGATCCGAAAAGTGTCGACGGGTGGAGTGGTTGTTCAGCATTTTGAGATGCTAAGGCTCGAAGACTGTAGGCACCGCGTGCTCAACAGAACCTTTGCGACTGCTGGCAGCGCCTTCGAGAGCGTCTCCATTGACGCTGCCGACAGAGCTATTCTGAAGACTACGCTGGTCTGCGGTCAAAGGAGGAGGTGGAGGAGTCGTGTTTTGCGAGATGGTACGGCTACCGAAGGCGGACTGATGGGCGTGGAGGTTCTGCTCGTATGGTCTCTGCATACGTTTCTCGATGGCGGTAACCTGCTTGCCACAGCCTGTTCGCTTGGCCTTGGCTAGTTCCGGCTGGAGAATCTCGATAAAGTGATCAAGATCCGGCTGGCTGAGGAGGTCCAAGAGTTTCTGTATAACATAGTTTCCATAGTTGTCTCTGATCAGGCCGAGCAGCATAGTTTCCCCTTCACGATTGTTGTTGCGCACAATCACGCCGATGACATCCGTTTTCCACGGGTTTGCCGAGAAGACGAGGCACTTCTCCACGACATTGCTCGCGAACTTGTGCTTGCTGTAGCCCTCCAGACCCTTGATCACAAGCTCAAGCACTCGCTGTCGATCGGGATCAAAGCCGAACTCCACTACATGCTGTGCGACGTAGTTGCCAAAGGAGTCGCCAATCAAGGTGGGCATGCAGTCGTGCAACTCTGCCAGGATTGCCTTTCGTGTCACATCTTCGCAATTCTCAAGACATCTCTGAATGACTCGGCATCCATAGGTGTGGACACTGAGGTGCTGGATCTGGCCAGTGAAAGCTTGGAAGATGAACGATATGTCTTTGGCGTCGCAACGTTCGATGGCCTTCTGGATGACGTGGTTTCCGTTTTGGTCTTTGACGCATCTCAAGACATCCTTCTCCAATTCGCGAACGAGCGAAGCTTGCTGATCGTTGAGTATATGTTCGAGAGCCTAGTCAAGTCAGTCGAGGGTTGATATGTAGACGAGTATAAAACTAACCTTTTGCACAACACGGCAGCCATACATTTGCAGTGACAAGTCCAGGACACGACCTTTCATCTTGTTGGCCAGAATCTTTTTCTGGTTCTGATCGCCGTGCTCGAAGAATTTCTGGATGACATAATTGCCGAACACATCTGTCATGAGCTGGAGAGCATTTGGTCCAATTTCTCGGAAGAGGCGCTCTTTTTCATCGCTGTTGGCTGTTTCAAGCTTTTGTTGGATGAAGCGTGACCCGTGTTGGTCTCCGCTGAACTCGACCACATGGTCAAAGATGTCCTGCAACTGATTAGCAAAAAGCAAAATTCATGTCATCTCTAGGGTCCCACCTTCAACTCATAACGACGAGTCTTGTTGTTAGTCTTGAAGTCTTCCAGAAGAGCACTGCGAAGGCTGTGGCCAGTTTCCTCACGTGGACCTCTTGGGGCAGGCATAGATGGCACGCCTCCGATCGACATTTGGGAATGCATAGGAGGGTATGCGGCAGGGATGCTGTGTATAGCAGAACCGTGAGGCAGTTGATAAGAATAGAAGCCGCCAGAGACTGGGCCATATGGCAAATTCAACAAGTAGCGATGATCCACGTCTTGGACGGATTGCTGCTGATATCTCTGGTTGACGAAAGCAGGGGCGTTTGGATTGGCATTCCTGGGATTGTACATGTTGCCATTCAGGAGAGAGCGTTCAGGGTATTGCGACATGCGGTAAGCAGGGTGTTCGAAGGGTGTCTGAGCTGCTGGTGAGTAGGCGTCAGACGGGAAAGTAGGCGGCACACGAGATATCTCTTCTGCATCATCGTATTGATCTGTCGAGGAATTGCGAGTGTAAGACGAGGGAGATTGGTTGAGGAAGGAGGGCATCGAGAAGGAAGGTCTCGAAGTAGCGAAGTTGTGAGAGTCATCGTGCAGAGTCATCTGCGAGAATTGAGCCAAAGAGTTTGCTTGAGCGTCGGCTGCACCGAAGCTGCCGCTAGGTCTGGAAGCAGCAGAGAAGCTGTTGACGCGGAAGGAGTTTGTGGGAGGTTGAGAGGAGGAGAAATGATCGGGTTTGGCGGGGTTGGGATAGACTGGTTGGACGTCGCTGTGTCGCGAGGGAGGCAAGCTGTTGTTGCGCGATGGAGGGGCGCTAGGCAGTCCGTGGAAGTAGCCAGTGGCCGATGGACGTCTCCTCTCGTCCACTGGAGAGTGAGTGAGGCTGTTCCCCTCAGCAAGCCAGTCGCCATAAGCCGAATCGACCGGTCTCGAAGTAGCGGGCTTGCTTGGACGATCGAACTTTGTAAAGACAGGGGGAGCTTCGTTAGTGTACGACAAAGGCGAATCGAAAGTGCCACTGAACTGCGTCTTTGGCGCGGCTGAGACTGCCGAGTTGATACCGCTGGTCGTAGGTCGCGAGGATGAGAAAGACGCGGAGCCACGTGGAGCACCAGCATAAGCTTGAGGCAGGCCTGCGTTGCTATTGCTGCGATGCTGAGCAAAGTTGGTATCGCTGGGCTTGGGAAGAGGTCCTCCGAGGCGTGTCGCATCGTCGCGCTTTGCAAAAGTGCCTGAGCGGAATGTGTTGTAGTCGTCTAATATGGACGAGTCAACAAGTTGGCCAGAGCCGCTCCTGCCCTCGATTGTGTCCTTTCCACTCAGCTTTCCATTTTGGGCGCCAAAGTTCAGGCTGGTTCTGGGAGCGGTGGTTTGACGAGAAGTCGGGGGTTGTGGGTTGAAGCTTGTGCTCCAGATGTTGGATGTGTTCTGCCATTTGGTCAAGTTGTTGGACGAGGCTGAAGATGTTCCGGGAGCGGGATTGCGACCTTCGCTAGTGGGAGGCCTGAAGGGTTGCGAGAATCCAGACATGGTGACAGGGCGGGGCTGCGACGAAAAGGACGAAGACATTATGGACCAGTGTACAGATATGTGGGGGTAGGGAACGGATAGGGAGTATGTAAGACGAAAGTTTACGAATGTCTAGTCACAGGCGTCAGCAGGGGAGCAACACACGTGTCTAGTGCAAGAGACGGCCTACTCAGACAGATGTTCCAGGCGCTGTTGAATATACGGCAACACCATGTACAGATTGCAGAGGAATACGGAGAGCCGGACGATGGTGGTGGTCAGGTCGAGAAGGGGTCTGGAAGTCGGTCGTGGTTATGTAACAGCGAGCGTCTGCAAGGCGGACGACGATCAAAGTATGTGCAATTTCAACAGCAGGTGCGCGGCACTCGGTCGGCGAGGAAGGTACTCTGGACGGGCATTTGCTGTGCACACAGTCCGCGTCGTGGGCCGAATTCACTGGTCGTTGCGAAAAGGCAAGGGATGCGAGCTTGAGGAATGTCCAACTGAGAGAGTTCGTGCGCACGAGAGAGGGGGAAAGAGCGAGGGACTTCAACAAGAAGGTAAGCGTCTGGCCGGCCGAGACGACAAAGTCCAAGGAGTGTGCGGTCAAATACTAGTCGCGTGGGACAGGATACTCTGTCTACTTCTTTTTATCAAGACAGCTACAGCCCAGGAACTTCCGATACCCAACTTGGTAGATGGCTCCGTCTATCTCCCGGACCTTGTTTGAATGGTACGCTGCGGGAAAGGCTGCCGCCAAGCCGTAGGGAAAGGGTCTTTCCCGTTTTACTCTTGCCCAATCTCTCACCAGCGCTTTCAGGGTTCCAACACTGCTGGCCAGCGTCGACCTTGACTTGTCTTCGTCAATCGGACCACCACATCAATATAAATCTCGAACACATACTACATAGTACATTGCAACTCTACTTTTCCACAACGCTCTCTCCCTAACCTCACCGCTCCCCAGACCGCATCACGTCTGCGGTCTACATCGTCCTGCAGATCACCATGCCCAGCATCCTTCTATACCACTTCCAACCCTACTACCGCCCGTCTCTTCATCATGCGTCGCTTCAGATAAAGACTGCCCTGCGTGGCTTCTGCATGCTCCTGTCAAGACCGGCCAATCCCCACGCTCTTTGCACGTCCGTTTACGAGACAGACAAACGTGCTGTTCATACTGTGCCTCCCAAGTGATCCCTTTAACCAATTTTTAGAAGCCACCATTACAAAATTGGTTCCCTGCAGGCAGCAAGCCTATCTGCGTCTCCGCCACAACATCCCGTATCCGGTTTTGTCTTCGTCACCTTAATGCGCAAAGACGTCGTTTCTCCATCTTCTACCATAAACTCTTCAAACTAGTCAAGTATCTCCTGCACAACAGGTAGATTGTCTATCTTGCATCAACAGTGATGCGTCGGCGATCGAGGATCAAGTGTCCAAACCCTCTCCGTGCTCACTGATGATCCAACCAATTCTCTTGTGTAACCCTGGCACGCCTGGCATGTCAGCACAACTGGGCATGAGCACGAGTGGTGACAAATTCACCAGCTTCCACACATGCCAGGGCAAGGCATCGTTCATATCCTAAACAACACTGTGATACACTGCTTCTTCCAGTCATTGTGTGAGTTATTATCAGTACGAGAGATCTCAAGTATGGCAAGTCTTGCTCGAAACAGTGTACGGTCTTGTGATAGGTTGAAGAACGTACCGAGGATATCAGCACAAGTACGAGTACTTCAGCTATCGCTCCTGTTGTCTTCGGTGACCGGCAACATTCTGGACGGGTAGTAGACGGTGCTGCTTTGTACCTTCTTTGACCGTGTACGGTCGGACAACTCATCGAGAGCTTCGTGCCAATCAGTCTGACCAAAAGCCACAATCCAGAGCGTGAACAAAGGGAAGGCATCATGCACCTACATCATGGTGCGGCCAGGGGTGCATAGCAGAGGCTGACCGCACAGCACGCAGTAGCTTTGCTTGTTTTGAACAGACATACTCCAAGCACTCCTGTCCCAGGTAAACAACATCTCCTATTTTCAGACCCGTCTCAGGGATACAAGGCAACCCCTTCTCATGATTTTTGTTGCTTTAATTATTATTGCTCAAGTTACCGTTTGGCATTGCGACTTTTTGTTCAAACAGACGGAGTTGTCGGGGCAATGTATGTGCGAAATTGGACGGCAGAATGGCTGTGCAAGACCCTCAGTGCTGCGGGTTGAACGGTCGGAGCTTAAAAGGCAACCAAAGGCTAGGACCAGATGGTGGAAAAGCCATGCTAGAGATGCTATCAACCCGTCCAACATCAAACACGATGGAGGATTGTAAGGTCAAGTACAGTACGACGACAAGTGATGGTGAGGTCATATGGGTGCACAAAACCCAAGTCAGACACGCGCGACACATTTCTCTGCCCCTGTCGTGGCTTTTATCAAGGAATCCATCAGTGCGAGCCGAGATGGAGGCCTTGTTGAGTGGTGATTATGCACTCCGCTCATAAATTGACGCCAGAAGTGCACATCATACACCAGCGTCGGCTAGAGGCTTGGGAGAGAGTTGGTTCCTGTTGATCTTGGTGATCTTGAGTAATCTAAATCCGGTTTGGCTTCCCTCACCCACCCAGACTTGCGGACCTTGAGCTGAAGAGTCTTCTTTCTCGAATGGTCCCAGGACGGGTCGGTCTGGCTGAAGGAGGCTCTGTTTTGGATAGGCAGTTGTATCTATTGGAGTCTGGTCCCCATGATAATCATAGAAGCAGTTTCATCGTCGAATGAAGAAGGCTAAGGCTCCTAGTTGGCTGTAATTACATGACGAGTGCTGCTTGAAAAGTGGAGTCGGGCTGCTTGACAGTTGATTGGCCGTTTGATGCCTTCAACGGCGCTAATTGCTGGAGTAATCTTAATCGTCGCGGAGAGACATCAACAAAAGATCAAGCGTGCGCCCTCTCACTCGTGTTTGAGACCTTTTTCGATAATCCGTTTCGACTCTTTCCCCCTACAACACGTTTCGCGACCCCGGCTTCACTCTTTTAGCCGTCGTTCTGCAGTCCATTCGTTCCCCGACACTTGTTGAAGATAGTCCAAGTCGATTGCGTATTCGAGGTATGCACTCCGTAGCGGGCCCCCGCGTTCCTCTCCGTTGAACTCCAACCACCCAACCATCCAACCATCCCTACAGCGTGACGGACGCGATGCCTGTCAAAGGCTCGCCGAGTCGCGCTTTGCAGAATGCACTACCAGCCCCAAAGCTCCAACACAAGCAACGATCTGGCATACTGACATAGTCCCGCCCCAGGATTCTGAAAACTTTAATCCGATTATCAAACGGCACCAATCAAAGAAAGCTCTTCGTACCTGGAGGTTATATGACGCCAAATCCTTAAACCCTTTCTCGCCTTCGACTTTTTAATCGCTACACCACACGCTCGTTCTACCCCGACTTTCGTTCCCCCCAGCAACCATGATGGCCACTCTTATGAACTTGGTCGCTCGCGACAGCTACGACGAATCGTACTCTCCCACAATGGCTGCTCTTCTTATCGCCCTTGTCGTCCTTCTTATCATCGCTCTTCTCTGCATCATCGCCCTCTACTTCATGCGCTGGAGAAAGCGCTCATTACGCGCCGACTCTCTTCCCTTCGATGAGGAGAAGTCATCTTCCGCGCGTTCATCACGCCACCACCGTGTCACCGTTCGCCCGCATGAGTCCATTATCGTCTACCAGGAGAAGCAAAGCCTTATCAACAACTCGGAAGCACCCCCATCGGCCAACCCTGTGCCTGAGATCCGTCTTCACTTCCCCGAGGAGGTCGACACCTCAGGCAAGCGTCAGTCAGGCAGAGTTGTGGTTATCCGTGTTGGCGATCACAGCATTGGCCTCGAACCCGTTTCAGAAAACCTCCCTCCTTACCAGAAGAGCGAGTCGGATCGTTTCCAATCGCTCGACCTCGAGAGGATAGGCGGCCTCAAGGAGAAGGATGTCGAGGCCCGCTACCAATAGTCGATGATGCATGGCATTCCTCACACCCTCAACGACATATCTCAAAAGTAATGACCCACTGGAGCTGCGCCGTCCAATATCTTCTTTTTCCTTCTTTTTCTTGGACCCGCAACCTTTTCTCTTTTCATCTCTTACATACGACCTTCGAGCTGGATATGTTTGAGGGTGCTTGTCCACCCCATGGCTGCCGCTCATGGTACATATCTGCTTCTCTGGCTGCACAGTCCCTTCCGATAGGGTGTTCACTCTTTGTTGACCCCCCAGGCCTACTCAAGCCTCCACTACGACATATCGGATATTGTTAATGTTTTTCTTCGGCGGCTATCCTTTGGCATCTTCAGCCAGCTGCTCATTCTTCTTCGCACACTCCTTCAACAAACATTCCCGTCTTTTTTCTCTTTCGTTTCAGCGTAGCGGGGCTGAATTTCTCAATGCCACGGCGTCCTGATGGAGCCGCTCTGATTAGAGTTGGCCCTCTTGTGTAGGGTTTTGGATTCTTTTTTCTCTCAGGCTTGACCTGTACGACTGTAATGTGTGGTGTTTGTATTATTACTACACATGTCAAGTACTCATAGCGCGCGCTTGACCAATGGTCGAGCAGCAGACGCACAAAATGAACAAAACGGGCTTCGATCCCGATCAAACAACTAGATGTGTGCATTGTACCTCGAGTCGATGATATGACGTGATAGTGGCATATTTTACGTCGGAAGAGACGAATTTAAAAGCTGAGACAAGTGTTTGAAGAGTCGAGGAGTAAAATGAGGACTCGGGATTGGCGGATGGTCGAGCTTCGGAAGCATTTCCCCCTCCACTGTCCAGGCTCCGCATCGTCACCCCTCAATTTATTGCTCTCTCCGACTTTGCACCCGCAGCAGATTGTTGTTTTCTTCCCCCCATTCCATTCTACACCCATCGATGCCTAGGCGGTAGCTTCGAACCAAATGTCAGCAAGCGATGGGGCCAGTGTTGCCGCTCAATTGACGGGAGCAGGAGGGCAGCAAGCTCAAATTCCCAAGACTGAGACGTCCAAGGACGTGCAAAACGAGCGCCGACAGACATTCAAGCGCCGCCATGGCTTTCTCGTGGGCTTCTTTACTTTGGTTCTGTATGCTTGTGCTTCCCCGATGGCTATTGAAGCTTCATTTACTTACTCTTAGCAGAGTGTTCCACGTTCTGGGCATTTTTCTCTTCCTCAGTGGCTTCCTCCTGACCCGCCTGGTCCTCGACCACAAGTCCGAGTGCGCGGTCCCTCCAGTTGCTCTCGGCTCGTCATACACGCCCGGCTCGGTCGACGATGGCTGTTGGCATCCCAAGTCCTTCGACAAGGCCGTCGTCATCATCGTTGACGCTCTTCGCTACGACTTCACCGTGCCTTGGTCGCCAAAGCACCCGCAACACGTCTCCCAGCACTTCCACAACGCCCTGCCCATCTTCTGGGACACTGCCGTAGCTGAGCCCGAGAATGCCTTCCTCTTACCTTTCATCGCCGACCCGCCCACTACAACCCTGCAACGTCTAAAGGGGCTGACTACCGGCACCCTGCCAACCTTCATTGACGCAGGCTCAAACTTTGCTGGAACTGCCATTGAAGAAGACAACCTGGTCGCACAGCTCAAAGCTGCTGGCAAGAGATTGGTCCATCTCGGAGATGATACATGGCATTCGCTATTCCCAGGATACTTTGATCCTGAGCTCACTCGCGCTTACGACTCATTCAACGTCTGGGATCTGCACACTGTCGATAATGGCGTCAATGACCACATCTTCCCTCTTTTGCACTCCTCGAACACGTCTTCATGGGATGTCATCTTCGGTCACTACCTGGGCGTTGATCATGCTGGCCACCGCTACGGTCCTGATCATCCTGCAATGGCTTCCAAACTTCAAGAGATGAACACCGTTTTCGAGAGAATGATTGCAGAGCTCGACGACAAGACTCTCCTCGTTGTCATGGGTGACCACGGTATGGATGCCAAGGGCGACCACGGTGGAGAGTCGGACGATGAGGTAGAGGCTGCTTTGTGGATGTATTCAAAGCAAGGCTTGTTCGGTCGTCGCGATGAGTCTGCCACAAAGCCTCCGTTCACTGCCAAAGAAAGACCCGTTGCTCAGATCGATCTCGTCCCTACACTTTCTTTGCTTCTCGGCATGCCCATTCCCTTCAACAACCTTGGTCGACCCATTGAAGAGGCTTTCATTGGCAGAAAATCCAATAATTACCAGAACCTCGCTCAAGTCAGTCACTTGACTGCAGCCCAAATCCACAGATATCAGAAAGAGTATTCGGCTGTTCGCAAGCTCGACTCGGCCAGCACTTTGCCACCTGAGACCCTTTGGGGAGCTGCTTCCAAGGTATGGGACGAGATTGAGAAGTCAAAGAAGCCTTCTCTCGAGCTCTGGCAAGCCGCATACGCCCAGTTCAGTGCCTATCAGCAGGAGAACTTGCGCGTATGCAAGAGTCTTTGGGCTCGCTTCGATCTCACCAGCATGGCTATGGGTATCATTCTGCTCACAGGCGCACTGCTCACTATTGCACTCTTCGCGAATGGCTTCAGCGGCGATCGTGGTGACATCGTTTCTGGACTTTGCATTCGCGGTATCATCGGAATGGTCGTTGGAGCTGGCGCTGGTCTTTTCCTTGGAGGCGTGACATCCGTCTCTTGGATCAACTCTGTTGCCTTCTTTGCGGGGTTGAGTGGTATTCTGGGCTCCCTCTCTTGCTTTGCAAGCACGCCATCAACACTTCGTGTGCCTCTTCCTAATTCCTTCTGGGGTTGGATCTGCACCATCCCGCCGGTTCTTCTCTGCATTGGCTTTGCCTCGAACTCCTTCACCATCTGGGAGGACGAGATTCTGCTGTACATGCTGAGCTCGATCGGCGCATTGATGCTTGCTTCTTCGCTACGCCTACAAAATCCTCAGGAGCGCCTGCTTGGCTCCTGGCATTCTCTGTCTTTCATCGTTTTGACCCGTCTGGCATCTCTTTCTCGCCTCTGTCGTGAGGAGCAAATGCCCTTCTGCAGATCTACTTACTACGCTTCGGCGACCTCTTCGACCTCGGCTTGGTGGCAGCTCACCATTCCTTTCATCATTGCTGTGATTCTGCCAAGTGCGATTCGCGACTTCTTTGCCCGTACCAAGAACTACCAAGGCACAGCCGTGTTGTGGTTGAGTATTGCTTTCCGTATCGGCCTTGTCTTCTCTGCAACTTATTGGATCCTCGACGCAGCTGACGACAACGAATGGGTTCCTCAGATCTCCAGCGAGAGCCTGAAAACAATCCGCGTTTTCATCGCACAAGCTATCTTGGCAATTGCATGGGCAGCTGGATACAGCGCTTACCTTTACTCTGCGCCTTTCCTGGGCATCGAGACAGAAACTCCTGCACCCGAAACCGAACTCATGGATCCTACCGACCCTACTTCAGCCATGTTCACGCCAGTCAAGCCTCAACAGCGTAAGAAGCTCATAATTCTGGGTTATGCCAACACTCATGGCACCCGATACTTCCTCCTTCCCACCATCTGGGCGCTGGTTCTTCTACTTCTCCAAAAGCCTATGGGTCAAGGCACGCTTGCTCTCTGCTTGCTCAGTATTCTCAACTTGCTTGAAATCATAGATGCCAATGACCTTCGTAACTCACCTCTGGGACCTGTTACATTAGCTTTGATGGCAGGCTTCTACTTCTTCAAGACTGGACATCAAGCTGCCCTTTCATCAATCCAGTGGGAGTCGGCCTTCATCCCGCTGAAGACCATCAAATATCCTTGGTCGCCCATGCTGGTCATCATCAGCACCTTTGCGCCTTACATCCTCTGTGCGCTCGCTGTTCCTACAATTGCATTCTGGAAGGTTCCTCCTCGCACTCCGGGCTTGTTGAACCACGTTGCCAAGGCACTTGCAACTCATGTAGTCGTCTACGCTGCTATCGCGCTTGCGACCGTCATTGAGGCTGCCTGGCTTCGCCGGCACTTGATGCTTTATCGTATCTTCATGCCTCGCATGTTGCTCGGTGTCGTGGTGCTCCTTGTCGTCGAACTAGTCGGCGTGATTGTTGGTCTGCTTGGCATCAGGAGCAGTATTCGCAGCGTGGCAGAGGTGTTTGGCTGGGGTCCACTGGCAGAGGAACTTCCTGTGCCGGAACCTCAACCTGCTGCCGCGGAGCCAGCTACAACAGCAGAGGCATCAAGCGCCCCCGAGGACGTCAAACCAGAGTAAAATAGATCTCGTCTGGTCTTGTAGTATCGATAGAGAGAAGATGATGAAATATAGATTTTTTAGTTCACACATTTGTCGAAAACAGCACATCGACGTTCAAAAATTCGGACTGCAGACTCCCTTGTATCTTCTGTCAATAGCGCGGTGCCTCGGGTTAGCGATCCCTGACTGCGACTCGGCCAGCAATGACCCGGACCCAGGCACATCATCAAAGTTAGCTTTCCTCAGAAACAGGTGCTTCTTCTGTTGCAGAACGATCGACCCCACAACAAACCCCGCAAGCGGGGTGCATGGAGACGCCAAAAGCTTGTTTGACCTTGCCCTCGGATATCTGCTCCCTGCCCTGCTCCCTGCCCTGCTCTAGCCCTTAACTTCTGTTACAAATACCATCCGCACGTCTCCTCTCGTCTTGGTGAGGCGTCATATATCAGTATGCTCCGGTATAACAGCACCCGAAAGTTCACCACACAAATACTCCGTGCTCAACTGCCGACTCGACAAGGCTCTTTTGGCTTATACATTGTCACAATAACTGCACACGTACGACGAACGGTGACCATGGTATGTGCTTACATGCTCCAGATTCGCCTCCATGCATGACCATTGTTCGCTGCGTTCTGTGATCTAGCCCTGCATTGCCTTTCAGTCTCCACGTTGTACGCCACACATATCCTCCAATCCATCATGTGGAGAAGTCCCCACAGATAGACGTGGGGATCAATGTGCAGTCATATAAAGACAAGGCTGTCGTAGGTGACTTGTCGTATGCACAACTAGAACCTAGTCATGAGATCTCGAAACATCCTAGCCACCGCAGCCTTGACGGCTAGCATATCAACTGTTCTAGGCATTGGAACCAACGACCAGGTCGACGCTAACATTGGCTACGGCACCTTCGAAGCACCCTCGGCCAACGTTCGTCCAAGATTTCGATACTGGGTTCCCGATGCATCAGTGAATCTAAGCCAAGTGGCGGCAGATATAAAGGACGTCAAGCAAGTTGGTGCGGGTGGAGTTGAGCTGCTTGGATACTACAACTACGGCGACACGACATTCTTCATATCAGCGATCCCTACAGACTGGACCAAAAATGGCTGGGGAACACCGGCATGGAGTACGTCCTTTCGAACGAGATATGAATACTTGACTTCCGGCCTCTGACCATCATAGGACAATTGCAAGACACGGCTCTGAAAGCAACCAAAGACAACGATCTTATCATCGACCTCGCCTTGGGACCAAACCAAGGTGCAGGAGTACCAGCTCCATACAACTCCGATGGCATTCAATGGGATCTTCAGCCTTTCAATGTCACCGTCCCGATCGGAGGAAACTTTAACGACATTCTTCCAGGATGGGGGACTGGACCTTTGGTATCCGCTTCGATTGGACTGCTGACCAAAACCACAAACGAAACTACGGCGATCTACAAGACCTTGTCCCAGCAATCGATGGTGGATGTCACGAACAAAGTGAACACCGCTGGACGTTTGACATATCAATTTCCTGCAGGATCCGCTGGGGAAAGCTATATCGTCTTTGCTTACTATCTCGTTCATACTGGATTTATGGAGCAGCGGTCACCTTTGTCGGTCATTCCAGGAGTTCCTCAGTCTCCTGTCACAAGTTATGTACAGAATGGTTCTTGGGTTGTAGACCATTTCTCCACCAAGGGCGCCAAACTAGTAACCGACTTCTGGGAACAACATCTGCTCAACGGTAGTGACACTGCTCAGTTACTTAAACAAGTAGGAAATTACGTCTGGGAAGATAGGTATCGTTGTCCTCCAGAGATTTGAGATTCTTTGCACACATACTGATGTATCAAATAGTCAAGAGTATCCTGCGAATATCTTGTGGACTCCTGGCCTGGCTAGTAGCTTTCAGACAAGCCATGGTTATAGTGTCAACAAGTACTTGCCAATCCTGCTCGCGGGAAATTCTGGCTTCAGTACATCATTTGGATCCTCGGTGATCCCAATCTATTATGTCACAGATGAGATTGATTCTGGAGCCAGCCATGTGGCAGACTACCGACAAACACTTACCAATCTTAATGCACAATTCCTCCAGACTTTGACTAGCTGGGCTCACTCGATCGGCGTGCAATCATCTACACAAGTCGTGTACAATTTGCCGATGGATATGCTTGCGAACATTCCCGATGTTGATGCACCAGAGACAGAGACTCTCGGCTTCTCGCATAACATCGACTCTTACAGACAATACGCTGGTCCTGCCAATTTGGCAGGTAAACGCATCATCTCTTCTGAAGCAGGTGCGGTCCAGCTCAGTGCCTACCAGCAAACCATCCCTGAGCTTCTTTGGGACCTCAAACGATCCATCGTTGGAGGAGTTAACAACTTCATTCTACATGGATATCCGTATACAGGAAACTACCCCAACTCAACCTGGCCGTCATGGACAACTTTTGGTTATCGGTTCTCAGAGATGCACAACCGTCATCAGCCTGGCTGGGACTTCTACAGCGACTTCATGAACTATATCTCCCGAGTGCAGTATGTCTCCCAATCTGGTGTGCCGAAGAGGGACATTGTGTTCTGGCTCAAGGATACGTCCTTCACCTCGGTACCTACTCGCTACTGGCCGACTGACTTGCAAAATGCTGGATACACTTATGAGTATCTCTCGCCCGATGACTTTGATCTTCCTGATGCTCAAGTCTTGAATGGTGTTCTTGCGCCATCTCATCAATCGTTCAAAGCCATTGTGGTCCGTGGAAATGACACTTTGACCTCATCGGGAGTTTCGAAGCTAGCTCAATGGGCTCACCAAGGACTTCCAGTCGTCTTTTCTGGAGGTATACCATCGAACATATCTGGGACAAGTGGTGTTTCTTCAAGCTCAATCAAGTCTACCCTGACTCAACTTCTGAGTTTGAAGAACGTGCACTCTGTACCCTTCACCAACCTTGCTCAATCCCTCTCGTCCATTGGTATAACACCACGTACTGCTGTCTCAAAGGGACAGGCATCGAACACGACATGGTTCACCAATTGGCGTGAAGACGTAAGCATCTCTACATCATACGTTTTTATCTACAATGATGCAACAGGACTACCAAGGGGGTCTGGAGCATCGACTGGTAACATCACTTTTGAAGCCAGCGGTACACCATATATATATGATGCTTGGACCGGCAACAAGACCCCTGTTTCCAGCTACCAACAATGGCAAAATACTACGACTATTGCCATCGCCTTGGCCGGAAACCAGACAACCATCTTGGCTTTTGAACGAGGTTCGAAGCTCTCGAAATCATCAGTCCATGTTGAGCACAGCTCAGGGCAATTGAAGACAATACCCGGTGCGAACTACATTGTCAACTTTGGCCACAAGTCTTGCTCTGCGAAACTCTCAAACGGCAGTACCATCACCGTGCCTTCTTCCGACTTCTCTCCGATCGCGCTCAAGAACTGGACGTTGACAGTCGAGTCCTGGACCGCGCCTTCCAACATGTACGATGTTGAGGGTACTGTCAAGACCAATTCGACATTCACACTGAACTCGCTTGCCCCTTGGAACCAGATCCCGAATGCAAATCTGAGCAATGTGTCTGGACGTGGCTACTATACCGTCTCTTTCACCTGGCCACCTGCTTCTTCGTCTGCAGCTACAGGCGCTCAGTTGAATCTTGGAAGTATCATTCACACTGCACGAGCATCGTTGAATGGCTTCGCATTGCCGCCACTTGATGTCGCCGACGCAAAACCCGATTTGACTCCTTACCTCAAAAAGGGCGTCAATGAGCTACAAGTTGTTGTCGCGACACCATATGGAAATGCTCTGAGACCTATCTGGGCGAATCTGAAGAGTTATGGAGACGCGCCTAATCTTTTGGCTGGAGTCACTCCACCGGTAGTTGCAGAGTATGGGCTTGTGGGTGATGTTTCTATCGTTCCATTTGTTGGTGTACGACTTTGAAGTGGAGAAGAAATGTAATAGGCAGGTGGGGTGTGCCATGAGACGAAAATGATCGTCCCTTTCCAATGTGGTTTTTTAAATATGATCAAATTTCCATCGCGACTGTCCAATCTTCCTTCCTTGTAAACTCTGCAACCCTATTTGTCGGCACATGTATAACCCTACTGACAAGAGGGAGGGAGTCCTGAGCTATGATCGACATGTGCTGTGGAAGCCAAAGGTTCGTAACGATAATCAGGCACGGCGAAGGCTTGATGATCATGATCATATCGGAGAAACTTTGATCATGAGATACATGTATATTTTATCCTCATGATACGAACCATCATCTTCCAAAATCACGGAGTATATTCACGAGATCAAGATGTCAAAGTCCACAAAGAAGCAACAACCACTTCACATTATTCTCTTCCCAACCAAGCATAAAAACTTATGCCCAGCCCTACCCCGACTTCAACTGCCGCTCAGGCGTTCCTTCACGCCAAGCCATCCTTTTCCCAGCTACAAAATTTCGATTCCTCAACCAAAAATGATCGCTTTTCCACCATTCAACTTGCGGTTGGAGGGGACGGAGCAAAAGGATAAGATGATGGTCAGTACGGGGGTCGAACCCGCGACCTTGGCGTGCCGTGTATCGGATGATATTAGCACCACGCTCTAACCAACTGAGCTAACCGACCTGTTTGATGTGTTGTGGTTGGTTGACAGCGTATAACAAAGCGTTCAAAACAGAAAGCAGAGGTGTAGGGTGGTGTTGAAAGGGCGAGAGTGACTGGGATGTGGTGTTGATGACCTTTTGTGTGGATGGGTTGAGTCGGCGGTAGACTCTTGAGCTGTCAAACGTCATTGGACCAGTATTCCTAGATTGGCATCTTGGGTCGTGGTGTTGAGCTATTTCTCAGGCAGTCTGAGCATGCAAGTAGCAGGAAGAGCATCCGATGTGATAAAAATGGCAATATCTCGAACCATGGATGGCGCTGAGCTTCAGAAGTACAGCAGACGCCGGTAGGAATATCTATCCATAGGCCAACCATTAAGATAAGCGTGGGAGACATATGGTTGGACCATATCATTGCTGTGATCGAGTCGATGTGTTGTTAGGGGGACAACCCTGGCCTCGGAGCCTGCTGCAAGGGTAGGAGAAAAAAAGGAGAAAAAGGATGAATAAGAGGGAGCGAAAAGAGGAAGAAAGGGAAGAGAAATCTGTCAAGAACTGCGGAAAAGGAACACACGGCGTGCCGGAGTATGAACAGCAGAGAAGGAAGAAAGTCTACAAGTCTATAGTTTTGGGGCACATATGCTCATATATACACAATATGCATTTCGTAAAGTCATAGACGCAAGCCTGCATCATGAGCGACAATCCCACTCAAGGGCCATGATACCACTCTCATCACCTTGCCATACCTTACCAGCATGGTTCTCTTTGGCAACGGCAGAGCGCAAAGCGGTACCGATTTCCATTGGTCCAGCACCGATGACTTGACTTCTACCGCCACAGATGGCTGTTCTTTCGGAGAAATCGCTGACGATGTCTTTGATGGATGGATGTGATCCACCAAGATATGTGATGGAGAAGTTGTTTTGGAGTGCTGTCAAGTCATTCGATGAGGTGACGACTATGCCGTTCTTCTCGCCCTTTGCACGTTTGCTACAGCAGCCTTTGCCCTTTTCGGAGATTGAGGATGTGGACGAGGTAGATGACTCAGGCGGTGCGTGTTCGCGAGTGACAAAGATGCGCAGACGTAGGCCGTCAGCTTTGCCGGAAGACATCCATGATTTGAGCTCGGTCAGTTCTGGTGCGATCCAAGAAAGATCTTGGATTTTGCGAACAACCCAGACAAGATCGACAGCGCGGGTGCCAGTTTGAGCAACTGTGAATGTGTCTTGGAGAGTGGGAAGCACAGAAGTGACACCAGTACCACCTGCGACGGCAAGAAGGTTAGAATCTGCAGATTCTTCTGTAGATGAGCCACCATAAGGTCCAGTGAGAATGACGGAAGTGGTACAAGAGTCTCCGCCAGTGGCTCTGGCGATTTGAGCAAGCTTAGCAGTGATACCAGAACGCTCACGGATCAGGTAGGTGTGATGCTGAATATCACTACGACCATCAGGGAGAGATGAGGGCGTGAAAGGGTGGGATTGCCAGATGTTCAAGGCAGGGAAACAAAGGTAGAAGTGCTGACCAGGTTTCCATGCGGAATGTTTGAAGTCAAAATCGACACGCACAACCGAGTCCTCATCATCACCATAGTGCTGAACGGTAGCAATTGCGCTGTGGAAACCAAAGCCAGGCTTGCCCTTGCGATATCCAAAGTGAAGCAATCCAGTTCGAAGGAATCTGACACCAAAGTCACCGAGAACGATAATCAGAGATGCAATCATCCAGCAAGCGAGTTTGTCCCAATGTCCCCAACACGCTCCTAGATAGAGAATACCAATGAGAGCGTGTGTCTTCTTGAAGAACTCATATCCGGTCAAGCGAATAGCCCAGCTAGTGCTGAAGATGTACAAGAAGGTGATCATGATTTGGGCGACGATTCCCCAAACGATGTACTTTTGCTTGATGAAAGTCGTGTAGGTTTCCGGTTGCGGTTGATAGAATCTTCCTTCGACCAGTGTCCAGACCAGAGTGTGCAGGAAGGACTGGATGAAAATGACACGGCCAGTCCATCGATGCAAGAAGTTGAAATGTTGGTAAGGAATACCAGTGATCAAGGATAAGACGCTTTCACGAGAGCAAAGTGCTATTGTCAGTGGTGTCAAGGCATAGGCCAGCGCGCCGACACGATCACCCCAGCCTCCGAAGCCTGTTCTGATTGTCTTGAGTTCAGGGTGGTTTTTGGTAGGTGTGATCCAAGTCTTGTAGGTGACTCCGACGAGACTATTCACAAGTCAGCTCTAGGATGAGTCAATTGGCTCTCAAGTCAACATACGAGAAGATCAACAGATAGCCGAGAAGCGCCGAAAGCACCGTCACTTGTAGCAAAGTGACTCGTCCGAGAACACCTCTTCCTGGAGACTCTGAAAGCATCCACCGCCTGCCTAATGATCCGATGGAGTCCAGTCCTCGTCTAAGCGGTGTCTTGATATCAGACGAACGACTCACGCTCTTGCCGTAGCGCAATGAAAGCATGAACATGAGAACACCGCCTAAAACTGCCCAGAGAATGAAGGTGTAAAGCATTGAGATCTCATGCGAGTGGTAGACAGAGTCCAGATATGCACAAGTACCAGCATCTTTGGTACAGGGAAGGATCCTATCGGGGTAGGCCCAATATTTCTTTACTGTCGAGTTCGCAGTATGATCTTGAATATGCCGCGCTTCAATCATTGTGTCTGGAAAAGGCTAGGTAAACGTCCGGCGAAAAAGCGTGATGCAAGAAACCCAGGGCGAGAGGAGGCCTTCTTTGCCAATGACCAGTCTATTGAAGCAAAAGGAGCGTCTCGATGTGACCAGCACGTGGATCAACGTGTACCTGCGTGTCAAAGAAATGGATGAGAGTGTTTACAACGAGATGAGCGGGTTCGTGTGCTCTTTTAGAAAGGAAACGTGCAGGCCATGTGCTTCTAGATTCGAACCACGAGCGGAGTCCGAGAACGATTGTGTCAAACGTGTACCGATGAGGGCATGGCGGGTTCAAGATGCGTGGTATTTCGCCTGCCAAGCACGGATCTTGCTCAATTATGAGCATGTTTAAAGCTTGGCGATGGACCCAAGTGGGTCCCGAAACATGTTAAAGTCCGGAGAGTGTTTTGGGTTCGTATGCGACAAGCTGCTCGTGCCGGTGTGCTTTCAGCTGGTATATACAAATGCTGAATGGGCGTGGCTGTTCTTCTAGGTTGTGCTCCCAATCTTTCTAATCGCCCTCACTGCTCTCATACTCTGCATCCTCCTGTTGCTGTTTCGCTAGCATCTCTTTCCAGTTATCTGCAAACTCTCTCAATGCGCCAGGACCGCCCTGACTTGCATCGACAACATCTCGTGGTAGTTTGTGGGCGCTGTATTGAGGAGTGTTGAAGCTGTAGGCCTCAGGATCGTCCTTTCTGATCAAGCGGAACTCTGGCACCCAAATCTCCTCGTCTGCCTCTTCCTCGTCTGCCTCTTCCTCGTCAGAATCCTCCATGTCTGTCCTACCCTCGGAGACTTCTCCTTCTCTTGCATCTGTAGATTGAGCGTCGGACTGCTCTTCACTCTCAGCGGTACCATTGACGGGTCTGATAGGGATGCGGATGACCTTCTCTTCCGGCGGCTCAGGTAATGTCAAAAGCTCCAGCCAGCTGAACAACAAGGGGTCTGTCCTCACTGCCCAAGGGTTGACGTCGATCAACCAGACGCGGTCGTGTGGCGGAGGAACATAAACATCAAAGACAAAGTTGTCATCGGGGAAAGTGTGCTTGAGTCTGTCATCGAAGAAGTTGTGAATGACATGACGTAGCTTGTCTTGCATGCGGAAGAGGAAGTCGAAATGATTTAGATCTCGTTGGCAGAGAGCAATGAGCTTGCGGTTCCTCACAAAACACCTGAACTCGACCGAAGGGTTCATTTGGAAGAACTTGCGCAGAACAAGATGGTATGGGATATCGGCTATTTGTTTCGGAGTGTCGTCGTCGGGAGAAACGTCTTCAATGCAATCGTCGTAGGCGTGTTCGAGGTCGTGGGTGACAAAGTCGGAGCTCTTCAACAACAAATAAATGTCGCTAGGAAGTCTGCACTCCATACTGTTGGTAGCGGCGATCCAGGTAGCATCCTTGGGAGCGGACCAGTTCAGCTTGGGGACGACCTTGCCTCCGAGCTCAGCGATGGTATTCTTGATGGCACGATGAACGTTGCGCCACTCGGCAGAAGGGTCCTCCTCTTCATCGTCATCCTCCTCTCCAGCAGTATCAGAAGCCGAGAAGATGCCAGAGTCGCTGTCTGACCAGTCGCGGCGGGGGTCGTCCTCATCCGGAGGAATTACAATGCCGTCTGCACGGAGATAGTCGAGGAAAGGGCGAGTAAGAGGAATGAGGCGAGCTTTGGGGGATACAGCGCGGTATCTATCAGAAGGTCAGTTTGAGAAACACATATATGAGAAATCAGACGAAGGTCATACTTGGGATACCAGTTGTGGTATGAGCAGTGTATAATGTGAGATTTTGTCAGAGGCGCAAAAGGAAGCTCTGTCAGAGGCTGGGGAGCCTCAAAGTGTTCTTCTGTCGCCATGTCGTGTGGTGATGTGAGAGATGCGCCTCAGAACTGACCGACAGATGACAAGGACGAAAAGGCGAATCACATGAAAATGCACCAAAAGATGGTATAGAAGTCTTGGCTCGACTTTTCGAACCCCGCGCCAATGACTTCACTCTTCTCTTCCTTTGAACAGCACCCTTCCACCAACCATCACATTCATCATGTCTTCCAACGTCGGTCTCTCTACACCACGCGGAAGTGGTACTTCTGGATACGTTCAGCGCAACCTTTCGCATCTCAAGCCGCGCGACGCCGCCGCTCCCTACTCCAAGGACCACGACCTTCTCAGACACCGTCAGCGCCAGCCCGACAAGGACATCCTTGAGCATGATCGCAAGCGTGAGATTGAGGTCAAGGTCTTCGAGCTGCGTGATAAGCTAGAGGAAGAAGAGTATGGCCCTCGATTTAATCTCCTTCATAGTCGACTAAGCTAACAACAACCAGAGTCGACGAAGACGAAATCGAGGACCAGTGTACCGCTTTGCGCAAGAAGCTCCAAGCCGAACAATCCACCAAAGGCTCTACCACCAACGCTAGAGGCCTCAAATCGCATCAAGTACACGAGCTGGCCAAGGCAAAGATCGAGGAGAGCGAGAAACTCCGACGCGCCTTCGGTATCAGCAAGGACTACGAAGAGGGCAGCCACTGGAAGAAACAGGAGGAAAAGGCAAAACAAATCCAAGACCGTCAGGCTGAGGAGTCAAGAAGAGCACAGGAGGAGGATGATTACTCGGACTGAGTGACACTATTTGCTTAATTATGTTGCATTTCAGCGTGGAGTTGGAGGCTCAAGAGTCGGTTCATTATACGCTCAATCAGGATTGCATTTTTCAGACTTCCCTCACTATCCACCAATACGCTGCTGTTACCGCCGTCTGACACCTCAACGGAAGCCAACTCGCCGTTTTCCAAGTCTGTTACAAGATTGTCTTCTAGTCACTTCGACAGTTCTGGCATCTGTCCGAATCCACTGTCCGTCCTGCTAACCGGACTGTCGTCACGTTCGCTTCCTGAGCTCCTCCTGGTCGACATGGTCTCTGAACGTCTTGGGCTGACACTTCCACTGCTTCTGGCCGGACTGGGAAGGCCCATCGACAATCTCTCCATACTCTTATGCACCGGGAAGTTCGATGGTGTTTGTGTAGTCGACATGTTCTTGGATGGCTGGCCCGATCCCTTTGACCTATGCCAGTTCGCTCTCAGCTCCACCTTCTTGGCTTCGCCAGACAAGACTAGTTCTATGATATCCTCCCAATTATGTTCATCCAGAGTGGCTCTCTCGCGTTTTGGTGACAAATAGCCTGACTGGTTGTCTTGGGTGTTGTATAGGATTTCCATTTCTGCATACATGGCGAAACCGGTCTTCTCGCCTTGCTCGTACAGGGCCCCAAAGATTGCGCTGCAGACATCCTGCTCCAATTCGTGGAAACTGCGGTACGACTTTGACGGAACGTAGATGACCGTCTCGACTTGTCGGCAGATTCGGCGTGACGAGACGTGAATTTGTCGGCCGAGGAGTGGAATGCGCAAGGTGTATCGTGTGTTGCGCGACCAGGTTGACGCCGCAGTTCCTAGACTGGACTTTCGTGTGTGTTCTGCTGTGCTCGGGGCCGTCTTCATGGTGGCTGCCTTGCCCTGGCTGCTGGCGAGCATCCTGTCTGAGAATGCTGTGAATAATCCTGATGGGCCCGTAAAGATGGATCTTTCATGTCCTCGCTGGTTTTGTCCGATGCTGGGTTGAAATAGTTGAGTGGTGGATTTAGTGGTTATATATTGATAAAAGTGTTTCCTGGCGGAAAAAGATGTCCAAGGAAGAAGACCGTTTAAAAAAAGGTCCGGATCACTACCTATCTAACGTATTTGGCTGGGCCCCTGCGCAACTTTGGCCTTGTTCCCAGTTTCCATCTCCGCTCGTTCCAGCAAACACACCAACTCTATCGGAATTATGTGCCTCTTTTCTGACTCAGATCTATGCATTTCCCCATTGCACCGCATCTCGGATGACTATAAGAACGGTTAGAGTTCAACAGATGGCTGCTGACCGACCGTGACAAAAACTTGAATGTATGCGTTGTAAACTGCCGGAGTATCAATCATCCCAGGGCAGCAGATCGATACTGCGGCTGACCTGCGCAAGTGGGACCTTTTGGGGCACGCCCTGTCTCAACACGCGCAGGAATCCTCCCAGCCGCTCGCCGCTTTCGCCTTTCTCTCCTTTATCACTTCGCCTCGTGGACGAAGCCAATCAACCTGCTGATATGAGCGGCCATTCCACGGAACTAATTTACCGCATTCCCTGCTGCTCCACAACGACACACAGGACTCGCTTTCACATGTAAATACTTTGACGCGCTTCGAAAGAAAGTGTCGTGCGACACGTTGCCCGATTCGATAGGTATCCTCCGCAAGGCCGGGGAAGCAACGCTTGGCCGAACGGCGATGGAACGAGCGGCCAAAAAGTTGGAGTCTCCATATCAGGCTTAACGGCCGGGTCCGACCAGAGAGCGTCATCAATTGCCGATTCATGAATCACTCGACTGGAATGTTGAGAGTAGGATCAAAGGACCAACTGCATTCTGCAAGTGATAGGACTACAGGTATCGTATCAACATCAAGCTGTCTCCATCATGAAGAAGGTAGTACAATCTTGGTACTCGATCGGCCTTTCAACACAGAACACGTAGGAAAGCTGCCCTCATTGGGAGTGAGTTGAGTATTAAGCACATTATGCAATTTGACAACATTCATGCCGTACTAAGGAGAAAAGAGAAGTGTAGTAAACGTGATGTTCGAGTAGAATCAAAGGCTGACATTCGGGCGTAATATTTGGACCAACACTTCAGTCGGGTACGTTGTGAGACGTAAAGCAAACAGGTCATCACTTTGACTGGGAATCTGGAAGTTTCTTGAAGCCGCACTTCATCCTTAAGGAACCCAAAAAACAAGACTCAGCAATAAGATCGTCATCCTTCTTACATCTTCTCCCTTTCAAAATACTCGGTCCACTCGGTCACCCCTTCGCCTTTGAACCACCAATCGACGTGGAATTCTGCTTCTTCGGGCCTTTTGCAACGGAGGAGAGCCAGTATGTCAGGCCAATTGGCCTCGTTGACCTCGTTCTCGTTGAAGATGTCGAGTTTTCCAAGCTGATAGGTGATGAAGAGCCTGAGCCCAATGTCAAGCTGACGTTGCTTGCGCCATGGACAGTACCAACGAGGACGCTTGGGATATGTCCTGTCGAGGCGGCAATATAGATTCTTTCGGACCTTCTCTAGTAGGTGGCGGTGATCCGATGGAAGCCAGAGGACATCTTGGAATACTGGAGTCTTTTCGGAGACCGTGTTGAAGGTCGGGTCGTGCTTCACGTGTCTGAACCTGAGAGGGACGATGAGACTGCCGTAGTCTGGGATTGCGGGATTGAGGTGGAGACCGGTGCCGCTCTGGCTCTCGCTGCCAGAATTGAATATTTGTGCTGGTTGGACTTGAGACATGATTTCTGAGTTTGATAGCAAGTTGATCTGTGTGGGAAGAGGACACACAAGAAGAGCAAGCGATGGCATTTTATGCCCACAAGGACCCGTGTTCGACCCCTCTTTGCAGCTGATCAAGCGCACCACAGAAACAAAATGAGTTTGGTTAATCAACTCACCACTGAACTATCTTTACTAAACAGCAGAGAGGCCTGAGAGCTTTGCGTCAAGGATAGACTCTAAACCAGCCTGAGGCTGCGAAGCTCGTGCGGAGTACTTGCTCACCTTCTGCTTGATTGCCTTTCCGGTATCTTGGCTGAGAATTTGACCAAAGGGAACCGCTGAAATAGCTGCACATGATGAGCTCCCAAGAAGAGACTCAAAGATATAGAAAGAAAAGGAACGCTGGGCCTGGGTTGGTCAGCATCTGTGCTACAACTCAGAAATGGCCCGGTGCTTGAGCACGCATCTCAATACCGTTGTACATCACTCCTACGGTGATATCCATGTATTAAAGCACTCCGACCTGTGCAGATCTGATGTAGACTTGTACGGGTATCCAATCGAAGCCGCACTCCCTAGCTCTAGCAATGCGTTATGCATGGCGGTCGAAAGGTACGAACTTTTTTGATGTTATGGTGAAGGTCCATTGAGAGCGCTTTCAAACTTGATGCTCAATGTTTTACAACCTGATCGCGCAATCAGAAGGTGCCTAAGTGGCTGTGAGATGCAATCTTCAACTCTGTCAAAGAATCATCAGCTTTCATAGAGTCCATATCTCGAAAGCACAAGTTTTCATGATTTATGCAAGAGTTATGAAACCATTAGCACATTCCAAAAGTTGGTTGAAAGAAAGCCTTCTCAAACATGTGGGATTAAGGACATGTTGACAAGGCATAAAGGTCAGTGGTTCGAATTCTTGCCCATTTCACGAGAGTGACATTGGACGGTTAAATCGCTTTCACGACCTTGGCGCACAGGCCAACCAGCTTTGACTGTTTCGCGGAGGAAGGCGAGACTGAATGATGCTCAGCGTGCTGCAGCTTCCACTTGTGTGACAATCTGCAGGCTCTGCAGCGTCACTCGACTCACCAGAACCTATAAAACCAGTTCATCTCCCTCTCGCGCTCAACGCTTTCCATTTGAACCATCACTTCTGCCAATCAACTACCCCTGACTTTCTTCAGCTGCGCGCACGCCTTGCACAAACGCCGCACAGCTTACGACCCTCCAACATGGCAACCGATGGTGTCCAACAAGACATTGAATATGTCGATGTCGAAGATATCTCCAGATCAGAGGAAGACCAGAAGATCTTACAAGGCTACCACCGCTTGTCATCGCGGCGAGTAGATCTCGTAGGCGATTTTGCCGGCCAAGAACTGTTCGCCATCGAGGGCGACTCCCTTCTTTTGCAGTGCTTCGAAAACTCACTTCTCGACTTCGAGGATGGTTTCCAATTGCTACATGCCGTCTATTTGGTGGAAGAGTATCTTGCACAGCTCCAACGCCGCAATTGCAGATTCCACGTCGCCTTCTTTGAGGCTCACCGTCAGCTCTGCATTCCCCAGAGTGTCAAATCCATCCACCGATCCAAGTACCTCCTCACAAGAGCCGCCATAATTCGCCATCTCCAGTCCAACTTGGTCTCGGACAAGGTCCAAATCCACTGCTTCTCTGATCTGCACGACCAAGCATTTGATGATTATCTGCGCAACTCTGCAGTGTATTTCTTGATGTGCCATGATGGAGCTCGTAGCTACACAACACAAGAGAGCGATGTTCCTGACCCGAGAACTCAATTGAGATCAATGATTGTGCACTTCATTCTAACTGGCTACAACGTGGCCTTGATTAACGGCTCCGAATTTGTTGACACCAAGATTATGGCCATGGTGCTGGAGACCAAGAAGCTTTCTCACACCCTCGACTCATCATTGAACACAAACCTCAAGTCGTCGTCTGATGTTTCGGAGCCCACATCATCTGCGGAGATCAAGGAAATCGGAACACATACGCCTGATATTACCGAAAGAGAGCGCCTCACAGTCATGGCTCTATCCCGCTTGGCCAAAACCTCATCGTCATCACCACAGATCCAGCAATTTACGCACGACCTTCTTGCGCATACTGCACTGCTTCATGCTCTGCCTCTCTCATCCCGTAGTTTGCAGCATGTCTCGGCGCTGAGCGAGTACGCGGAGTACCTCTCCAGCTTCTGCAACCAAGCCACCGAAATTTTGAGAAGTGAGAACTGGAGCCAATATCACCAGGGACTCGAGACCAATGAGTGCGATGTAGCCGATCTCTTTGACGGCCGTCTGTTCAATGTTGTCTCAAAAGGCCTTGATCTGTCATCGATGCCCGACTCAATGCAGAAGAAGTTCAATAAGCTCAGCGAATCTTTGAAGGCTGTCAGCGATATTTCTGTCAGCAAGACCGAAAGGAAACTGGACGTCTCCTCCTTGGACGCCACTCCCACGAGTCCTACTGGAAACATGAGCGTACTTCCCTTCTCCAACCCTGTATTTGACCAGCACTTGGCCTCTATCCATCTTGGTATTGACGACAATGCTTCTGAAGAGACCAGCAGACCTTCGGCTCGTATTTTCCAGGAAGTCTCTCACTGGCACAACGCCAAACGACCCATTCAAACAAAAAACACGCCCGTACTTTCGCCACGAGATGAGCTACGTGCCCGCCGCAGAAACCAGAAGTACATGGATGAGATGCAAAAGTATGCCGCAAGTTTGACCAACTCTGTGGGAAGAGCACTTGAGCCTGAAACTCTGCTTGTCAAGTCAGCGGCCGCATCCAAGGTTGCTCAGAAGACCGAGAACAAGAAGACGACTGCCGAACCCGCTAAAGTTGAGAGTTCCAAGAAGGGCGGCAACCCCAAGGGTGGCAAGAAGAATGTCAAAGTCAGTGGTAAGCAGGCCGCGCAAGAGGCAGCTGCAGCCTTCCAGGCCAAGAAGTCAGAAGCTGCTGACTCGAAGGTGATGCAAGCATGGCACATCATCTTGAAGAGTCTGTCTGCCGAGAGCGATCTCCCATCTCGTTACATCAAGACTAAGGATTACTTTTCCACTTTGCCCAAGGAAAAGAGAGAGATTCTCGGCGCCGAAGTGCAACTGTTTTCTCTGAGCACGTTGGTAGAGATTGCCATTCAATCAGGCAAGACAACTGATCAGGATACGTCTGGTATCGTGGCCTTCATCTGGCACACCGCCAGAAACCTTGTCCAATGCGATAACATGACGAAGACAATTTGCGAGAAGATCAAGCTCACGGTAGACTCCTTCGCACTTCCTCCTGTCGACATCCCCAAGCCGACTGAAGACAAATCTCTGCCATTCAGATTCGCACTCCCTCTGCAAAGCACGGATCTTGTGAAGAACAAGCTGTCTAGCAAGGCATTCCAACTTCTTCACTGTGGACCTTTCCTTGATCGCAGTATGGACGCTGCCCCTGACTCAAGAGTGGACTTTGAGCCCGATGGCTGGCAAAGAAAGGTTCTTGATGGCATTGACGACAACAAGAGTCTCTTCGTGGTCGCACCCACCTCTGCCGGTAAGACTTTTATCTCGTTCTACGCAATGAGAAAGGTCATCGAAGCAGACGACGAAGGTGTCCTTGTTTACGTCGCACCGACAAAGGCCTTGGTCAACCAAATCGCCGCCGAAATTCAGGGTAGATATTCCAAGAAGTTCAAGTACCCAGGCAAGAGTGTATGGGCTATCCACACCAGAGATCACCGCATCAACAACGCAACTGGTTGTCAAGTACTTGTCACAGTACCCCATGTGCTCCAGATCATGCTTCTGGCTCCCTCACATGCCAACTCATGGGCAACCAGGGTCAAGCGCATCATCTTCGATGAAGTTCATTGTATTGGACAGGCCGAAGACGGTGTTGTTTGGGAGCAACTTCTGTTGCTTGCTCCTTGCCCCGTAATTGCACTCTCAGCCACAGTCGGCAACCCTGATGTTTTCAGTGATTGGCTGGCAACGACTGAAAAGGCAATGGGTATCGACTTCGAGATGGTCAGACATCCATACAGATACTCTGACTTGAGAAAGTTCTACTACGACCCCCCGAAGAAATTCTTGTTCGATGGTCTTGGCCAGAAGAAGGGTCTACCTACCCTTGGTTTGGACGGTACCACCGGCTTCGAGTACCTCCACCCGGTCGCTTGTCTCATCAACAGATCAGCCGGACTTCCCGATGATCTTTCGTTCGAGCCTCGCGACTGCTACACGCTTTGGAAGGCCATGAAGGAGCACTCGAATGACAAGTACAGCTTGCCCGCAGAGCTTGATCCCACTACAGCCTTGCCCAGCGTCATTCGCAAGCAGGACGTCTTAAAGTGGGAGGCCGGGTTGAAGAAGGTTTTGGCCGCGTGGATGGAAGACACCGCGTCTCCATTTAACGCTGTCTTTGCCACCCTCTCCGGAAAGCAGGCACAGAAGGAAGACCTGTACGCTCCTACAGCCAAACGCACCGGCCAAAGGGAAGCCCAGAACGTCGCAGACGACGACTTCCTGCCCCTACTTTGCAGACTCCACGAACAAGAAGCACTGCCAGCTATTCTCTTCAACTACGACCGCACTAGATGTGAGGACATTTGTGCCAAAATCCATGATGACCTGAAGGAAGCTGAGGACCAGTGGAAGGCCACGGATCCAAAGTGGAAGGTCAAGGTTGCACAATGGGAAGCCTGGAAGAAGGAGCAAGAGCGCAAGGGTGCAAAGGCTAGTAAGGCCAAGAGCAAGAAGCCCGCCGAAGAGGGTATGACCAAGGCAGACATGCAGCGTGACGCTGCCGATACCGACGCCAACGGCTTCGAAGGCTTTGACCCTGCAGCTCCCCAAGAGGGCTACCATTTCTGCAACTTCAAGGCTATCCAGGCCTCTGAACTCGCCGACTACATGCGAGAGCTCGAGTGGAGACGTGTGCCACAATGGTTGATCGTTGCCTTGACCAGAGGTATTGCAGTCCATCACTCAGGTATGAACCGCAAGTATCGTCAAGTTGTTGAGATTCTGTTCCGCAAGGGCTTCCTCAGAGTCGTCGTTGCAACCGGTACCCTTGCCTTGGGTATCAACATGCCCTGTAAGACTGTTGTCTTCACTGGCGAGTCTGTGTTCTTGACTGCTCTCGAGTACCGTCAATGCGCCGGTCGTGCTGGTCGTCGTGGTTTCGACTTGCTCGGAAATGTCGTCTTCCAGAACATGCAACACGAAAAGGTTTTGAGACTGATGTCTTCAAGACTGCCTGACCTCAACGGTCACTTCCCAGTCACGACCACCTTGGTTCTTCGTCTCTTCACACTGCTTCACGGATCCAACAACTCAAAGTATGCAGCTTCATGCATCAACTCTTTGCTCTCCCAGCCTCGTCTGCACATGGGAGGTCCTTCGTTCAAGGACCAGACATTGCACCATCTGCGTTTCTCCATCGAGTACCTTCGCAGACAGCACCTGCTCGATGCCAAGGGTGCCACCCTTAACTTTGCTGGCCTTGTCTCGCACCTGTACTTCACCGAGAACTCAAGCTTTGCGTTCCATGCACTGCTCAAGGAGGGCTACTTGCACAGACTCTGTGCGGATATTGACAATAACGCAGAGTCCGTAGTCAACACTTTGATGCTGGTCATGTCTCACCTGTTTGGCCGTGTATACTGCCGCAAGTCTGATGCAGAGTACCGCGAGAAGGTCGTGAAGCCATCTTCCTCAATCGTCTTCTTGCCTCCTTTGCCCGAAGAGGCCGCCAACGTGTTGAACGAGCATGGCCAACAGACCCTCGACATCTTCAGCACCTATGTCCGCACTTTCGTGGACCAGCATGTGAAGAAGGCCGATGACACTCTTCCTCTCACTTCCAAACAGGTGGGTTGTTCGTCGGTCGAGTCGGCCCCCAAGTTGGACGAAGTTTCGCTTCCATCCACTAAGATCCGTTCACCTTTCGTCGCGCTGTCCGGACATACCGACAACTTCAGATCTATCAGTGAGCTGTGCCGCTCAGTCAGATCTGGTGTTTTCCTCGAGGAGTCGGCCATTCCCCACGTGGCTATGCTCTCCCGAGACCTTGACCAACCTTTGAACGCTTACCTGGTTGACTTCTTCAAGCACGGTGATGTCAAGACTCTAGAGAAGGCAAACGGCATCAGACGTGGTGACGTCTGGTTCATGCTGAATGACTTCTCCCTAGTCCTTGCTACAATCATCACCAGTCTGCTAAACTTCATGAAGCTCAAGGTCGGAAGCGACATGGACTTCCTCGATACTATGGGCGAGCTGGACACTCTGGAAGAGGCCGAGGATGAGACTGTCGCTGTCAAGGAGGACGGAGAAGCAGTTCCTGCTCCTAGTGAAGCTCCCAAGGCGGCCATGGCTACTATCACCAAGAAGAAGGCTAAGAAGGCCGAGAGCTGGGAGGACATGGCTGATGAGGAAGAGGTCATTGAGAAGGATTACAACGAGGCCGCTGCCAAGCTGGACGAACTCAACTTTGACAGTGCTGCATGGGAAGGCCAAGGTGGTGAGAAGGGTCTACTCAAGGTGCTCAAGGCATTCCAGAGATTGCACTCGGAGTTCAACCTGAAGTTCAAGGCTATGTGGGCATAGAGAATTGGGAATGTTGGGTTCTCATGGACTGTAAAAATAGACGATCAACAATTGATAGATCATACACTTGCTTCTTTTCCTGTTGACCATCTTCCGCCGCGACTAGGTAACCATAATCCGAACAAGCTCGATGAGCTCGGTGCAAGTGGGTAGCTGACGTTTGATGACGGTGTTGGCCTTGGGTAGCACCACCACCACGCGACTGCCTTGTAACCAAATTTCGCGAAAGTGCTAGAATGGCCATTGGGCAAACATAAGCGTATCGCCGGATGCCATCGGATATGTACGTGTACTTGCGCCTGATGAACTGCATGTCGCGATATACGCAACTTCTCCATCTATCATGTCTTGAAGATATTGATTACGGACTCGGAGATTATCTAGAATAGCCAAGACAATTGCCAAAGCTGGAGTTTACGAGCTTCTCCTGGAAGTCGCAGGGCTTTCCCGTTTGTTGTATGTATCAGGATTTCAGGAGGGGCAGATCCTCATGTTTGAAATAGAACCATCAACCAACACCGACGAATGAACGGACAAGGAGACAAGCAGATCCAACGTTCGACAGGACCAACAGAAGGCCGGATGAAGCGGCTCCGTGCTTGTGCGATTCTACTGTGGAGTCCGAGGCTTAGCGTGTCGGGTACAGCCACTGCGCAGTCGAAGGAAATCGGGCTGACGAGCTGGAAAAACAGCGAAGCCTTGCCAATCTCCGAGCGTTCGGTCCATTATTTCTTGTACGACGTCTTGATGAGATATATGTAATACGCCGCCAAGGTAAGATGAGGAGCGCGTATTTCTTGTGTAGGCATCCCCTTGCTCCGCTTGTGCCCCCTCTTGTCATAAAGAAGCTCAAACTCCCTTCGCATTTGGACTCGTGTGACCTTAACTATCCCTCTGTCTAACTCCAGAATATTTCCAAACATGTCGATCGTAAAAAGACCCACCATCAAGAATCGCAGGATATCCTCGTCGCCCTCTCCGCCAGGAAGTCCACACCCTGCTTATGACCCTATTCGGATGGAACCGGTCGATCGTCTGGGCCTCACTTCTGCTGCAGTACCTCTCTCTATCAAACAGGTCGACCTCGACGGATATGACATCGTCCCTCCGGTGCCTGCATACTACAACACCTTCGAGCTACCCCGCTCCAGCTTCTACAGCCTCCAAGAGCTTCAGGACGACATTGCCAAGGCCATCTCGGCACAAAACGGTTTCCCTCATCGTCGTGTGGAAGCAAAGCGCGACTTCTATTTCAAGCTCTCGGCCCACTACAGACGCCATACGGATGAGAAGCGCCAGGACGTGCGGGTCACTGCGCAGAATTGGGATGAGCTGAGGCTACTGCTGTTGAGTGATGAGGTGCACGTCGCGTGCTTCTCTGTTCTGTGGTGGAAGAAGACTACAGGGCAGCAAAGAGCTGATCGCGCCGAGTTGGGTCGCAGTTTGGCTTGCTGTGTTATGCAGTAGGCTGTACAGTTGAGGGGACCTTCATTGAAGGTTCTCTCCCTTCTCTGAACCCCAGCGATGGTCTGAGCTGTGCACTTTGCGCACCGGCGGTCTTACAGCTATCAACATCCACGACAGATCACGAATCGCATGCCGAGCCAAGGCGAAAGGCGATATTGAATTTAGCAGTCGCCAACATGGACGCTTCCAATTATGACCATGTTGATTGACAGCCAAAACGCCACAGCCATGCATTCCGTGCAGGCACAATCTCTGGGCTGTGTAGGCATGACACAACAAACAATACCACCGTACCCAAAGGCCATCAGCAAGACTCATCGAGATGTCCTTACAAACCATCGTCAACGTTGGGCAATGCAGGAAATTGGCCTCAACAAGGGCTGCGAGGACATACTGCGGAGGACATGTCAGGGTAAACCGACGGTCGGCAGCACGGCAGCTATGCCGAACGTGCACTGATGAGCCTTAGGCGCACAAGATATCTTAACGAGAAGCACGAACGAAGTAACGAATGCCATGAACGATCTTGTTTTCCCACGTTTTGTTTTCCCAAATGTCCTTGCCGAGTAGATCGCCGGTTGCCTGAGTCGGCGTTTGCAATTGGGCGCCTGAACCACAAAGATACCCTGGATTCTGTCATGGACGGAAGCTATCGCGTTGACAGAAGCTAGTCGAGGTGCTTGGACTGTACTTGAAACGGTATAACCTACTCCTTGCTTCGGTTATAAGAGATCCGGCGAATCGAGAGGAGCAATTCTTGTAGGACTTCGACCACTTGTGCTTGTTTGGAACCAAAATGTCATGCCATTGTCGTTCCAAACCAAAGTCATTGACCTCGGCGTTGACCTTCCTCATTCGAAAGCTCTCCGTATCAGGCAGAACTTCGGAGTATCATTCTACCGAGGACGTCATCAAAGGACACCTTCACTTGCTTCACCTTGTCGTGAGTAATTATCTCTTGAGTCCTCTCAAACAATCATGTCAATCAAGAACGTCGTCCTGGTAGGAGCTGATGGTAATCTCGGACCCGGTGTCCTTGATGGCTTAGTGTCAACAGGATCTTTCAATGTCACAGTCTTCAAGCGCAAGTCCTCCAAGTCAAAGTCCAACTATCCAGAAGGTGTACAAGTCAAGCTGCTCTCAGATGACTTTCCAATCGACGAACTGGTTTCCGCATTGCAAAATCAAGATGCCATAGTCAGCACTGTGTATGGTGCACAGGTGGATTTGCAAAAACGTCTCGCCGATGCTGCGATCAAAGCAGGCGTGAAGCGATTCATACCTTCCGATTTTGGAAGCTGCGATTCCCAAAGCAAGAGAGCCATGGAACTCGCACCCATCTACATCGCCAAATCGGAAGTGCGAGACTATCTCGAAAAGTTGGCCAAGGAGAACTCTGGATTCAGCTGGACCAGTCTTGTATGCGGACATTTCTTCGATTGGGATCTCGGATTCTTCCACATTGACCTCAAAGCCAAAAGTTTCGAGATCCTCGATGATGGCGAGGTCTACTGGAGTACTAGCACATTTGCACAAATCGGCAAAGCCACTGCTGCAATCCTGCAGAAGCCAGAAGAGACCAAGAACCGTTTCGCCTACATCCAAAGCTTCCGCATCAACCAAAATCAGCTGTTGAGAGCGTTCGAGAAGACGACTGGAGAGTCATGGAATGTGAAGAAATACGATTCTTCGGACTATGTCAAAGAGCGCAAGGCCAAGGCAGATGGCGGCGAGAAATCGGCCGTCGAAGATTTGGTCTGGGTGTTGGGTACGTTGGAAGCTGATTGGGAAGCCCGCGAAGGGTACGCAAATGACCTTTTGGGCCTGAAGCAAGAGAATCTGGAAGAAGTTGTCGCACGGATTGTCAAGAATAATTGAGTTGTCCTTGTGCAAACAGAGGTCTTGCCACATAACAGCCAAGTAGAAAACGACAGTTCTTATGCAGTAACTATGACCGAAAAATGCTCAGACAGATGGCGATGCATTTTCTTATGGTCGAAATCTCCTCCAAGGCCGAGGCACCGGCTCCAAAAGATGCTCCTTTCAGTGGCTGTGGAGATGCGTGACTATCTCCAAGCAAGTTCTTGAGGAGCTTATCAGGAAATCACTCTTACGAGAGGTTTTCAGCTGTTCCGAAAGGATCATGCCAGTCTCTATCCATGTGGTTAGCAGATCTTGGCACGAAAGAGTCAGTCAACCAACTAAGGAAGCAGCCACCCATGAGATGTTGGTTGCGACTGCATCCCCGTGTGCTGACCCTGTCACGCGCTCGTCGCTGTCAAAATGCACGATTCTTTCCAAATCGAAGCTGTTTCCGTTGAGATACCATCATCATCAACATCATCATCAATGGCTTTTGCATTATTTACACCCCGTCGCCTCGGCTTACAGGAGCGATATCAACTTGCTCAAGCTCAATGTGGGTCAATGCCTTTGATCACGCTGGTCGTATCGCTACCCAACGACACACATCAAGGGGAACTCAGGCGTCAGATCATGTTCAACTGTGAAGCTCTCCTGGCCCTGCACCCGATACTCTCTGCGACTATCGACGAACGCCTTACTCGCCACCCCAGGTGGAAACCACACAACCCACAAAGACGCTCTGGGAGGACAATAGTCGATACCGAGATCTGTTTCGCAGATGGCGTTGATGAAATCGCCGCTATAGAAGATCGCAAGGGCCAGAACCTGGATCTGGACAATGGACCTCTTTGGCGTGTGGGAATCTATCGCACCACACTCGAAGCTGGTGATGGCCAATTTGTTGCTCTGACCATCTGTCATTTACTCACTGACGGTATGGGTGCACTCGACCTTCTGCGCCGTATTCTACCAAACGGTCTTGACCACAGCAAGATAACGCCTTCGAAACCATCGCAACTTCCACCGAAGGCAGAAGATAGGATAGAGTTCTATCAATCAAAAGCTGAACGACTCAAAATCAGGCAAGCCGGTTCCAACGACAGATACAGGCTGGATTCCTTCATGAAAGACAGAGATGCATGGCCCACAGAGAACGACATCTTAGAGCGACGAAGCAGTCAAGTCAAACACAAATCTATCGACTTTGGTCCTAGCTACCCTGGTCAGATCCTCGATGGGTTGAAGTCATATTACAGAAATACGACAGTACCAGGCTCCGTCCATTCAGTACTGCACACAGCCGCCGTCGTGGCCTTAGCAGCCGTCGGGCGCAGACCTTCTACATTGACCTGGGGTCTTGGAAACCAGAGTGTCAAGTTGATCAGCACGGAAACACCCATGTCACTTCGCTCATATCGACTCGGTCACCCATCTTTCGGAGGTAACTACGTCGCGCCGATCTCGAAGTCTTTTCCAACATCGGAATTTGGAACGTGCGACGTTGGTGAATTCACTGGAAGATACAAGATGGACCTGGATCTGCCAGAGACGAACGAAGACGCCCGCAGAAGAGTGTCAGCGCTGCAATGGATTCCAGATAAGCGCCATCCAGGAGAGAGAAGGAAGATCATGTTATCGCCCCTTCCAAGAGTATTCTTGCCGACAATGTTCAAGGCTCTTAGAGTCCCTCCAACGCCAATTCCCGAGGCAGGGCACGAAGTTGTCCCTGAGCCTACTGGTTGGGAGGAATACCTTGCGCAACAGGTGAGGTCTCAGACCCCGTATAGGGCTTCGCTAGGCATCTCCAATCTCGGAGTATTCAGATCACGCGAGGTTGACAAGATCTGGTTTTGTCACACCAGTATGCCTTGGGGGGTAGCGCTCAATATCGACGTAGTCAGCTGTACCGATGACATGCAGGGGGATGAGGACATGGAACTCACCGTTATGGTCTCCTGGTTGGACGGAGTCATCGAGAACAAGACAGTCGAGCGCTTCATTCAGGCTTTCGCCATGGTCGTCAACAAGTTCGCTTGGGCTGGCAACCACAGTCCGGAAGCATCTTTCGCGTTACAGAAATTGCTTCTCAAAGATCTGGTCTAGGAGACATATGTCAAGCTTCCATGAACAATAAATACCTAGTAATGCAATTGAATTTCACTGTCTCATGCCTCTGGCCACGCTATTTGACCACCTGCAAAAAGGCAGGAAGGTTTTGGGAAACATTGGGATGTCCAGTGAGAGAGCAAAATTTCCAAGCTCTCACTGGACAAGCTCTCATATTGAATAACTTTGTGCATTTCTACGGGTAGAATTGAGTGAGTTTCAAAGTTGGAGCACGGCTGTTTTTATTCTCGTCATCCTCGATAAGATCTCTCACAACCCCCTCGACGAACTCCATCACAAGATAGATGTTCGATCCCCTGAAGAAGTACCGATAGACTGCGGGAATGACAACAATTTTTGGATCAAGCAGCTTGCGCGCCTCGACTGGTTGCGACATTCTTCAAGCGAGACATTGCGGTACTTCACCAACACTCTGTCGTTGAGTTTTAGAGCATTCTTCCCGTCCCGTTCGCGGTCGCAGATATCGGCGATGGTGCAGTCATCTGGAGTGTGACGTGAAATGTCAACGGAGGAAGTGTAGTGGACTCTAATCATATTATTCATGATTGGGAGTGGGTCGTACTTTTCATGATGAGAAGCAGGGGATGATTAGTAAATATCTCTGCATGCAGCTGTAGGGTTGATACAAGAAGCGACACCGTAGGATCACGGCATCGCGCAAGTTCCAAAAGAGAGGGTCTGAACACGGTCTCAGCTACCTGATTTCAGCGGCGATCTCAGCTCGCGGTTTTGTGCAGTGTGCACGTGAGTGTGTTATGCGTGTTATCGTGTATGAAGATGGGGTGGATCTTGGCAGCAGACTATTCCCAATGCGGTGGAAGCATCGAGTTGTAGAGTCAAGACCCTCTCGAGCTTCCGCCTTGGCAGCTTGCTTACTGTAATTCCCACGTTTCAGCAGCGGATAGAAGTTTCGCAAAGCCGCTCTCCTACTACATATTTTGGATTGCGAGGACCAAATCCATCGAGGCACGGATAGAAGCGACTCATATCCAGAGTCCGATGTAAACCCGATCACATGACAGCTACCAGTCTCAGATTCTGTCACATGTCCCTTCCACCGCCATAGCCAGCTAGTCGAGCACAAGACAATACAGAACATGGCTAGAACAGCGCAGACTGCTGGTCTCTCCCAGCAGCAATCTGTCTATCACACCCAGTCTTTCACCGATCATGCTGGACAATCGGCCACCCGTGTGCGCTATTCCCCTCACAACAAGCCTATTCCGTCCAATTTCCACGCGCAACCAGTTTTCACCTTCCAGATCTATACCACTATCCCACTGGACTTGGAAGAACCCTCTGCAAAGCGCAGCCGTACCTCTGGACCCTCATCCAATGCTGAGCGGACCATTCTCGCTGATCTCATCGACTACGTGGGCTTGCAAGTCGCTAGTGAAGCGCAGCGCCCAGAGCCACTCTGGGAGATTTATGCTGAGCAGCAGGGCGTCTTTGAGTGTGTAGAGCATCAGCGCCGAGAAATTGCACACCGCAAGGCAAAGAAGGAGGACCCGAGTATCCCTCCGATCCCAAAGGTTGTGCGCGGCCTTCATGGCTGTGACAAGACGGGCTTTGCTATTGTGATCGACTCGCAAAACTTCAAGAATGCTGAGTTTGTTGCCGACCAAGACGGCGCTCAGGGCCCGTTGTGGGTGTACTTTGACCGCAAGTTCCCCTCCAAAATCTCCTGGGAGCCGCGCCTTCGCTTGGAAGCAGACCCTGACATCATGGGCTCTGATATCTTCGGGCCCCCCGAGCTCCCGACAGTACTCCCTGAATTGGTCGATGCCACTTTCCGGCGGATTCAGCGGGTCGACGGAATGCGCTCTGATCTGGGCATGATGTACTTTTCTAGCTGCAAGCCCTCTGACCCGCTGCCCTTGGTCCAAGAAATGATGGACATTGGTTGGGATGAGGATGAGGGCGGACCAGATGCTGAATGGACTACCGGAACCCTCCACAACGTTGCGCTAAGGCTGTCTCTGGACGACTACAACGTTTCTAAACCAAGTGCGACCGAAATCAAAATTTCAAGCACCACTGGTATCTCGGAGCCTGATCTTCGTTATATCATCCACGTGCCCTTCCTAAACGAGACTGGCATGAGCGACAAGCTGGAACAGGCAGCCAGGGCTTTTACCTATGAAATTACATCTCGGCTCTCTGGAAATACATCGATTTCATTTGAATTCTACAAACCGCCGTCCAAGTCTCTCTCGTCTATCCTTACGGCACACCGAAACAAGAATCAATCGGAAAACTACATTGGCGCCCTCACTACCTTCTCTAGTGACCCTATCCGTGCCTATCCTATTGCACGTACAGAACATGCCGGCGAGAATGACCCAGAGAACGTTCCGTTTGTACCTTATCGCACTTTCGTCGTCGTGTTGGAGCGGCCTGACTTTGCTCAAGTCGAGGGCGGTGTGCTGTTCCTACTTGCCGATGGTGGCAAACCCAAGCCTAGTGCTGGTCAGGAACTGCCAGATAGCATGAAGCTGGAGTTGCAGGATTACGTAGAGATGGAGTTGTGGCGGTGTGCAGGCATGGACGAGGTAGCGCGGCGCCTCCAGATGATTTGGGGGGGTGTAACGTGGGAACAAGGTGGTGGGGTTGAGATCACACAATAGCCTATATATCGTGTGAAGGCAGACTCGTAAAGACACTGTTACAATTGGTACCATCCGAAGATTCCTTGCAGCAGCTATTTCTAATCACCGTCCAAGTTGGGACATAGCTGCTGCGCGACAGAGCTTCCAATAACACACTCCACGTATTGAGATTACCGTTCTGAACACCGTAGACCAGACAGTTATAGACCCAACGCGCCATGTGTGGCCCCGTCCCACATCATATACCTACTAACCGTACTCGTCGCACTGCCCTGTGTGCCTGGAATCGGCGCATTGGGGCTGTTCGCGTCCAGCGGGAAGTGCATCTGACTCGCAGAAACCATCCCATTCGCCTGCATGTAACTTCGCGCAAATCCGCCTCCCGCGCCACCCACCTTCCCCAAAGCAAGGATCACCCAGCTTGGAACCTGCTGCTCGATCTTGTAGAGGTGATTGTCAATCCAGTACGCCCACATGGTCCGCATGCCCCAGTTGACGACACCTTGGGGGCTGGCGGGACCGTCGAGTGCGGTTCCAGGGGCGTTGGCCGCAGAGGTCGAGCCCCAGAAATTGTTGTCAAACTGCACACAGACGGTTTCGACGGATTTCGAGGGCGTGGTCCATGCGTCTTGGATCGTTGCATCACGGAGGTACTGGAAGACATTGGCTGTCTGTAATGATTCAGTGTCAGCATTTTGTCTAGCTTTTCCGAATACCGTCCTGTCGGACGTGATGGCTTACATCGCGTATGACAACACCAGCTTGCTCTTGCTGCTGCGCCACGGTTCCGCTCAGGCTGCTGAACGCGGGCCACTGCGCTTTTGTGATCTTTCCTTTCCACCCGTTCGCTGGGCCGTAGTAGACGGCCATGAGCGTTGGCTGGCTGACACCACCAGTCACTTCAGCGCAATTACCTAGGAAGTTATTGTCGCCCGTATTATCACCAGGGAAGGCTGGGAAGAGGAACCCGGATTGAGCGTCTGTACAAGAGAGCAATTAGTCAAGCACAAACACGTTGCTGCATCAAAAAACACCCTACCTGCATCACTGCCGAAGACAGCAGCGCACCACGTTGTGTCTGGTTGCGTCCAGCCCGCTGGCCATGGTATCTGGGTATAGCCAGTGACCGAAGGCTGACCGCACAACCAGGACAAGAACCCGGAGATCAGCTGGGCTTCAAAGACGTGGTCGTTGGCGAAGTCGCTTTGCGCAATTCCCGCAATTCGGCCATTAGTAGAGGCGCTCTGCGACGATGTTGGGTCATAATTTTGGATTCCATTTTGGGCAGTAGAAGCGCCTGCGGGGTGGTAGAACTGCAAGGCGATCAGTTTCAATGATAAATAGCAACATGTTTAGAGCTTACCTTGGGCACCTGCGTTATGCCCTTGGTGCCGGTGTTTGGACACTGAGGGTAGTTGGACCATTTTAACGCGCTGGCCCATGGCAAGTTGATTTCTTTTGCGGCATTTGCACGCTTGCTGAGACCGAAATAGGTGCAATACGTGTCTTGTGCGGGTGGTGAATATGGACAGGACAAAGCATCCCCAACAACATCGGCTCGTTTAGCAAGGGGGTTGTCTAGCTTACTGAAGTCAGAGTCGTTGGATTCCGCTTCTAATTGACCGTCTCGTCGAAGTCTGGAATTGCTACTCTCTGTTAAGCAGCCGCAGCTCTCCTGGCCCGCAAGCCCTCCACAGAGTGGACTCTCTCCATCCGGGCATGCGGGACAATCAGTCCATAGAGTACATGTGACCCGGGCCGATGCTATTGTGGTAGTCGTCGATGCAGAGGTCGTAGCAACAGTCGTCGTAGACGTTGGAGTGCAATCAGACACGGAGGCACAGTCTTGGCTGGCCGGCCCATATACTGTGCACGCATAGCAGTCGTCTGTTGTCGTATACTGAGCAGAGGCTGTAACCACGGCTGTCGATGTGGGGAGGGCCGTATATGCACACATGTTGCCCGATGTGCCTTTCAGTACTGAATAACTTGAACTGGAGCATATGCAAAACCCGTCAATCCCCTTGTCGGGATCTGCGCCTTGATAGGTGCAGGAGACAGTGCTGGCAGTTTTTGATGTCATGGACGAGCTCGTTGTAGCAGAACTAGTAATCGTACCGCTCGAGCTCGAATCCGTGCTGGTCGAGAGAGTACTGTTAGTCATTGTAGTCGAAAGGGTGACTGCACTGTCTGAGCTTGTACCCATGCCCGTCGAGGAAGCGCTCTTAGCCGTCACCGTCGAGATGGTGTAGGTAATCTCAGTAGCAGTGTACGACGTCGAAACGACCGAGCCTGAGCTTGCAATGCCGGAAAACGGTATGACTGTCATACAAGCTCCGTTTGAAGTCGAAATCGAGGTGGTGAATGAAGATGTGGTCGTAGCCTCAACACTACATGCTATCGTTGCACTGCACGCAGTCGTATAGCAGCTGGTAGTCAAAGTGGTCGTTGAGTTGACAGCAATGGCAGTAACTGAGCAGGCGGCTACACACAGGCTTGCCGTCTGTGTCCTGCAAGAAGAGCTCGATGATGGAGTCTGGCTTGATGTTGGCGAGTCTGGATTGCCTGTAGTAGCATCAGTGCCACTGCCGGTCTGTGTGCCCTCATCGTCACAACCCAAGCCAGCGCAAACTCCCTTATCGCAGCCGGAACCGCTGCATGTTTTGGTCGTGCAGTTTGGTCCACTGCAAGAACCAGTGCTACTATCGCAGTCGGAGCCAGAGCATCCAACACTGATACAGTCCGAGCCAGAGCATTCGCCAGTGGTGGACTCACAGTCAGAGCCTTCACAGCCAGATGTGACGCACGACCCGGTACACACGCCATTTTTGCATCCTGTGCCTATGCATCCAAGCGAAATACAGTCGAGTCCTGTACAGATGCCATTCGAGCAGCCTGATCCAGAGCACCCCAACGAGACACACAGAATTCCTGTGCACTCACCATCGGTGCAGTCTGAGCCTTTGCATTGGCCGTTGGTGACGACAGGAATTCCAGTGGTCGTGGATGTCTGGGACAGCGACGTTGTTGTGGTTCCGAAACCGCTGCCGCTGATCTTCGATGTGATCGTGGATGTCTCAACGATTGAGCCACTGCTGAGAGTTGCTGGAATAAGGGTGATATTGGTACTGCTATTCGACGACAATGAGGTCAATGTCGTTTCGCTGGTACTGTTACTCCCTGTAACACTCGTTGTTGAAGTTGCTGAAGTTGATGGCATTGATGAAGTCAAGTCGGTGCTAATCAATGATGTAGTCAAGGATATGGCTGAGCCGGTATCTGTAGGAAAGGGCACTGTGGCATTGATACCGGTTGTAGACGTTGAGAACGAAGTCAATAATGTACTACTGCTCCAGAGCGTTGAAGAAGCCAAGAAGGTAGTTAAGCCAGTGCTCGAAGGAACATTCACTGTGGTGGTCGAGTTGGTTGTCGACGTTGAGGATAATGTGGTGTTGGTGTTGGCTGCTGACGTTGGGGATAATGCTATTGATGTACTGCTGCTTGAGACTGTTGAAGAATTAGAAGACGTGGTAAGAGAAGTAATTCGAGAAGTACTGATTGTGCCACTGCCAGCGACGGTGGTCTCGTTGCGGCCGTATAATGCTGCGTTGGTAAGAGAAGAGCATACTGCAATCAAGGTAGCAAGAGCTTGCCATGTCCTCGCCATCTTGATCAAACGAAACGTGATAATGAGAAAATCAGAGTGTGAAGCGGAGGCTCTTATTAATACCATTCCTCTAGTATCTCACATTCATCCCAGCCGGCCATCGAACCTCGATAGGTTTCATAGCCCTCAGGCTCAAGGCTGAGCAGGCCTCCCACGCCTTACAGAAAACACTGCAATCCTTATTCTCATCTCCTTCGCCGCACCACGAGTGATCCTTCAGAGAGTGTACGAACGTTGATCAAGTTTTCTGTGCGACGACCGTGTTGGTTTCACCAGTCAGTACCTGGTTAGCCCGGGCCGTTGAAGAGTGGGTGAAGTGGGGCGATATTTCCAGGAGGCTTCGTCGCAACAAAATTTACGAGGATGATGGAGAGGGCGCAGAGGTAGGTCATGGTTTCGAGACAGATTAGGGGAGCATGTGTGAAATCCTATGGTCGGCCTCAGCTGTGCCAAGGTAACCGCTTTCAGCTTAGTTAGTCGTTTCGGCGAGATCGAGTACCCTGAAAGCTTAATAGTGGCGATTTAGGGTGGCCGTGACCTGCCGACACAAGACCATTGGCCGAAGAGCGAGATCCGATAGGCTGAAACTTTCCTGCTGCAACGACATCCTTTGCGTCTTGCACGCTCCGAATAAAAGGGACGATGACACCCAAGGCACCTCCATCGAGGATTCTCGAGACATAGTGAGGATCCTTGCTAGGCGCACGGACAATAGGGGAATGCCCGCGTAGAGTGCTGCAGTACATAGCTGTCCAGTAGTGTCGAGATCAAAGGAAGAGTGTTCCATATCGATGAGGATGCCATCGAAGCCAGCAGTTTTTGCCGTCGTTGGAAGCTCGACGGATCGAATGAGCTTAACACTCAAAGTGTATGGAACCTCATTGCGGGGCAGCCTCTCTCGGACAGAGTTGGCGAGGGTTAGAGGCTGCGAAGAAATCATGTTGAAAGTCCAAAATGTATGGATTTACAAAAAGATGTTTGTGAGTCGTTGCAAACAGCAGTCTGGCCGCGTGGGATATATTCATCAGGTCATAAGATGGCGACTCAAAGAGGCCCCCGATATCCACCGGAAGCATGCCGCTTGATCAACATACTTCATTGCACTCATGCCAATCGGTACTTCGCAACAGTTCTCGGACAGCGACCGTGAGTGGGACAAGTGGAGAGTGACATAGTCTGCAGTCCGAAGATTGCTGGCAGTGGCAGTGCATTGACCACGGTAATGTTGTCGGATGACCTCCGATGGAAGACTTCTTTGTCGGGCATCGCCCAGGACTGTGGAAGCAGAGGGTCGTCAGTACTTGGCATAGTGGAGCAGCAACAGCGCAGACCCAGGTCGAGACAACGACGGCAGCCATGGACAAGTTGTTGAAATTTGCACTTGCCTGGAACTTGTGTGGTGGCCATCGTGTAGAATTATCGTAGACGTAACGTTAGGCGCAACAACATCGAACCATCACACCTGACCACGTGCTTTTCGACCAACACAAAGCTCGAACAATCTTTGAGACCAACTCGGCCCCTTGTCTCTCCTGACAGCCTGGTCGTCAATAGGTACATCTGAGCCTTTAGTCTTTGATCTATCAAGATCGCCGGGTCTTCTTGCTTGGTTTGGCAGGAGAGGTCCAAATTTCTGGTTTCTCGCCGCATCCAGTGCACGACTGTACTTTGGTAATGTTGAATTCTGACAATAGTGACTCGGCCTGAAGCTTCCGCGAGGTTGAGCTGGAAATGCTCCTGGTATGAGAGGAAGTTTGGTGTAGGGATCATAGGCTAGCGACCACGGTTTTCTACTGGTCCGAGCCGTAAGCTTGAATCTGCATGGATGTTCGCTAAGGAGGTAGCACTGAGCCTCAACCCAGTTGTCCCTGGTGATCTCGAGTGTTTGGCTGGACTGCGTCTGTGAACTTTTTGCTTCGGTCACCTCGAGGATGTACTGAACCGAGACTTCGCGGTGCCTCAAAAGACCGAATCCGACTTTAGTTTTGAACAGACATTCGGCGCAAAAGTTGCGATATGAGCCAGGAAGTACGAGCTTGAGCTCTGCAGGCTCGCTCTTATAATGTTGAATAACCCGAGCTGGATGTTTGGGGTCAACATAATCAATTGATATATCCGCTCGGAAGGAATGCTTCTGAGCGTCCGTCTTGCATGGCGTCGACATGAGCAGGACGGTCTGCTCGGTGATAACAGTCCTGCGCTGTGTGGTCAGATTTGGCATTTTGCAGAAGTGCTCTAGAGCCTTTCTCTTTCTTTATCTGCTTTCTCAAGATTTGGATTTTGTGAACTCGAAGGTTCGAGCAGCGTGTTGGATTGCATTGTGCTCACAAGCGAAGACTCATAAAGCGGACTCATAGATGGCGGTCTGAAGCTGCTACAAAGTTTTATACCACCCTAGTCAAATTTCTTGAAAGTGCTCGTCTTTGGTCCGTTTGTATACTTGCCCTCATGATATTTCGAAGTCATTGCAAAGGCGAACAAAGCCTTTGATCGTTTCGACCTTTCCATAGTAGACATTGGAGAGGGCTAACGTCTTGTGCGGCGACGTCAAAGAGATCGAGTGTTGCAAGTCTGATAACTTGCGACACAGCTTAGATTGACGATGAGATGTTTTACGCTTGGTATTCCTGAATGCGAATTGAGCATTTCCAAAGGGCGTTTTCTGACACGGTCAACAACTGATAAGCCGATTCAAGGCGCGCGACGGAGTCAAAGATTTGGATAAGAGAAGGTGCGATTGACCGGAGAAAGGTGCAGCACGGACCCCGTGAATCCGTGGCGGGCCCAGTAAAAAAGTGCAGCAGCGAGCTCGGGGATGAGCAACTCAGCGTTCGGGGAATCCACCATATCGCGTGTGCCTTTTCCTTCTCTCTCGTCTTGTCTTCGGTCGTAGCTGCTCCTTGTTCGATTTCGTTCACCCGTTACATTCTTTCTCCTAGTCCATTCGCTCATACGCAGACGTCACAATGGTCAACATTCCCTCCCCCAAAGATGCCTCCAAGGACTACAAGAAGGAGTCTACCACGGCCAGAATCCTCGGTGCTGGTGCGCAAACACTCGTGGGCATGAAATAGGAATCCGCGATTGACATACGACAGGTTCCGCTGGCATCGCCGAGCTCGCCGTCTTCCACCCCGTCGACACCATCGCCAAACGTCTCATGAGCAACCAGGGCAAGATTGCCAATGTCGCTCAGTTCAGCTCCGTCATCTTCAAGGACAAGGCCACTGCTCCTCTCGGCACTCGTTTCTTCTCCCTCTTCCCTGGTCTCGGCTATGCCGCTGCCTACAAGGTCATGCAGCGCGTCTACAAGTACGGTGGTCAGCCCTTCATGCGTGACTACCTGGCCAAGAACCACGGCGACTTCTTCGACGGTACTTTCGGCAAGGGTAACGGCAAGGCCATTATGCACGCCACTGCTGGCAGGTAAGACTCGGCCGACCACTTGACGAGCCAGGCGTTTGACTAACATGACACAGTTTGATCGGTATCGGTGAAATCGTCATCCTCCCTCTCGACGTCCTCAAGATCAAGCGTCAAACGAACCCTGAGGCTTTCCGTGGCCGTGGTCTCTTCAAAATTATCGCAGACGAAGGCTTCGGTCTTTACAGAGGTTGGGGCTGGACTGCCGCCCGTAACGCTCCCGGTTCTTTCGCTGTGCGTATACCCCAACACTTTCTTGCAGAGAGCGATCAACTGACACACAACACAGCTTTTCGGTGGTAGCGCTGCTGCCAAGGAATACTTTTACAAGCTCTCCGACTACAACAGTGCCACCTGGTTCCAGAACTTCGTCGCATCCATTGCTGGTGCCTCTGCATCTCTCGTCGTCTCTGCTCCTCTCGATGTCGTCAAGACCCGTATCCAGAACCGCAACTTCGAGGCCAAGGAGTCTGGTTTCCGTATCATCTCCAACATGGCCAAACACGAGGGCATGACTTCCTTCTTCAAGGGTCTTACTCCCAAGCTCCTCATGACCGGCCCCAAGCTCGTTTTCAGTTTCTGGCTGGCTCAGACTCTTATCCCCGCCTTCAACAAGATGCTCTAGACGATTTGGTTGCCATGATGTGAGGGTTTATGCAAAGCGGAGAGCGATCTTTTAATAGCTGCATCGGCTGCAGGGGCAGTGCGATCGGGTGTATTTATGGGAATTTTGTAACGGCCAGCCAAATGCTTTGAATTGTAACATAGAAAAAGGACGGCGCATGATGGAAATGATACCTCTTCTCTACCTCTTCTTCATGATTTATTTCCAGGAAACTCCTTGAACAACAATGGCTCGGGAGTGGCCGCACGGGAGCGACAGGCGCTCGAAACTTTCGGTAGTCCCGGCGCGTGGTGACGGCGACCACAGCATCGGTAAAGACAAAGCACCAGCAAATCGCTAAAAACGCACCCAATCAATTAATCGAGCAATCTACAAGGCAGAACGTGATTAACGCCCTGCTGCAAGCGCGGGTTTCCAGCCTCGCACATATCTACAAGCTTGACGTCGCCTTTGTTTCTCCCACCAAAACGCTTTCGTTGTTGCACGCACACACCGCCGCCCTGACACTTTGCGCCGTTGCGGATAGTCGTTTCCTTGACACATAACGTTCATCCTCCGCAGGTTCGGCAGGCACGGTCAGGTCGACCCCGGATTGTTTATCGACCAAAGAATCACAGGCGCCACCAGCATTTCATCACAATGTCGCGCTCCCGTTCAGCTCATCGCAGCGACGATGGACTGGGCGCACCCAAGAACTCACAACAACATCGCCGCGCCAACAGCACCCCGGCTTGTAGCGATGATTTCCACGATGGGTAAGTTCGGTCGCACATTAATGTATCGATAAACAACTAAACAGATCAAGCTTCGTCAAGCGCCTGGTCGGCATCCTCGACAATCACGAGAAATTCATCAAGAACAACGCCGACTTCCTCAGCGAAATCTCATCTACCCTGCGCAGCCACACTTACTCTCGCCTACCGCGTGCTACCAGCGAGCCCGCTCTGAAGGTCCCCTCTACGCCCATCGTTCAGCCAGCAACGCCTGGAGACAGTGCTCTCGAATCGAGCCCCGAATTCATGCCACCTACTCCTCCCGACACTCCAACTGTCGAAATCTCGGATTGGTCCTTCATGCCGCCCAAGCCTAGCGAAGTCAAACACCAGTACGAGCAGCCCAAAGTTCCCAAGATCGTCATCAAAGACCACAGCTCTTCCACCATGACTACCATCAGCGCCCCTGTCTCGGCCATAATGGACCTTTCCATCTCTTCGAACCATGACACCAACACTGTGACTACATCTTCTCCCGCTGTCGAAAAGCCCAACACGCAAACCACCTCGATGATTCCCATCAACAGAAACTCGGTTGGTCTCTCGAACACAGCCTCGTCCCCATTCAGAAACATGTCAGTCGTCCACACCACTCCTGCCATGGCCACTACGGACTCCTCTTCGGCCAACTTGGTCAATCAACCCACTGCTTCGGAAGAGGACATTGTCCAGTGGTACATCTACCACGCCGACCGTGCAGCTAAGAGCTTGCGCTACGACTTGCGTGAGATTGACCTGAAGATGGACCGCTTTGTTCGCCGCATTAACGACCTGAACGCCCAGTGCGCGGCCCTTCAGGATCTTATGTCGACCAATGCATCGGCAGCCCTCAACCCCAACACCCAGCAGCACCGCCGTACTAGAAGTACTCCGGCTGTCCAGGGTAATGACTACTACACCCGTAAGGAGAAGGAGATCCGAGACGCCATCAAGGAGGCCTTTGAGAGTCTTCGTTCGACCCTCACCTTCTACCGCAAGCACCGTGTGGCCCCACTTGAGCTCGTCAATGCCAAAGCCGATGTCGCTATGCCTGGCTACTGGTCTTTGGATGCGTACGGCAAGCGTCGTGCTCTCTTCCACTTCTACAATCGCAACAAGGACATCTCCAAGCCTGGCGACCGCGCTCACTACCACGACGCCATGGCTCTGTTGGACGCTTGCACCGCCATGTCGCTCAACCAAGACTTTGTCGACAAGATTGACAGATGGGAGAGTCAGATCAGCGCCATGAAGAGTGAGTCGGGACCCGATACCGTCATCCCTTGAACGACAATGTTGCAGCCGACAGACATCATACCCCAGTCACAGCACCTGGCCCAGTCGGTCAGGGTTCTTTATTTGCGTCATTCTCAATTCTGATTTTTCTGTTGTGTTGCATTGCGTTGCGTACCTTGCATGGTATTGACGTCTGCATCCTCCCGTCATCAGGCTTTGTTCTTTGTTGTTTTGTTGGTCGATTTTTCTGATTTTGTTTTCTTCTGGTGTTCGCTTCTTCACGAGTTAATGATGCATGTTGCATGGCCGGCGCGCTTCCCAAAAGATACCCCTTTCTGTTTTCTTTGTTTACTGCCTGTTTCTCCGGGCACACTGCAGAGTCTTTTAGACTCTCATCGCACTGTAATTAGTTTCTTTTTGTTGTCAACACGAAGCGGAAAAGACAAGGCAGACGAAATTGCAAGATGTGCAAATGAGATACAAACCGTTAATTACCCTCTATATCATGTTCCACCTTTCCCCTAACACCGGAGTCTTGTTCGTGGATCATTGCTTTGTCTTCATCAACATGTCAATCGCCAATCCGTATGTCTCATCACGCTTAGATTCTTGGTAAGAACCAGGGGCTGCTCTCTTATCCCATGCATGTCCGCACTTGTCCATGCGCCTGAGCACCACGCCCTCTCCATGCTTTTTCTCGACACGCTTGGCCAGACGCTCGGTCTCCAGACATAGTGAATCACGCCCGCAGGTAATGAACAAGGAGTTCTCAGGGTAGTTTTCTACGGGTCCAAGAGCAGGCGAAACACGAGGGTCGGCCTTGTCGGGATCGAATCGCAGATACGAGGCGTCGAACAGACGTGCCATCTGGGCAGTTATACCACCACCTCTGCCATCGTCCTCTGGAGCCACCTTCTCTTCTGGGTCCATGGAGAGGTCTGTGGGTGGATAAAAGGCCAGCAATGTGTTGAAAGTATCCTTTGGGAAAGTAGATGCGGCTGCCACACATGCCATATTTGCACCAGCGCTGAAACCAGAGATTGCGATTTGAGAGGTTGAGTAGACGTCAGGTTGTTTGAGAGCCCAGTTTACGACATCTTCTGCATCATTGTGGCAGGCTGGCCAGGGGTATTCGGGTGCAAGACTGTATTGGATATCCAAGACCGAGTAAGGTGTTGAAGTCGTGACCTTACGGCAGAAGAAGTCGTCGGAGCCATGGAGAGGGAAGACGAAACCGCTACCGTGGAAGTTGATCAGAAGTGGTGATGGGATGCCAGGTGTGAATGAGGTTGACTTGTAGTAGTGTGCTTTGATGCTACGGCCGGTCCTTGATGGAATCTGCAGGATGGAGTCGGGTGAGGCCTTTGGCATGCCACCTCTCCAGACTTGAAAACGGGCAAAGCTGACCAACGCCTTTAAGCGAAGATACCTGAAGAGGTTCTTCAGGGCGAGCCACATGATGATGATGTTGTTGATGATGCGATGTTGGAGGCAGAAGGAAAACAACTCGCATTTTTCAAGACAGGAGATGTCGAGTTACTTGCCCTGGCCCGGAAGCCGTCGGCGCCGAGATGGCACCTCCAACTGCCGCCGTATCAGAAATGATCATGAAGAGAGGCGCGGACGATAGATGAGGACAAGCCGGCCGACGGGCGAGCGAGATGGCTCGATCGGGAGAAGCGACTTGAAACTTGCGCGCGCGGAGACGAACCCGCCCCACTTGGCACCAAGAATGATTTGTGTCAGGGTTCAAAGGCTTGATATGTCAACATGGTCAAGGATCCGCATAACGAATGAATCATGATATGTAGGTCGCCGTGATGTGTCAACCGGTAGGACTTACTCACGAGATTGTGTATCCTCAAGAAACCTGGATAGGGAAGGGATGATGGGGATGGTCACGATGACGATATGACGTTTTGTGTTTTGTTGATCGGCTTTCCACCTGGACTCCATCCAGAACTGTTCGAGAACACAACTCAATCACATACCACACCTATTTCTATCTATTTGACTCTAAACTACATCGATAATCATGAGTACCGGTGGTCAATCGTACGGCAAGTTGGTGCGCCTCCGCGCTCTCAACCCCTCACAACTCCCCGCCCATCCCGACCTTGAATCGATTCAACTTGCTGCTTCAGCATTGCCGCCTCTAGAGACCTTCATTACCGATGTCTTGAATGAAGCCTCGACTTTCATGACAGATTACCTGCCTCAGAACTTTGCCATCAAGGAACGATCAAAGACTTCTCCTCCGGCAAAGGCTACCATCCAACTACTGGCTCATGAGATATCTGCTCAGCACCTCGGTCCCAATGCACAGGATGAGGCATGGTTCGCACGTACAAGTCTTCACGAAAACAAGAAGGAGCCTGGAACTGCAAATTGGAACGAATTCGAAGCCGGTCTTCTTGATGACCACAGTTTGCATGAATCACAGTACACGCCGGATGTCTTCGACGCACACAAGGTTCTGTCTTGGGATTCGAAATTGGCCGAGAAGCAAGCAAAGGTCGGTAACTGGGAGAAGGTTGGCATGAGCAGTAAGTCTTGGTCTTTCCTGTGCAAAACGAAAGTAGCTAACTCCAGTCACTTCGTAGTCTTCGAGATGGCTCACCATATTCCACCTCCGCTGGACAACCGCGCCTTCCCGGTGCTTGTTGTCACGGCACGCTCTGCTGGCACTGATCATCCGTCTTTCCTGGTTGTCCAAATTCCTGTGGATATCACCAAGCTCGACAAGGCACTGTATTCAACGCACAAGAACAAGCAGGCAGGTGACAATTCTGAGAAGAAGAAGCCTGTCACCCTCGGCCAGTATGTCAGTATTGAGCGTTGCGCCATGGTTGAGAACTTCGATGTCAAGTGGCAGATGGCAACCGCTTCTGATGCAAAGGGTAATCTGCCAATGTGGGCTCAGAAGATGGGCATTCCTAGTGCTATCATCAAGGATGTCGGTCTCTTCATTGACTGGAATGCAAAGAGGAGATGATCAATTGTCGAGCGATGCATTATCTGTTTTCTGTCGATACCCCCTGAGTTAGTCCTTGCGAGCACCTAAGCGATCTCGATATAGTGTCGTTATTCATTCGATCTACAGATACTTCTGCTCACGTTTATTTCATCGAATGGGATGTGTGGTGTAACAAGTCTTTCGTGTATCAAAGCCAATCTACAGCTTGTGCTTCTTCTCACCTGAAGCAATCTTTCTAAACTGCTCCTGAGGCACACCGCTAACGAATCTATCCAACCCACCAAACACCTCAGCTACACCCTGAGCATCCAGCAAATCCCTCTCGGGTCTCCTAATCAACTTCTTGATACCCAAAAGACTCTCCGGGATCAAGTGCTTGCCCAACCTATCATCAACCTCCCTCAACACCAATTCCAAAAACTTGTCATCCTCACCGGGCTTGACATCCATAACCCCATTAACATAACCCACACTAACCAATTCCTCACAGGTGATCCTCTTACTCATAATCAAAGCCTCATTGGCCTTTGAAATGCCCAACCTCGACACAAAAGCCCTGCTGGAACCTCCCTCCGCCACCAATCCCAAACTGCTGAATGGAGTCAGGATGAACGTGTGAGGAGCCGCGTATACGAAATCGGCGAACCCGGTCAACGCTGCTGATAGTCCTACCGCGGGGCCGTTCAAAGCGGCGATGAGGATTTTGGGGTGGGTGTAGAAGGCGTGTGTTATGTGTAGATTTTGGGCCACGAAGCCTTGGAGGTAGTGACGTTGGATATCCGTGCCTTGTGGAGGTGATTTTGAAATAGAGACATCTGCACCGCTGTGATGTTGTTAGTTCCTGATTTTCATGCTATGCAAATGCCAAAAAAAAAAAAGAATGCGGCTGGCTGGGAGGGAAGGAAGGGAAAAGACTTACGCGGAAAAGTAACGTCCTTTTCCCGTCAAGATTGTGATGAAAATGTCGTCGCGGGCGGCGACTTCCTTCATCAATTTGGCGAGGCGGAAGTAGTGGTCTCCATTCAGTGCATTGAGTTTCTTGGGAAGGTTGAGGGAGATGATTGCGGTGTGACCGCGAGTCTCGAGTGTGACTTCTTGTTCGACTGTAGACATGATTTGATGCTTTTGCTTGTGCTTACACTTCCCACTGACCAGTGGTGATTTGTGTGGTAAGATTGGAGAGGGGCCTGGAGAAGAGATATCGTGGTTATGGAGCTGGATTGCTTTACCTAGGCAATTCTGGGTTGAAGACGTTGAAACCTTTGGGAGTGTGGGGTACCGAGGTTCGTTGCGGCACGTAGTTCGAAGGGTCCTCCACTGGGGTTCGGAGAGGTACTGCCGAAACCCTGATGCTTGTCATGTTGGTGTTGCTCGAGTCCTGGAGAATACCAGGAAAGGGTAAAGGCAGCAAGAGTAGGCTTCTATTATATAGCGACTTCCGAGACAACTGAGACGCGGAAAGTATGCTCATGTAGTTGCAAGGTAAATGCCATCTTGAAAGTGGATTTGTCGCTGTCAAAAGCAGGATATCAAGGTCGTCTGCATTCCAGAACTCAATGTTTGTGATTTTGGAGCTCAATTCACTTTTTGATAGCCCAGACTCAACCCCATGATGAAGATACACTCTCGGTAGTTGTCGCCAGTGACTCTTTGACCTACCATGCTCTCGTGGAGTATACAAATCCTGTAAGAGTGCGGTGACAGGGTGAGGGTGCTGACGAACCAGAAAAAGCATCTAAAGCTGGATTGCTATGACGAAACCGCAAAGACAGCACGCTACGTGGTAGCAGCAACCTGCTAACCAAAATGCAGAAATGAGTAACACGAATTGCTGTCAAATAATCTGACAAGAATCAAGGGACAAGAACACCCCAAAGCATGTGACAAAAGCCACCCCAAAAACAGCAGAGCTTGCGATTAGGAAAAGAAAGAAGCCGAGGAGCTCCGAGTCCCCCCAAGCTACGTCAGCAACCAGCGCAACCGACTTCTGAAATGCAAGGGCTCATGAGGCTTCCAAGAAGCCGTGGATATAAACCCCCATCATCATTCATATCTTTTGTACGAGTATATCGATATCAATATTCCCAAATGGCAACGGCAAGATTCACGACATTCGAGGGGACGCACAAGACGGACGACGGCGTCGAGTTGTATACCAAAACGTGGAAGGTGTCGGGGGATGCAGCCAAGGCACGCATGCTGTTTGTACATGGCTTCAGTGATCACTGCAACAACTACCCGGTGTTCTTCGAGCATCTCGCCAACCAGGGTATTGATGTATACGCCTTTGATCAGAGGTATGATCTCTACCCCTGACCTTACTCCCATCATTCACCTCCCTTCTTCTCTTCATCTAGCTGACACTTCAATCATCCAGAGGATGGGGTCGCTCAGTCACCAAGAAACACGACCGCGGTCTCACAGGTCCCACCACCCGCGTCCTCGCCGACATAACCAGCATGCTCCACACCCTCCTCCCCACCCCCGTCCCCCTCTTCGTCATGGGCCACAGCATGGGCGGCGCCGAAATCCTCCACTACGCCTCCACGGGTCCCTCGGAAATCCTCTCCCAAATCCGCGGCTTCATCTCCAGCGCTCCCCTCATCGCTCTCCACCCTTCCACCCGCCCTTTCCGCGCTACAGTCCTCGCGGGCCGTCTCGCTGGTCGCGTACTCCCTAAATTCCAACTGGTGCAGAAACTAGAGCCGAAATGGTTGAGCAGAGATCCAGAGCAGAATAAGCTGTGGGAGCAAGATGAATTGTGTCATGACACCGGCACTTTGGAAGGGTTGGCGGGAATGTTGGACAGAGGAATACAACTCGAGAGCTTCAAAGTGATGCCCAGAGATTCAGCGGGAGAAGGGGGCAAGATAAGATTATTGGCTTTGCATGGAACTGGCGATCACGTTAATGATTTTGCTGCTACAAAGGCGTATGTGGAGAAGAGTGAGTTGAGTGATAAAGAGTTGAGGACGTACGATGGTTGGTATCATAACAGTAAGTCGCTGATTTCCTCCTTCTGTTTTCGAGAACTTGTGTCTGGGATGGATGAGATGCTGACGGGTGATTGATAGTGCATGCTGAACCGGGTGACGACAAGCTCATGTTCGCCAATCATGTCTCTGAATGGATCCTGTCAAGGCTGGGACCTGAAGATCAAAAGTCGAAGCTTTGATGATGCACATCGACCGACTATACGACTACGTGTAATGCCAATATACGGATGGGATATGTTTGGAGGGGAATATTGTCTGGACATAATCACTGTCCAACAGCAGAAGGATGTCGTTCAAGAGCAGAAGGATGCTGTTCAAGAGCAGAAAGTCACTGTTTGAGAGAGTAGAGACGAGAGGATCTCGAATAAGAGAGAAGAGTGTGTTTCTGTTTATGAGCAGACAAGTCTATATATATATATAATATCTTTCGGTAGTAGTAATTGCATTGGGGTATCATTCGCAGCAAAATTCATCTTGTTTTTTCTTTGTTCCCTTTTTTCGTATTGTGTCCGAAAAATTGCAAGAAAACGCCAATGTTTCCGTTTCTATAATGTTCCCAACCATTTCTATGTGTGAATGCAGTCATATCGAACCGTTTATGCGCAGCGAGGAAAAAAAAATAGAAAATCCAAATGCATGGCCTCGAAGCTCGCGAATTTCCGCGAGTCAGACCGTTTGCGCTGAGACATGAAATCTCGGCCTTCTGCCCGTCTATTGCGGACACGAGTCAAGACCAGCTCTCGACTCAAGGGCTTGCTCCAAACTGTCGCAGATTGTTTTGGTCTTGCTCTGTGTCGTACGAGACGAAGACGCGCACACCGCTGTGATGTGAATTATGATCTCCAAGTTTAGCACTCGTCTGCTAACAATGTCTCCATTCGGTAATCCCCAAGCTCAGGGGTTGTGATCGAATCCAGACTGGCCTCCTAGACCAGAGTATGCGTTGCGAGAGTTTTGGTATGCAGCCTGCAATTGTGCCGGCGTTTGCATTCCAGAGTATGTTGGTGCAGATGTCATCATAGGGAAACCGTTGCTTGTAGGTCCAGGAAGCTTGAAGTCGTCGGGGTAGGCTGATTGGAAAAGCTGAGGGCCAACGGGTTGAGGTGGTGGGCTGCCTCCGAAGGGTGTCGAGTCACCGCTAGCAGGGTTGCTGCTGTCGTAAATCTCATCAATTCTACCGCGACCGCCAGGCATCTGGACCATGCTGAAGCCTGGTGTGGGCATCTGAGGTAGGGTATCGTTGATCTTGGAAAGGAGCAAGGGCAGGTAGCGTTGTTGGCCACCACGAAGAGTCGATATGAGGGAGAGGAACTGGTTGAGGTAATCGCGAGGACCGTATTCGAAGGTGTGTTGCTCGAAAGGTACGCAAGACATGACATCGGTCAAGGTGCATGCGACATCGAAGAGCTTCTCGACAAGCCCAATGCCGTGAACTTCCATGGCAGCTTGGGAGAAGCCACTTGTTGCCGCAATCAAGTCTCTTGAAATTTCAATGGGGTACTTGAAGCTCATGGCACTGTCTGCGGCGGCTGATGACAGATATCCGTGACTGATGGACAGCTGCCACACCATTGTTCGGAGCCATTGTTGAGATGTTCTCAAATCGACAGCCTGGCTTTCGGTGCTGTGGAGGTATGCCGGGAGTGCTTCTGAAAGCTGGTTTTGCAATCTTGCTAGCCACTCGGTCGAGCAACCAACACGAGCCTTGTTCCAGAGTCCAACGAATGTGTCGTCGAAGGGCTTGAAGAGTGTGACGAGGTGGATGAACCCACTGAGCTCGACTGTTTCTGCCGGATCGTCGTTGAGAGTAGGGAGGTTGATGGTGGCGTGCAGGGTCAGGGGGCGGTGGCGTTGGATGGCATATGCTCTGGCATCGTCGCGTTAGTGCTGATTTCATACCCTGTTGATCGACCAACTCACCTTTCGGTAATGAACAGAAGCCAGTACAGCCTTCTGCGTCTCGAGCTCTCAATAAGATCGCCTTGGCTGTAGTGGTTCTCGTCTTGCATGCCCATGATCTGAGCTAACGTTGTTGCCTCGCGAAGGTGGAACCATGCGGTGTTGTGCTTGTCCAAACAGAAATGTGCGCCGAAGAAGAAGAACGATGTAATGACGGACCAGATCCCAGGGCTCTCAATGTAGTCGTATCCCTTGCGAACACGAATGGCTTCATCCAAGAGTGTCATACCCAAGTTGAGATGGGCATTCGGTGCCTCGGCGTCCGGTACGATGCCAGCTGGGAGCTTGGTGTTTGGTTGGATGAGCATGTACGAGCAGAGAGAGACGACCAGACAGTAGGCTTCAACCGAGTTCTCCATCTTTCCTATCGTCTCGCCAACCTTCTGGCGGTGTAAGATGGGCTGCGTTGGGTACATGTTTGCGAAGAAGTAATCGACACATGACGTGATGAGCTCCATGGAAAGCAAGTCCGGTGTCCTTGAGAAGGCATTGGCGTATTGTGAAGCCTCGAATCCCAAACCATGTCTAGCACGAGCTGCCAATTGCGACTGCCTTTGTGTTTCGCGGAGCTCAGAGATGACCTTTGCTCTGCTACCCTTGGGACCCTTCTTTTGTGGAATGGCATTGTATGTGCAGGTCAGGCCAGCTGCCGTGCAGTTCTTGCAAGGTCGAGTACCATCACCAATGCATTTGACCTTTCTCTTGTGGCAACAATCGCATGCGCGCTTGACAGTAGACGTGGCGGGACCGGTCGAGTCAGGCATCATCAATGGCATCAAACCTCGCCAAATATAAAATGTGATGAAAGTAGGCCCGTTGGTTGGTGACGAAGTGGTGTAGGTGTTTAGGCAGGAGGCTGAATGGCAAGAATAGGTAGAGAAAATTAGAAGAGAAAACGAAACGTTTAGACACGAAGAGAGCTGAGTCAATAATATCTAACAACGAGCTCTTGCGATCGGTCGGCGGCGCAAAGTTGAGTTGAGAAGCGGGAACCGTTGCCGCGAGTAGCGTCGACGCCGTCAAAGCCTAGAGTCCCACTTTCTCCAAGTAGAGCAAATGTCCCAATAAACGGAACTACGAAAGACCACTTACCAATCCAAGTATTGCCAGTGCCAATAAAACCTACAAGCGATCTGGGGTGATATACTGCGTGCACATGGCGTGAAAGTATTCGCGCATACGAAGACCTACATGACCAAACTCCGCACATAGCGTGCACGCCGCATGCGACGAACGTTTACGTGCACCCTGTCGGCAAGGGTGAAACGCCAAAAATGACACACATGAGACTCTCTGCCGGACCCGGTGATGGCGTGTGTTGAGAATCGCATCTTGAACCTTGCAGAGTCGCAAGGTTCGTCTGCAGCCACGCACGGACGCTCGTCAGCGATGCAAGACTTTCACGCCAATCAAAACCTCCACGGAAAGCAGAATGTTGCCGGCCGTTGCACCATGGGGGTTTGGCTGACGCATCGAAGCTGTAAAGAAGAAGCAGAACAAAAACTCTTTTCTTCGGTGCATCTGAGCCGACACGCCTGTGGTCAAAAATTCGTCCCAAGTCCATGATCGGTATTCCCGCCGGCCGTAAGGCTGATGAAGCCACAAATTTCGCTCTGCCAAGTAACGAGTCGGCCCGAGACATTTGTTGTTGACCCGTTGGGTGCGTTCGGTGAAGTGATCTGAAAATAGGGAGGTCCGTTGCGTGGGCACCAGGCCCTAAGCCGTCAGAAGGCGACAGCAGAACGATCCCCATCGCCGCTGTTGGTGGCCCAACAAGTTGAATGTGTTTGCCAAATCGCGAAGGCGTGGTTCAGCAGGATGTTGCCCTTGTCCGATCTGGGCAGCGAATGGGCTGACTGAGAACCGCCTTGTCGTGACTTGGTTGGACTTCGCCAACAAATCCGCTCATCCTGAACAGTGCTTCTGCCTTGTGCTGCTAGATCCACAGTTGTCCGGTGGAAGGGGTTGTCCGTTCGGCTGTTGGCTGTTGGTGTTTTCGCAGGCTTTCATCTTGTGCAAGTCGCTTTGGGGCTTTGGAGCCCAAATGCTCAGGTCTGGGGGCACACGACCATTTGTACCCTTCGTCGACTCTTTGCCCTCGCGAAGAAGGCCCGTTTTTGACCAGACTCGACAGTAAATACCCCGAGGCTAACATTTTACCCACGAATTTTTCCGTGGCCCTTCTCCGGAGGATTGGTTCTCGTGTGGGTGTGTTGTGGGGTTCCCACGTTTGATGGTGCATCTGGGTCTCCGGCAACGAGTTTACCACATGCTTCAAAGCATAGTCACCGTTGCAACAACAACTTTGACACAATTGAGATTTGACATGAGCATACGCTTTGAAGCTGTGACTTGATCTTTGCGTGTATACAACCCAGCGTAGGTTGCTCGACTCCTACGCTGCTCATAGCATGGCACCGTTGGCCGGATAAAAAGAAACAGTGCTTCCCCAGCACTATCCGCAATCAGACCAGACATTACCAATAATAACACAAAATTTGGTCATGAGAACTCCATTTGACGGGGTTCCAGCAACCCGTCCCCAGACTCCAGTGCCGGCAGCAACAGCCGCTGTCGTCAGAAGGTACGGGAGAGCATTGACAATCCCGCGACGGGTGTCAACCGTGAATGGTCTCCGGTCGCTGGGAGTATGGTAGATCGCGATGCTCTCTTTCGCTCCAAAGAGTAGATGGAGTGTTGGCTCTGAATCCTCAAAAGGCCTTGAAAATGGGCGATCACGAGTCTTGTGGGACGACAACACGGCCGCCGTCAACGATTAACAGTTCGTCAATGCGCTTTTTGAGATCGTCACCACAGCATTCGACCCTCTTCCAGGTTACTATCCTCCCAGAGTTCATGTCGACATCCCAGACTCTGACTCGCCGATGGAAGCCTCCGTATCCGGCGTAACCGCCAAAGCCACTGCCGCCTGCGTAGCACATCCATGGGCCGACGTTTTCACTCTTGGCGGCGTCCTTGGATTGAGGAGTGAGAGCGCAATAGTCGTTGACATGATCGTGGCCACAGCCTACAGAAACGACGCCTTGGTCCTTGAGTGCTTTGTAGAAGCCAGAGTTGAATCCTGGTGCAGTACTTGGCTCTCGCCATGCACCACCCGCGACGACATTGCCTTGCATGGCAAACTCTGGCAAAGGTATATGAACAAAAGCCATGTCGAGATGTATATGAGTGTATTTGGCATGCTGTGCCTTGAGACCCTGCGCAGTCTCGGTGAACCATTGTATCTGGTTGGGCTTGACCCAATCGTAGCCCCTGTACGTCGCCTCATCAGGACTATAACTATGTGAGTCGAGGAAGTATAAAGTGATGGCGGAGTTTTGAGAAGGCGCCTGGGCTAAAACCTCGACATAATAGTTGCCCACTCCGTCAATGTTCTCTGGGCCAGGCTTGGACAGAGAGTAAGGCAAAGTAGAAAGCAGAGACATTTGAGCCTCGCGAGAAAGACGAGAGGCCTTTGGTCCTTCGTCATCATGATTGCCGAAGATGGCGGCGTACGGTATTGAACGTGAGATGAGTAGGTCGGCAAACTTGAAGATGGCGCTCTGGGCGTCCGGAGCAGTGTCACCATTGACCTGGTCACCGCCCAGCACTACCAGATCAGGGGCCTCTTCATCAAGAATTCGCTCAACAAACTCGAGAGTGCGAGGATCGGCTTCGCAGTTTCCTTTGATGTCACCGTTTGCATCAATGGCATCTCTGCAGGCGCCAGTGCCAGTACTCAGATGGAGGTCACTGAGCTGCAGAATTTTGAACTTGCCATCTTTACGGATCCTCGGAACGACGTCTTTTTTATCGGCCTTGAGAGGACCGTGACGAATGGTTATACGAGCGGCTTGGATGCGGGAAGAAGCATCGAGGAGTAAGGGAGTTTGTGTGACAGACCAGCCGGGGCGTGGGTCTACGGCATCGGCGCCGAACAAGACGTCAACGGCAGTGACGGCTCTGTTGCTGTCAGACTCCTTCTTCTTGCTGCTCCTCAAAAGCCAGATGTTGGCAGGACGAGATTCCCAGCGCTCCTGCTGCTGGCCCTTCTCGCCCACGCCAGGGTCCAGACGGCCGATGCGCAGACCAACGACGACCTTGTCATCATCGGTGAGTTCTTCCTCCTTCTTGCGTTGCACATGGAGGTAGGCCGAGGAGATCCAGCCACTATGCAGATATAGGTCCTTCTCAATGCGATGCCACAGCGTGGGGTCGAGACGACATGACGATAAGGGGTTGATGGACGAGCAGGTGGTCAGGGTGACGTCGGTGACGACCAAGCCGGGATGGTGCAGGAAGTTTGCGGTATGGATGGACTGCGGGAGCAGGCGGTAGCGCGTGTCGACGAGGAAGACAAAGAGCAGCGCCGTGACCAGCAGGGCGCCGAGCTGGCTGATGGTGCGGACCTGCGACGCCTGTCAGTCTTCGTTTGTTTCCATCTGTGCACCTCGGGACATCACCGACAATGCGACGGGTCATGACTGGCGGCTTCCAGGCATTGCGACCGCACAAGGACTACTGTGCAATGCTGTTCATCTTGGAAGAAGCAACTTTGGCATCAACTGACAGCTTCCTTTCCCCACACTGTCCACCCGCGGATGATCGACACACTCTATTTTCCCGTATTCTCGTATCCGTACAAAGCAAATCTTCTCTGTTACTGAAGCCTCCGATGTTTGCTCTATGCAATGTCTCATCAACCATAAATCAATCTGTGACATAAACATAACACAATTGCTTAGTCTTCGTGTTGAGCATTGTGTCATTGTCCAGTCCTAGAGCACTATGCGTCTGACTGCAGCCCCCCTACGCCAAATTTGTGGCCAACGCAGGACTCTAGCCACTTTTGTAGAGCGTGACATTGTCCTACTTCGTCAAAAGCTAAATCAAGACAACTTCATCTTGACAAAACCCCTCAATCCAGCCAACAGAATATCAACTCATAAAGGAGACATCTCACACTCCGACATTATTGGCAAGAGTCCTAGAGATCTGGTCACCTCTTCTGCCGGCCACGATTACAGAGTCCACAATGTCACCCTTGCCGAGTATGTGAGCTTGACTAGAAGACTTGTAACTCCTGTGAGTATCTCCTTAGTGTGCCTTCTCTGTACGCAGCACTGATTGTATCCAGATCTATCCAGCCGACGCCAATCTCATTGTGAGCCTTCTGGATCTTCACCCCTCCGCTGCCCACGAGGCCGGGAAGCTAGAGATCCTGGAAGCTGGTACCGGCCACGGAGCTCTGACTCTACACTTGAGTAGAGCCATCCATGCCGCCAACTCTCAGAAACCTAAGCCGTTGCCGTCGCCAGCACCAGACAGTGTAGGAGGCGAACCCGCCACCGAAGACAGCAGCGGTAGTGGGCAGACAGAGAGCGATGATGCTTTGACTGCTTGGAAAGCCTCCCGAAAGGCCGTTATCCATACCATTGACATCTCGCCAAAGTATTCCAAACATGCGGCCAAGGTTGTCGCTGGCTTCCGTCATGGGCTTTATGCCGATAACGTCGACTTTCATGTTGGAGATGCCAGCGGATGGATCAAATCTGAGCACGAACGCCGCAACTCAGACCAACCTTTCCTGACGCACGCCTTCTTGGACCTACCAGCCACCCACGACCATCTCTCAGCTGTGGCATCGGCTCTCAAGAATGATGGAACACTCATCATCTTCAACCCTTCTATCACCCAGATCGTAGACTGCGTACAGAAGATCAAGCAACAGGACATTCCATTGTTCCTGGATCAAACTTTGGAGCTCGGAAACAATGGAACGAGCGGCGGCAAACCATGGGACTTGCGAGCTGTGAAACCTCGTGCTGCACCTAAGGTTCAATCCGGGGAAGAAAGCTCTGATTGTGTACAGTCTTCTGGATCTGAAGAGCCGGAGAAGCAGGACCAGAACATCACTAGGGATCCCGCGCAGACTCTCACGGAAGCAAAACCTGAGGAACCAAACTGGACTTTCGTTTGCAGACCCAAGGTTGGAGAAAGAATCATCGGTGGTGGATTCCTGGGTGTCTTCCGGAAGATGAACAATTCTGCCCGCCCATGAGCATGTTCCTGGGCATACATCAACAGACCGTGCACAAGCGCCTGATTCTGGTCAGCTCGAAAACGGCCACAAGTCTACGATCGGCCATACGAATACATTCATGTTTTCCCATGTTGTATCTCAATCAATGCTTCAACGCCGCCATCTGCTCAGGGTCAGCTTGTAGCCGGTGTCGCAGCCAGGTCCCTTGACGGATAGTGGCCAGGTTTGTGACCTTATCGTCGCTCGAGCTCTCGCATGACTCGAGCGGTCGCCAAGCAGAGGTCGCTATATGGACCAATACGTCTGGGGCCATCACTTCTAAGCCAATCGGATGAAATGGTCTAAACGGCGCTAGCGGCGAGTTTGCCCTGAAGGAACTCTCACAGCCTTTCATATATTCCCAAAGTCATCTCCTCCCTATCTTTCTATCCACAAGTCAAAGACCACAAAATGTCAGAAACCAAAAGCGCAGAGTTCTATGTCAGACCACCCTTCCGCTGGCAGGAGGCTCCGCAGCGAACATCCTGTCCATCCAAGTTCCAACAACCTACACCTCAGCGCGCCTGTCCTGCGCCGCCATCAGAAGACCCCGACCCCGAAGATCAATTCCACTCCCACCTTATGGTCGACCGCACGCTGGCCTTGCTGGAGGGTACCGATGACTCTATCGGCGTCTACTGCGTATGCCATGCTGCGTGCCGTTGTCGAGAGCATTGCGTAGCCGCACCCAGAGACACAAAATGCCCCTGCAACTGTTTCTACAAAGAGGTGCAACGTCTAGAGATTCGCCGTCGCGCACTAGCTTCAAGTGCAATTGAGGAGGCACAAGAAGTGGACGTACAAGAAGACTCACAATCTCTGGAAGAGCGTCCCATCACTCCACGCAGCCAATCGGTTTACAGCCAAAATTCCATCCAAGCAAGCCTTCAGAACCTTCAAGTTTACACCCCAAACAACCTTCACTCGTCACTTCCGACAGAAGGCACCTTCAGCATGAGTCGTGCCGAACTTTGGACACGACTCTCTCAACCTGGCCCACCCACACCCAAGACACCAATGACTCCCACGAAAACCAGATCCAGCAAAGGTTAGAAATCTTTGTTCGGCCTCAGGAAGCGTGGAGCGACGAAGTGATGGGAGTGATGGGAGTGATGGGAGCAAAGGGGAGTTCATGTACATCGGAAAGTCCTGTGGTGTGCTCACATCTTTTATTGTGTCGTCGCTGGCAAGAAGTGAAGCGTGAAGGGCGGCTTCAAGTGAGCAACGGTCAAGCCTGTGCTTGAATTATTTCTTTTTTCTGTTTTACAAGAATCGTACTGTGGATTAGCAGCTACCCCACTAGGCAGAAAGAAAATCAATCATTGCTACTACCTGAAAGTCTATAGTATTCTGGTGAAATATACCATGTGTGACAGGAGATGAAGTTGTAGAATTCGTTCTTTACATGTCGCCCGTTCCAAACGTCAAGATCATGATCTTTTGACCGCACGGGCTCAGGCACCAGCCACATCATTATGGCTGTCGTCGTCATCATCATCACATCGTCAACATGGCATGTTCAAGCTGCAACGACACCCGTCGCAGAACCATGCAGCCGCTTGGATGAGCTGTCGGACTCGCTTCGCATGTAAACTGTACTACAATCTAAGACCACCATTATAACCTCCGTCGTGTAAGCAGCCGTATGGATAGATGAACTCGTGTGCGCCCATACTGAGAAAGTGTCGACTGAACAGCCTCTCGCGATGCGCACCTTCCCCACTCTCACGGCGACCAAGCTGCAAGCTGCGGCCTACTTGCTCGGTGTAGCACTCTTCTCGATATCTTTCCTGGTCTTCCTCAATGCATCAATCTCGTTTGTCGTCACGGACGTCGTCGGGCGCAAGCATGGTGTTGGAGATGTAGTCGGTACACTGGGCTTTGCCGATGAGCTTGTCGCTTTGGTCGCGTGTCCCCTCTGGGGACTGCTGAGTGATAAGATAGGAGTCAGGAATGTGGCTGTTACTGGATACCTCATCATTGGCGTCAGTCTTATGCTGCTGGTGCAGAGTCACAACGTATACCCGCAATTGCTGCTTGGGAGAATGGGCTTCAGTATCGGAGGTGCTGCTTGCTCGACCATGGTTACTGCTATCCTACCTACCATGACTGCTGAGAGGAAGCAGACAACTACTGCGGAAGGTACTCAGACCTATGGAGAAGGCATCGCGACACCTACCAATCCTAGTGCCCGCCACTCGGGTGCTTTCAGCATCAGCAGTGAGGTTACAATCACTCCGGCACGATATGTCCAGAGGCCCCCTAACCTCAGACGCCGTTCGACGAAGCGTCGATTTGCGACAGACCCTGCCATGCCAAAGAAATCAGATCTCAGTCAGCTTGCTGGCTATGTAGGCATGTTTACTGGAATTGGTGCCTTGGTCGCGGTAGGCATATTTCTACCCCTGCCTGTCAAGTTCTCAGGAAAGGGCGTCGCTCAAGCGGACGCCGTCAAAGATAGCTTCTACACCGTTGGAACCGTCTCCATCGTGGTTGCCATACTAGTGGCACTGACCCTGCGCGGACTGCCTGGCGAAGAAGACAAGGGCTTCCATAAACTCTTCTACACTGGAAGAAGTACCGACGATGAGACTCACGACTCCACGAACTCTTACCCTACTCCCTCGTATTACCAACTCGTCCGATCAGCCATTCTTCTCGGCTTCACCGACTCCCGAATTGCTCTGGGCTATCTCGGTGGCTTCGTCGCCAGAGCATCCTCGGTCGGCATATCCCTCTTCATCCCCCTCTTTGTCAACGCCTACTTTATCCGCGAAGGCCTTTGTACAGACGACCCTTCTGAGGACGTCAAGTCGAGTTGCAAGCGCGCCTATACTCTCGCCTCCATGCTAACAGGTTTTTCTCAACTTACCGCCCTTCTCGCTGCCCCTCTATTCGGCTACTTCAACGGTTACATGGCCGAAAAGGGTCAACTCTCCTACTTACCTCTCGCTTTCGGCGCCATCACTGGTATAATCGGCTGTATTTCTTTCGGCATGCTAGATAACCCCGACCCCTTCCACGGAAGCGCAGATGGCAAAGGTGCAATTCTAGCAGTCATCCTTCTCGGCTTCAGTCAGATCTCCGCCATCGTGTGTTCGTTGGGAATTCTGGCCAAAGGCATCCAAGCCTCTACCCCTTCACCACCAACCACACCTCCCAATGAACCTCACACCGTGCCCGAAACCCACGAACCTGGCCCCGAGGAAGCAGAAGCACAAACTGCCACGGAAACCGCACCACTCCTCTCCCCCGTCCCTGAAACCTCTCCTCCTTCTCCTCAACAGATCGACAGAGCGCAACTTAAAGGAACCATTGCAGGTGTATATTCACTAGCCGGCGGCATAGGTATCCTCCTCCTCACCAAGCTGGGTGGAATCCTCTTCGACAAACGCAGCACGGGAGCGCCGTTTTATATGCTCGCTGGGTTTAACGCGATATTGTTGTTTGCAGTCATGATCGTTTTTATCGGGCAGAGGGTCAGAAAAGTCACGGTTTCTGATGTTTGATGCTGAAACAATTTGTGTTTGGGTGATGTTTGTAATATATACTGTCTTATGAGAACCTTTTCTTTTTCACTTTTTCTTTCCGTGACCTTTTTCGTTTGGAGAGTGCGTGGGTTTGGGGTGATGTGTTTGTGGCTTAGGTGCAAGTCGCAGTATGTGATGGGGAGGTGTTGGATAATGTGATGGGTGGTGGTGAAGATAAGGAATATGAAGGAGGGTGATTGATGCAGGTGACGACATGGCTGTGTTTGAACCTCGTTACCGTCGATACACTATGTTTTAGACGGGAGCAGCGGGAGCTCGAGGACGAACAAAGACTATGAGAACCAGCGACCGCGCTCCAGGGAGGGAAGAAGTTATTTGAGAGTAGGCACGAGAGAACAACCATAAGAGAACAGCTATGAGAAAGCAGTCACAAGAGAGAAGTCACAAGAGAGCAGTCACAAGCAAAGAGGACAAGAGTCAACAGAGATATTCAGTGTAATGTTTATGATGATATTAGGAGATGTAAACAACGACTATCTACTTTTTTATAATAGACAACTGACCCGGCATTGTCGCTCGAAGGTTATACATTAATAGTGCGCAGACTGTGCCAGCAGATATGTGTGTTTCGAATAAACGAGGGAAGAATGGTAAAGGGGAAGATGCCAGACCACATGTGGCATATGCAATGAACAAAGGAAAAAGAGGTAGATGAGATGAGGTGGGCCGTTTAGTGGCGGGCGTTGGTGGTACCGTTGAAGGGAACGATAGCAGTGGCAAAGGCCGAGGCGGATGCGCGGGAAGCGGAAGCGACAGAGGCGCGCGAGGCAGAGACGGCGGCGCGGGACTCGGAAGCGACAGAGGCGGCGGAGGCGGAAGAAGCGGAAGAGGCAGAGGCCTTGGAGGCAATGGACTGGCTCATGGCAACGGAAGCGTCGGAAGCGCGAGCGGCAGAGACCGAAGCGCGAGAGACGGAAGCAACAGACATGGAAGAAGCAGCAGAGGCAGCGTTGGCGGAAGAGCGGGCAGCAACGCTGGAGACCTTGGCGGCAGAAGCAGCAGAGGCGGCGGAAGCGGCAGAGACGGAGCTGATGGAAGAGGCAACCGAAGCAGCAGAGGCCTTGGAGGCAGAGACGGCAGCGAGTCTGGTGGAAGAGGCGTCGACACGGGACTGGGAAGCGATGACAGAGTTGCGGGAAGCGACCGAGGCGGCGGAGACGGAAGCGATGGAGGCCTGGACCTGGTGGACGCTGGACTGAGAAGCAAGCATGGCAGATGAGCGCGAAGCCTTGGAGACAGAGATGACCGAAGCCTGAGAAGCAGAGACACGAGCGCGGGAGACGGAGGCAGCGGCAGACTTAGAGGAGGCAACCGAAGCAAGCGAGACCGAGACGCGGGCAACAGCAGAAGACTTGGAGACGGCGGCGACAGAGGCGCGAGAAGCGGAGACAGCAGCACGAGACTTGGAGGCAGCGAGCGACTTGGAAGAGGCGACGGAAGCGAGAGACTTGGAGACACGGGCAGCAGCAGACTTGCTGGAGACAGAGGCAACCGAGACACGCGAGGCCTTGGAGACAGAGGCGACCGAAGCCTTAGACTTGGAGACGGAGGCTCTGGAGACGGAAAGGACAGACGAAGCGGAAGCCTTGGACTTGGAAGCGACCGAGAGCATGGAAGCCTTGGAGGAAGAGGCAGCAGCCTTCTTGGCCTCAGAGACGATACACTGGCAAGCAGCCGAGACACGCTTCATGGTCAAGCCGTTGATGGGCGAAGAAGAGTGGGTGGAGGCGGAGATCCACTTGGTACAGAAGGTGTAAGGGGCGCTCTCGCCAGCGCGGACACGAGCCATATCGCTGTCAACGCAGACGGCACCGCGGGCAACGAGGTCGTCAGCAGGGACAGCCTGGACAAGGGCGGCACCGAAGGCCATAACGGGGAGGAAGGTGGAGAAGTGCATGGTTGCTGAAGTGGTGGTGGTGGTGGTGGTTGGTTGAAGTGGTGATTAAGCGAAGGAAGTATAAGAATGTATAAGAGCGAAGGAAGTCGAGCTGGTTGGTCGAAGAGGCTGTAGAAGAGTAGATTGATCGAGCTGATGATTTAGTTGAAAGGCGGTGGTTCAATGCCCTTTATATCTGATGTGGGCAAGGTCTCTGCGGCTCCAGAGCAGAAGAATTTTGGGTGATAGGGTTCTGCTCCAATGACAACGGCTGCGCTATTGCATCGCGTGTTTTTCTCCAAACAATTGAGGCTCCAGAACTCTACAAGCTACAAGCCTAACCGGCTTCACCACATGTCTGCCGTAAGGGGATGAGAACGATGACCGTGCAGGGCCAGCCATGCTGTTCTGGTACAACAGGGCGAAAACGCTTCAGCCTGGCTGTCGGCAGGTAGCCGAAGAATGCAGGTCTACACGGTATCCACAAGGCCATGTGCTTCTGGAAAGCTGAGGATCCTAAACGGGCCGTTGACATCAATTCTTGTAGTATATGCTGCAGGATCGATTGTATGTCTTGTTTTGCAAAGCTGGCCAGCAGGAAGGAAAGGGTAGCCGCAAATTCCAGTATGGATCCCGAAAGTTCGGCGCTGGAGCAGACCAGGGCGCCGTTGTTATAGCCGTTGACACGGAATTCTCTACAAACCGTCGTGAGTGCAGTCAACGCAAACCGTTTGGGGTCGAATCGAGTTGAACGTCAGTGGCGATCCGGGTGATAGGTAGGTGAGTCTGGCGGCAGTCGCCTTCTTCCACGCGGCGGATAGGTCTGACCGTTGCAAAAATCAACCGTTGTAATAAGTTCCTCCAGTAACCGCTCATTGGGGGTCGAGACAAGATTGCGCGACATGGACATGGTGTAGGCAAACCGTGTGGGGTCACTGCGGTTGGCGATGCCAATCTGCTTCAAGCTCAGTATCCTTCGATGTTATCTCGTATAGAGAGGCCGTTGTGGTAAGTGGCCGAGTTTTGTCAAAAAGTCATACTTTATCACAATCTCAATCTGTAAGCATAAAGTCTGTGTTAGTGCAAGGGTCGCTACAGGTGGAATGAGCTATATTGGGTCAATAGACAAAAATCTCAGATTAGGCGTGACTTCAGGGATGAGACAGCAGAACGAAGGATTAGGATAGAGGTCGAGACGTGCGAACAAGCAAGCATTTCGGCAGGGCCGCTAAGGCTCGCGTGATATTCTCATGTCGGCCACGAGTCTCAAAGGGTTGTTGCAAGCAACGCATAACGGTGTGTCGGTATGTAGGTAGGCGAGCTGGAAAGTCGAGTAGGAAGGGACGTTGTCAGGGCTGCACACGCTACCGCAAAGGTCCGAGGCAGTCGAGGTGTCAATACCTTGTCCGGCTAGAATCAGAGAGAATGCCACGCCTCAGACAATGATTGATCGACATTCGCTTAAAGATGAATGCACGTGGAGCTTGGACATATTGGGGAGGTCGAGGTTTTCTCGTTGTATAGGTTAGACGAAAGGAACCAAGTTCACCAGTCAATAGAGACAAAGGCTCCGCCCAGACCGTCAATAGTTGCTTGACAAATCGGCTGGCAAGCTGAGCCGACGAAAGCACGTGCAGGAGCTTGATCCGCGGACTTAGGCTTGATAGAGCCGTTGACACCCTTTTGAAGCTGTTGCTGTCGTTCAGCTCAGATGCTTCAAAGACAAGCGAGCGACCGACCACCTTGAACATGACAGATTTGCCTTCAACTCGTCCCCGCAAAGTGTGCTTTGTCACAATCGGCGCGACTGCTTCCTTCTCGTCTCTGATCAGGGCCACCATCTCATCGACCTTCTGTCATGCACTCGAACAGTACCAGTACACAGACCTGATTGTCCAGTACGGTGCTGATGGCAATGATTTATTTCAATCGCTGGTACAAGAGGTAGGACTCAATGGGGAAGGAGCTGGTATCAATGTGTCTGGGTTCGGACTCGACACTAGTGGTCTGGCACAGTACATGAAGCTGGCAAGGACAGGCGGAGATGACAGTGGTGCAGAGGGAGTTGTTGTCAGCCATGCTGGCTCAGGCACTATCCTTGATGCTCTACGTATCGATGTACCACTCATCGTTGTGCCCAACTCGGAGCTGTTAGACAACCACCAGGTCGAACTTGCCGAAGCCCTGGCCGAGCAAGAATATGTCGTTCACGGCAACTTGGAGTAAGTTCTGTCCCTACTATCGCACTCTACCACAAGTGCTGACGCGTTCATAGGGACCTGCCGCAAGCACTACGAGATGCCGAAAAGCTACGAGTTCGACAAAAGACCTGGCCACCCGTCAACTCAGGTACACATCGCCAATCGAAAGGCCTCGCCGGCGTCGTGGATGAAGAGATGGGTTTCTCAGTCGAGTGAGGCTGCACTTTCCGCCCTAAAAACATGTACGCAGGTTGTCAAGTTTTGGAAAGCATGCATTGCATTAGCGATTGTATGGCAGAATGCAGTTTACGAGAGCACGGAGCATGATCATTCTGGATGGACATCACATGGACCTTTGGACAGTAGGGCTCATCGCACGGCGTTTGCTTCTCCGCGCCGAATCTGGAGTGCCTCAGACAGAGGAAAGCCCGACTGCGTCGATCGGCAGTGCGGGGTGCCTTCCTCGGTCGTCAAATCAAGCTCATCTCAAACCACACACGAGAAGAGCGGCAGAAGGTGGGACAGTTTTTCCGGCCATCATCATATACACTACCGCATACTGGACACGGCCCATGTAGCATGTGGGGATGAAGCACAAAGCATCTTTTCTGCAAGTCTGTCCTCAGCCGACACGTCCATCGTGCAGCTAGCAAGAGTAGGTATATAAACCCCGCCGCCTCGCCATGGCCCGCCACTTCCATCTTCTTCATCTTGTACTGGACAGAGCAAACATGGTCTGGGAATCAAGCGTGACACTCGTGGCAGCAGCATTGGCTCTTTCCAATCTAGTGAATGGCCTACCGAACAGTCATCCCAGTAAAAGCCATTATCCTGGCTGGGCAGGCATCAAGCATATCTTTGCTTTGTAAGATCATCATTGCAAGCATTTGATGCTCGACTAACCAAGTTCAGTGGTGATTCTTATACTACCACAGGCTTCAACGTATCTCTTGCGCAGCCAAGCCCTGCAAATCCACTCGGCAACCCGACATATCCGTGAGCATAACTCATAGCAAAAGACTCTACATGTATACTGATCCGGCCATAGAGGTTACACATCCTCCAATGGGCCGAACTGGATTGACTACCTGACGACAACCTACAACAAATCATTCATCGAGACCATCAACTTGGCATACGGCGGCGCTACCGTCGATTCCACTCTCGTAGCACCTTACAAACCCACCGTACTATCAGTCAAAGAGCAAGTACAAACCGAATACCTACCCATCTACGCCTCGCAGTCCTCAATCTTCCCCTGGACATCAGACGACACCCTCTTCACAATCTTCATCGGTATAAACGACATCGGCAACAGCTACTCCTCTCAAAACGCAACACTCACCCCTACAATCTTTTCCGAACTCTCCGGCCTAGTCGACCAACTCTACTCCACCGGCGCCCGCAACTTCCTCTTCCTAAATGTACCTCCAGTCGACCAGTCTCCCCTCACCCAAGCCGCCGGCCCTGCCTCCCAAGCCCTCGAAGCTTCTGCGATCTCCGACTGGAATTCTCGCGTCGTCTCTCTGTCTAAATCCCTAACTCACCGTCACTCGGACGTCACTTCCTTCGTCTTCGACACGAACAAAGTCTTCTCCCGCGTCATCGAGCACCCTTGCGCATACCCGCAGACTTGTGCGTATCAGAATACGACCCAATATTGTGAAGCTTATCAGAATGGAACACCCACGCCTACGAGTTTTAACGCTACGTGTGGGGTTTCGGTGGACAAGTATTTGTGGTTGAATAGTTTGCATCCGACGTTTAGAATGCATGAGGCTATTGCTTCGCAGATTGTCAAGTTGATCAAGTAGGAGCGGTCGGGGTGGGTTGTGGTAGGGTGGGAATAGTGGTTATAGTGCAGTTGTGTTATTCATGAATTTCATGGTCTTCTACGTCCTCTTACAAATTTGAAGTTGTGTCTTGTGTCAAGTGAGATTAAGGTCTATGAATATGTAATACGGAATATGGAACATTGTGTCTGTGCTTGGCCTAAACGCTTGCCTGTGTCCCTTGGTACGCACAGAAAGACGTTGTATATCAACGGTCTACATGGAATGTAGTATCACCCTGACTCTAGATAATTTATGCATTGTATGCCTCAACCTTTCTTCAATCACGATACTGGGTCCCCGAGGCGCATTGGAGAGCCCTTTTATATGCTTGTGTAACTCGGAAAATGATCAGGACGAAATAAGAGAAAATACTGGTGGCAGGCAAAATGATTTTAATTGTGAGGTGAAAACCAAATGGTAAGAGCAAATCTTCTGGCGAACGATTGTGTTCCACACCAGCGACCTAATACTACCTTATCACACCTTAGCATCACCTGAACAATAACAGGCACATCAGAGATAAAGAGGATAGGCATTACTTGTATATAAGAATCAGAGGACGGTCGTGGATGATGATGCTCCTCTTAGCCAGGGTGACACCTCAAGCATTCATCACAGACCGTTGAAAACACACGGCAAAAGTGGCAGTCCCAACAACTCAAATGAAGAATAACAATTTCCCCACCAAGCCTGCTTTCAGCGTCGTTAAACATGCCAACAGCGGATACTTTCCATAGTGAAACCACCTCCTGGGACCCTATCCTTTGACTCTACCTTCGGCGGATAACCAGGTTGCGAATTCGACTGGGTTGCGAGTTTGCATGAAGACCGTTCTATACGAATTAGCAAGCAATCGGAAAAGATGGAGGAAGACAAAATACCCGGGTCCTGTAAACTTGCAGACCAGGCCTTCGCTGGCGCTGAGGTTGGAGATTATGCCACCACTAGCGATACGCTCCAGAACGTACTTGGCATTCCACGCAACCAGGTGTCCATTGTCGATGATGTACTTCTCGCCCACCTGAAGCTGTTTCTGGTCAGCGTCGAAGATCGAGTTGTAACATTGTCGCACTCACGTCTTTGCGGATGATGGCTCCCAGGCTGCTGATCCACATGATACCTATGCCTGACACCTTGTAGACGAAGAAGCCCTCACCCGAGAACATGGCTTTGGTGAGACCCTGTGCCTTGTAGTCCTTGACGACACCTGCGCACAATGTCAGCCCGATGATGCACGAAAGACAGTCGAGCGTCGAAGCACATACCTTGGGTCGAAGCTAGGAAAGCATCTTTGCCCACATTCCAGGTCTCTCCTCCGGTAAGACGGATGTTGGTAATGTCACCAAGAGAAGGTGGGGCGAGCAAGAGTTCTCCGGGACCGGTGTAGGTAGCTTGAGCCATGTGGCCACCTGCGACCAACTTCTTGAAGGAGAATTTGATGGCACCTTGCAAGGTCATGGTGGGAGACATTGCAATCATGGCTCCTGGTCTGACAGACAGAGGGCAACCCATAGCAAGTTGGAGTGTGAGGATGGTGTTTGTATCCCTGTGACTGATTCTGTAGCTTCCTCCATTGAAGGTGCCCACGTCGTCTACAGTGGCACCGGCTCCGACGAAGTGTGTCTGTGGTGGAGCACCACCAGCCAAGTTGGTCGTCATTGAGGTGTTTAACGGGGGTCTTTCAACCTCTTTTGCTTTCTCCGAAATTGGCTGAGGATTTTGCGCAGGACCAGGATAGTATGGAAGAGCTTGCTGCTGGGGTGATACGGGACTTGGTTGGTATTCGTGAGCACCTATGTTACCAGCAGGTGGAGGTGGTGATGAAGGAGGAGAGACGAATTGCGTCTGGATAGGCTGAGGTTGAGGAGCGTATGAGAAACGATTGGTCTCTGGGGGAGGAGCAAAGTGCTGCTGCGACGATGGCTGAGCTGAGGGAACAGGTGAGTAGGAAGTGTTCCCTAGGGGAGCATGCTCGGCACCCGGCGGCGGTGGATAATGCTGCGTGCTGGTTGGAGGCGTGTGTGAGCTCGGAGGTGCAAAGTAGCTTTGCTGCTCTGCCACTCCCAAGTTAGATCAAGTCATTGGAACCTGTTCGTTGTAATCAATTACCCTGTGGAGGCGCTAGGATCTCTTGGTGAGCAAGATCCACAATGAGTTATGGATAGAGGGTTGCTTACGGGGAAAGTATTGTGTTTGGTTATTCGACATGACGGACGAACAAGACAATCGATCGAGGGAGGTGCGAGCGAGGAAAGAGCGAATGGGTGCTTTCTATAATCGCTCCTGCTTGATTCAAGATGCAGCAGCTGTGACGAGAGCAATTCGAGGACAACAAGAATACTCAGATGACGGTTGGAAGCACGTAAACAATGACCTACCATGGAGGCCGCAGAACAGCGGCCATCTTACACTTATTAAATGCTCTGCCTCACAGCCTTGTGAGAGGATGCTGCAGGACGTTCTGTGATGCTATTGGAGCAGTGCCCCGCTGCTGCAAGCGCTGCCCTCAGCGTCGGCGCCTACAGTCCTTGGCTGTGCGCGGCAGCACGACCGAGAAAACTTCGCCCGTCTCCAGCTCATCTCCAGATCCTGACCATTGAACGTCTGTCGAAATCTTTTAGAATCGACTCTTTCGATGAACATGCGAATTCTCAGGATGCGGAACAAGGCCGCCCGTCCTCGATCTCACTGCGCCTCGGCTCATGCACACCGGTTCATATCGATTCCAGGTACGAAGCCACCAGTCAATCCTTTCGAATCATCCGCTGTTTTCACATGGCGCAGTCAGGAGGACTAAAGACACGCAGGAAATCAGATTTCGCAATTGACTTCAATTGGCTTCTTGTACGAGTGAGTCAGACGGTGGGACCCCACATGTCGGCATGATAGCAGTACCCCCTGCTGTCTTGAACCCCACCGTGTACACCGTCCGGAGACATCTTCCGATGCCTCATGGCACACTATTAGCCAGAATCTTCTCGCACGGAGACAGTAACTAACAGAGATTGCCTCATAGATTATTTGGTACACAGGGTAGACAGATTCTGTACAGTAAGTCGGGAACTTGCCATTAAAGCGTGCGACAGGATCAAGGGGTTGGAGCCACTGGGGGTGCTGCTACACTATCCCACTTTCCGGGGACGAACTAACTCTTTCGAGGACACCGCGATACAGTCTCTTGTGATTGGCCAATTTGAGGAGGATGCGCTCCCGGTGACTCGACTTGAAGTCCACCTCATCTCAGTATTTACCAAGCTTGTGTCCAGACTCGAGTCGCTTGATCTCTTTCTTCCTTATCCCTTTTCGACAGTCTCGCTCACCACACCGTAACCCTCGGCGTGGTCTTGTCAATAAAAGCGACCTCTTGCGAAAGCGCTGCCTCGATAGCTACCATATCATCCGCAGACCACAAGAATCTCTACTACCCATTATCTCTTATTTTCGAAAGACTATCAAGATTTCTTCATTCTCAAACTTCGATCAAGATTCGTACTCCACCTTAGCAATGGATATGTCTACCCAATTGCCTATGGCCGGCTACTTCATCTACCGCTCAGGTGAACAAGCCGACCCCACCGCTCTCGAGTTCTGCCCTCCTAAAGGTTCAGATGAACTCTTCTTCGCTCTCAAAGTCGCCTACCCCCATGTCAAGACTCACTCGGACCGCATGAGAAATGCTGTTATCGAATTCCTCAAGCAGGAACTCGCCGAGGAACAAACCATGGCAGCCCCTGCCATTCCTATGGACTCCGACCTGAACTACGACCTCTCCACCGAATCTCCCTGGTCATCGTGGCCTTCCATGGACTCAACTACATCTACTCTTAGCAGCCCTGATCTTCTCAACCTGGCTACTCCTGCCTCCATGACTTCCTCCTACGCTCCTACCATGAGCCGTCAGAACTCTTCATCTCAAGCCAACACCAGTCAAAAAGCCAAGCCTGGTCTTGAAGAGATGACCGGTGTGTTCAGCTTGTCATCAACATCTCAACCCAAGACTCGCGTCCGAAGAAAGATGACCGAGTCCGAGAAGCTCGAGTACCGCAAGCGTCGTATTGTCAAGGCATGCGACTCGTGCAGCAAGCGTAAGCGAAAGTGTTCCCACAACCAACCTGAGATGGAGAAGGTCCGCTCTTCCAAGGTCACCAAGCTCAAGGTAGCAGCAGCATCGACCATCCACCCCGCACGCGTCGAGCAAATCGAGAAGGCCGTCTTCCAGCCCGCAGAGCCAGCCATTCTTGCTGAAGACCCCTTCATGTTCCTGGACCAAAGCCTGTTCAGCGAGCTTCCCTCCACCGACCCACTGTTTATCGACAATGCTGGAACGTATAACCTCTTCGAGCCTCAGGTATCTCAAGCTTCGGAGCAAGTGTCGTCGACTGCATGGCCATGGAGCGATACTCCTGACTGGACTCTTATTGATACTCCTCTACTCACTCAAGCGTCGCCATCCTCCCCATCATACCACCAGGCACTGTTCCCGGCATCGACTGGACTACTTTCACCACAGCCGACACCACAACTCGAATTGATGCATGAGCCGGCTGAACAAGTAGAGACTCGAGAGTCACCGACAACTGAGCAAACCCCAACTCGCACGTGGCGCACATTCTCAGACTTCTCTCGTACGGCATTCTCTACCTCCGACGGACTTGACGGAAAGGAACAATCCGCCTCTATGGGACTGTCAACCCCTGGCGACATGATGTCGCCATCCCAATTACGTGACCAGCACTCATCATCGGCAACTCTCCTTGGAACTCAAATTTCTCTTTCCTCTAGTGATTCAAGACGCGAAAGATCAACCATGCCTTCTGGCAGCCAACAAACATTGTCGCAACTGGTTCCACAAGTCAACGGACTAACCAGCACTATCCGCCCTGAAGGACAACGACTTCAAGGCAATGGCGGAATTGGTGGTAGTGGCCTGATCAACGGACTAAGCCATGCGATCTCACCACAAGTAACGATTACTCAGTCTGGCGCAGGAGTACGCCACGTAACGAGCGAAGGCGCTGCCTCGTCTCCCACAACATTGGGAGACGGTCGTATCGGGAACCCCATCAATGCTAGCAGTACAGGTACATACAAGCGCACGCTGTACTTTCTCTTGAACATCTTGCTAACGTTTCAGCAGCTGCAGTTGCCAATGCTACACATCAAAGGACGGCCATGGGACGTTCGTCTACCAGCCCATCCACAGGACTTTCGAGTATCATGGCAACGGCTTACGACCAGTCACTTGCCCCGATTGCCGAAAGACGCGATCATGGACTCAGCAACACGCTGAAGAAACAGCCTACCACGTCTGACAGAAGCGTCTCTCGAGGAGGACTTGATGATAATGAAGAAGCACCGTCAGCGGCCCGACCATCAAGCTTGTCGGCCGACTCAACGAGCACATCGTCATCATCAAGTATATCCCGCACCGCGCCATCTGATCCACGACCTCGATCTCAAGCCGCCAGTCCAGACCTACATGGCGGACTTGCTGCCACAGCCAGCACGCCCAGCACACCCTTCCACAAGAACGCACACGACGAAGACCCCGGGCACCAAACCTCGGTCACGCAGACCAAGGCCCGCCCGGATGCTAGCAGCGACGAGATGTCGCCCACGCTACCGCTCAAGTCTGGCGCACGCAGTACTCATGGCCATGGCCGCATGAGTGCCGTTGCTGCCAGTGCCAGCGACGACGCAAAGACAAGTTCATCCTCTGCGCCTACCGCACTTCAAGCGGTATCGGCAAACGAGCAACCTTTGCGTCACCGTCTGAAGCGTTCGCCCGGAAGAAGCCTCGCTCCTGCAACCTCTGCAAGTCTTGAAGCTACTACTACCGTTAGTAGTAGTACAGGTCTCGCGGCCGCTATCTTGGTGGCCCAGGTTTGCATGACATGGCGGGCCATGGCGACGGCATTCGTGCAGGCGACTTCGATACGCGCTTCTTGTGGCATCAACGACAGAGATAGTCAGTCTCTGTCGATGAACAGGACTGCTGCTGTGTTGGTTGCTTAGCACGACGAGGGTGAGCTCGATAAACTTTTTGATTTACGATTGATAGCGTTTTTGTTTGATTGTTCTTCTGCTGTTTTGGATTATGATGGAGATGGAGATGGAGACATTGAGATGGAGGATGTCGAGGAGGAAAAGTAATTGGCGTTTCGTGTTTTTTTTACGCTTTACAATTTCTTTTTATTTTATACTTGGTGCTCTCGTTTTATAAACGATTGAGCTCTAGATATCTGGTTTTGCGAATGCAATCGATTTTACACTTCATCACTTTTACAAATATGCAGTCTCTCTGATGGAGGTGCCTCAGCTCCTCTGTCATTTGCGAATACGCGGACATGATACGCACTCGACAGTCACACGAATAGATCAAGGAGAATACAGAGATGATACAGTATTGAGCGAAGAAAAAGCGCTCGAACAAATCGAAATATGGAACCATGTAGCGTAGACCAACAAATGCTTTGCTAAAGACAACAACAACAATACCACCCATCTAATCATCAAACGAAATCTTCTTACCAGCAGCCTCGACGATGGCGGCGGAAGCTCTGGGCGCATTCGCCAACGCATTACCGGGTCTGATCTTTCTGGCGTCAAACTTCTTTCTGCGCATCTCTTGTCTCTCGTCCTTGTCGCCCTTGGGTCTGGATCTTCTTTGCGGTCTCTCTTCTGCTCCTCCTTCCACTTCGGTGATGGGTGCGCCGCCCTCTGAGGACTCGTTTGTGGTGGGACGTTCCTTGCCGAAACGCTTCTTGTAACGTGTGCTGGCGTCTTCGGCGAATTCGCAGCGGAGAGGGCGGCCGTGGAGGCGGTTGATGAACCATTTGCGTTTGTTTTGCTTCTTTGGCTTTTTCGTCTTCTTGGTCTCTTTCTTTTCTGTGGCTTCGTCTTCGTTGTCTGAGTCGGAGTCCGATCCTGAGGCTTCGGCCTTTTCTTCTGTCTTTTCCTCCTCCTCCTCTTCCGCTTCTTCTTCCTCGTCATCGCTGGCTTCGTCGAATTTCCAGATGAAGCCTCGGACGGCTGATTCGGCGGCTTCGAGTTCGGCGAAACGGACCCAGGCGTAACCCTTGCATTTACCCGTGTCTTGGAAAGTGGCCATGAAGACATCTTCGAGCTCGCCGGCTTGGGCGAAGTGGGTTTCCAAGTCATCTCTTGTGACGTCGAAATTGAGGTTTCCGACGAAGACACGCTTGCTGGGAGGCATGACGGGCTTGCCATTAGGACCGATTTTGGTGGCTGTTCCTGCGGCTGCTGCTTCGCTCGAATCTGCGTTTCCGGCAAGGGCGTTTACTGTAGCGGTGGCTTGAGCGGGACGGCCCTCGAAACTCTTTGCGTTCTTGATGAGGACTTTGCGGCCACTGACGAGGGTCTCGGACATGGCGATGGCTTTGTTCAGGGACTCTTCGGTTGCGAAATCGACGTAGGCGAAACCCTTGTTGGAGGGCTTGGTGCGACCAGGTTGTGGGGGTCCCTGAGGAACAGGCATGTTCAAACGAGTAATCTCAGCATCTGGAATCTGAGCTTGACGGGTGAAGAAGACGCGTAGCATGTCCTTGTCGACGGCGAAGGCCAGGTTGCCAATCCAGATACCGTAGTCGCTGCGCTTCTTCTCTCCATCTGCTGCAGCGGCTGCAGCGGCAACAGCAGCAGCAGCGCCTTCAGGGTCATCCTTTGCTCTCTTTGCGGCCTTCTTGGCCTCACGCATGGCCTTCTTGGACGGCGGCTCGGGTGCGGTTACATCGACTTCGATTTCATCCTCGGGCAGAACACGCTTGCGCTTCTTGGTCTTCTCGACCTTGACGACCTTGGGTTCGGCATCGGACGAGGCGTCGGAGCTGGCGCTCGGGCTGGGATCGCGAGTTTTGCCCATGTTGTATAATGTTGTGTTGGTGGATAGACAGAGATAGACTTGCCTGATTATTTTTCCGTGTCTGGGAATTTTTTCTGCCGCAGGTAACACAAAGTCCGGGGTAGAGTGTGGGGGGAGCGCCAAGAGACATGCCTCGTTCGGGAGTGGGTCGTCATTCATCGGACGCGACTGCTTCATCGAGCGAGAGAGTTGAACAGACGACTCCATCTTCCTGCTTCCGGGACCCTCACCAATCGCCGACATGTCAGACCAATCATACGACAACATCCCCAGAGCCGCATCAGATTCATCAGACGAACTCGACTCGCTACCTTCGACCTCAGCCAGCACAACCTCCATCTCCCCCTCGGAAGAAGAATGGCAGTCCGACGCAGAGAGGGAATGGAAGGAGTCATTACAACAGCTTGAGCTGCTTCTCACAATGGTCCTCGTACCATACTTGGGCAAATACTTTGGCCGCAAGGCCGCATACTGGGGTGAGTGAAGCCCTGAAGCCTGGGAACCCGGACGACCTGTTGACAAGTTTCACAGGATGGACCAAATACATGGAGTGGAAATACCCTGTGCATATCGAGATCACAAATCCTGGTCTCTTCAAGGGCATCGGTGCCGTCGAAGCCGCCGCCTCCTTGTGAAACACGGGAACATATACGATATGACGAAACACAAACCGAAGAGAGAGTCAGTCGAAGCCGATGGCTGCAGCATAATGTTTGCTGGCCCAGAAGCCACCAGCCGACATACTGCTACACATCTCAGACGCCGAGTAGCACTACAGCTATCAGCATCACAGCCTGCAGCCACGCCTACTGTACATATGAGGCTTCCGGTCTATGGCTCCAGGTAAGCCAAGATGGAGCAAGGGATTGGGATGAAAAGCCACATCCAGCTACGAAGAAGACATGTCGATAGCATAGCATTTGGAGAAACGGCCACAAGATACCCAATCAAGATTCACTTTCAGGATCAATCCAAACATTTTCCCATCACCAAAATCATAAGCAAACATCACCCACGACCGATCAAAACATCTGCCATTTCTTACACTCACATGCTGCCATTTCCTTCACCAGCACATCCACGCTCCTATAACTTCCATCCCTCTCGCCGTCCCTCTCTTTCCTTCTTCCAAAGGTGTCCTTCTCGCTGGTCCATCGCCGCTGCTGACAACGCCTGGTTTATGACCTGCTGCTGTGTCGTGCCGCCGCCTCGATTTTCACCCAAGATCTCGCCACCGACTATACCGAACCGGGCTACGATCGGATACGTCGAGTACGCATGCCTCCGTCCAGCGACGTAACCCCTGAGTCTGCAAAAACGGAAGTAACGCACGACCGACGACGCAGAAGCGTATGTGAAATCGTCCGGAGCCTTGCTTATAACAAGGAGTAGACTGTTCGGGTTCCGACTAGTTACGTCGAGCACGTATACCTC